TGCCCAAGGTAAAGTTGCAAAATTTCAATTTCACGGCCAGCCAGCAGAGCTCAAGCATGGAAGTGTTGTCATTGCTGCAATCACAAGCTGTACTAACACATCAAACCCAAGTGTTATGCTTGGGGCTGGACTTGTCGCGAAAAAGGCTTATGAGCTTGGTTTGCAGGTTGGGCTCTACAATATTTTAATGCTTTGCTACCTGATGTCCTTACTTGATGTGGATGATTATGTATAATGTTATGCTATAGCTTTTTTAGATTTTAATGGCAGCTGTTTTGACTTTCTTTGCCAGGTCAAACCTTGGGTAAAAACAAGTCTTGCTCCAGGCTCTGGAGTGGTTACAAAGTATCTGCTTCAAAGGTATTATATTTTACTCATGAGTCGTTATAATATCATAATCTGCATTGTGATGGTGTTACTTTCTATCTGCACAAGTTGAATGAAATATTCACTAAATTTGGATTTTTTTGGCAGTGGACTGCAGAAATTTCTAAATGAGCAGGGTTTCAATATCGTTGGATTTGGCTGCACAACATGTATCGGCAATTCAGGGGATTTGGATGAATCTGTTTCTGCTGCCATTTCGGAAAATGGTTATATTAAAATCTTATTGTTACAACTTCCAGATACACTCCTATTTCATAGACTATTCTGCTTCATATATACCTTCCTCATGCAATCCTCATGCGGTCTTTTGCAGACATTGTAGCAGCTGCTGTGCTATCTGGAAACCGTAATTTTGAGGGTCGTGTGCATCCCTTAACCAGAGCTAACTATCTTGCCTCACCTCCTCTAGTTGTTGCATATGCTCTTGCTGGCACGGTATGCACGTCTAGTTTTGTTGTTATGGCCGTGCGTATTGTTTTTAGTGTTTATTAAAAATCAGGTCATCTAATCACCTTAGTCATCTTAAGAAAGGTATCAAGTCCTTAGACTTCGGTTTGAACCTGGAACTATGGAGTGAATGAGTTAGGATCCTTTCCGTTTCTTATCAATTCCAGAGAAAGATACAGAATATGTTGGCTCGTTTTAGTGGGGGTTTCCATTTGAAGGTGTGAGATTCACTCGAGACTAGAGTGATGGGTGTCTCTGCAAAATTAATAGTAAATGGAATGAAAGGTATCGTTTTTGAAGTCAAATAATTATATTTTCATTGTCCTGGAACCTCTTATTATGTACTAATGTTACAACGAGAGTATCTACAAGCTTTATTAAAAACCTTTATTTCATTTGATAGGGTGCATGTTAATTTGAATTTTATACAACATTGAAATTAATCAAGGTAACATTTCAGTTTCTACATGATGGGACCTTCATTAGATATCTTTTCGTTGACTTTCCAGGTTGACATTGATTTTGAAAAGGAGCCAATTGGGACAGGGAAGGATGGTAAGAGTGTCTTCTTGAGGGATATTTGGCCATCCACTGAAGAAATTGTTGAGGTAAATGATGTCTAGCTTATCCTTGTATTAAATAATCTGAAGCTTCATAGGTGTGCATGACATATTTAATTTGGATGACTTGATATCTAGGCTGTCCAATCTAGCGTGTTGCCTAACATGTTCCGAAGTACCTATGAGGCTATTACCAAGGGCAATCCTATGTGGAATCAACTACAAGTTCCTGTGGAGACCCTTTACTCATGGGACCCCAACTCAACATATATTCATGAACCTCCATACTTTAAGGGCATGACCATGGATCCTCCTGGAGCTCATGGTGTGAAGGATGCGTATTGCCTGCTGAATTTTGGTGACAGTATCACTACTGATCACATTTCTCCAGCTGGAAGCATTCATAAGGACAGTCCTGCTGCAAAATATTTGCTTGAACGTGGAGTGGACCGCAAGGACTTCAATTCTTATGGAAGTCGTCGGGCAATGATGAAATAATGGCAAGGGGAACTTTTGCTAACATCCGTCTTGTTAACAAGCTCTTGAAGGGAGACGTTGGCCCCAAAACCATTCACATTCCGTCGGGGGAGAAACTTTCTGTATTTGATGCAGCAATGGTGAGTTATGGTCCACCCAAACGTGGCATTTTTCTGGGATAAATATGGAATATTGTTTTATTATGGCATTTGACATTTTCTAGGAGCAAAGCATGACGTGTTCTATAGTTTTTTTTTTTTTTGGGTGTGAAATTATCTTATTATGCTTTTCGAATTATCTAGCAGACATATTCTATGACAGATTAATCTTTTCCTTGATGGACAGTCTACATTAGTTTTGCTAGTATTTTTTTTTGGGTTGCATTTATCAACTGTCAAGCCTTTTTTATTTAAACTGATTATAGCAACCTTTTGTGTTGCTATCAATTTAAAGTTCTCTTTCTTGGTAAGAACACATGAACCATTACTTTCGGGATTGGCAGGGTCTCAACCTTTTAGGGCATGGTCTAGGGTATAATCTTACTATTGTGTTGTTATTACAGCACCGTCAATTTTCTAATCTGCTAGGATTGTTTTATGTCAGAAATACAAAGCTGCGGGGCAGGACACCATTGTGCTGGCTGGTGCTGAATATGGTAGTGGAAGTTCAAGAGATTGGGCTGCCAAGGGTCCGATGCTATTGGTTAGTCACTATATACTGTGAACCTACCATGGAGTTGTGTTTTCTACATTTTTTGGTTCCTTAACATGTACTAACGATTTTAATAATCCCGACAGGGAGTCAAAGCAGTGATTGCTAAAAGTTTCGAGAGAATTCATCGTAGTAATTTGGTAGGAATGGGCATTATTCCTCTTTGCTTCAAAGCTGGCGAGGATGCTGACACACTTGGACTGACTGGTCATGAACGATACACAATTGATCTCCCAAGTAAAATTAGTGACATAAGGCCCGGCCAAGATGTCACTGTCATGACTGATTCTGGAAAATCTTTCACCTGCACAGTACGCTTTGACACTGAGGTAAATTTAAGATTTCATTTCATGCTCTCTCTTCCAAGAATCATTGTTTCGGACTCAGATGTAGCACCTGTCAGGATTTGCCTTTTGTTGAACTATTTATGTGCGTTTCAAAAGCCTGCTGGTTGCCGTAGAATTTCCACTTGATTTGATGCCATTAACATTATCATATTTTCAGGTGGAACTTGCTTACTTCAATCACGGAGGCATTCTTCCTTATGTTATAAGGAACCTCATTCAGCAGTGAAGTCACTGATGGGATTGTCAGAGGCTCTACTCAAGTCTACACTTCTTGAATTGTAAAATGTGAGAGAATAAATTTTCAATAATTATGAATATATCTCCTTTGAGGGAGAGAGCATTTTTTGGGACACATTTTAATGTTTTTTAGGACTGTAAACAGTCGGCATCTTGATTCTAGATCACCCATTCTTGCTGATATACCATTGTGCCCCCATTGGATAATGGGAACTGTATGTATAAGCCCTTGTAGAACTGCATATCGCATGTGGCATTATGTGGGCTCCCATGTCGTGGTAAAGAGTAATCTCTACCTATGATTTTCAAGGCCAACCCCTCCTCCCCGGTAATATCCTAGTCCTAGCAGAGAATAATCCTGACGCATCAAAAGACCAACTTGAGAGACTGGATGCGCGCCTACCACAACTCTAATTCGTAAAGGTTCATTACTACATTATCATCCTGTAATTTGAACGCGTGTCAAGATAGCCACGAAACTAGTGAAGAATGATGTATTTCAGCGAACGCCTTGGCTGCATCCAGACTCCACATCCGAAAGAGAGGCTGACAGAATCTATTAATTGCAATTGTACATGCTCAAGGCTTAATTTGGATGGAGAGAAAAATAAGAAGAAAATAGAGAAGAAAGAAAACTCTAAGAAATAGTAGAAATAGAAATTTTAGGATTTTAGGATTTTTTTTTCTCGTAGTATTTTTTTATCTGTTTTTTCCATCCAAATCAAGGGTAAATATTTACGTATGAAGTCATCTATTGAAATGCCAAGTCTTGTCACAATGTATAATATGAGTTTAAAAGCACTTAGTCGTAATATTCTTCATGTAAGTCATATTCCTTTAATGAAGTCAATTTGGGGACGACCTTTTCCCCAAAAATTTTGCGGATAACTAAATTATCTCTATCATTATTCATTACACGCAAATATTCTTCACTTCAACTTTCAGTTTTATGTTCTTCAGTCTTTACCGTACAGCGGTGGTGAAAAGGGCTACAGGATATCTTTAGTTCTGTACTATGACATTTAACTTATTCTATCCATTTTTTTAAATAGACCTTTCCTGGGAGAGATCTATCCCCCTATGGTTAGATTTAATTTAAGATATAAATAATCGTCTCAAAGTATATAATAAATACTCCTCTGGTCCTTAATATAGGACCCCATTCTTAAGTTGGTTTTGGTCCTAAATATAAGACCCATTTCTCATATTTTTTAATTTTCTCTAAATTACCTCTATGGATACTCCCTTAACCATAATCAAGTAGAAAAGGGAGAGGGGTATTAAGAAAGATGATTATGGTGTTTTAGGAAAAATGTGTCACTTTTCTTATAATTAACTAATTTACTTAACTTCCTTAATATAATCAAATTAGTTAAATGGGTCTTATATTAAGGACCGGAGGAGTAACATTTTATAATAATGCGTTCGTCATACGATATGTTAATACATAATAGAATAATTAATATCTCGAGAGGTCAAAGTTTCATATGTGTGTGTGTGTGTGTTCTTAGATATTCAGAAAAGCTGCCCGTTACGTTATCGGGTAGCACCCAGCCGTTGATCCATCCTATAAAAATCATCGAACGAGTTAAAAGGCACAGGTGTGTCCATGCCAGCATCCGCGCTCACACATGACTAACCAACCAAGCAACCTCTCACGTGCCTTCTCCACATGCATGGAATGAGTCACGTGGCTTTCACGTGATCACCCCCCGAGATATTGTAGCATGTCCCTCTCCCTCGTTCCCTCCTCTCGCCCATGTCTGAATGAAGAAGAGCGAAGACTCTGAAGTCCGAGGTGAGTGGAGTGCTGCAAAGGGTACGCTAATTATCTAAATGCTTTTTATGGCATTCTTTGTCAAGCTGCAAATATGAAGGGAGCTCTCTCTCGCACTCATGTCTTACACATTACTCTGCTTCTTCTCTTGTGTAAGTCTCCACTCATTACTCTTTGTTTTCGTTTCGGATTCATTCAAATTATAAATTAACACTACAAGTTTCAATCTTTTTGGAATCTAATTTGGTATTATTTGTACAGTGCATCCATCTTTGAGATTTGTTTCGTTCACCGATAAAACTAGCACATGCTTTCCTGAAATTCGTATTAGATGAGTAAGTCAAGCGCAATGGCATTCTGATGAACCAAGGAATTGTGATGAATATAAGGATTATTGTTTGAGGTTAATTCAGTATAATAAATTCTATATTTTTCAAATCTGAGGAAGCTGTCTTGGCGTTTATCCTGGAGAAAAAAGAAGCTGAAACTGCAGGTTCTTTATTTTGGGCAAGAAAACATTGTTTACAACGAGCTTTGAAGGTATAAATATCGAAGTACAACAATTTATGATTGAAGTTTGATTGGTGTCATCATCTTTGATACGAACCGTGGTGAAAAACGGCGAGCTTCACCGAATTTTCCAAGATATTTTAGCTATCTTGTGCGCATTGTTGAGTTTCATGAGCAACCTGCAGTCATAACCAAAAACTCGAAGATATGGAAAATTCTTTAAGTTCACTTTAGAGATTATGGTGCAAAAAGGGTCTACTAATTTATAGATCAAAACTTTCCGATGTTGATCAAAATACTATATAACTCATTTGCAGCTCTCTGTGTCATTCGGATACACATGCTGCATAACGTTGTCTTTTTTATTGCAAATTATCACAAACTTGATATCAGTGAGAGCATATTTCTGAAAATGAGTTGATTAAACTGAAATCTACCTACGTACAGGTATTCACGCGTCTCAGTGCTCTTCATCAAGTGGTGCAAAAGTTTCCTCTTCTGTCACAACTAAGGTTGATGTGCTGCCTCCTGATATCTCACCAAGCATAGAGTCTCAACCCCTTCTTCCTCTTCTAGCTCCTTCCCCACTGAAACCATTCACAAATTATACTCTGCCAAAATTATCAGGTGCGATTTACTTCTTATTTTTCAACTTTTGTGTGAGACCATATGATATGAATTTTGGCACATTTACTAACAACGCTTTGACACACTAAGAAAGAGAGAAGGCCTTTGGCGTCCCCCAGGGGGGTTTTGGTTGGTTTTGAATTATGAAAACATGTTATTTTCACTGGACAAGCTATTTCATTTTGTACCTGGAACAACTTCTGAGATGACCTGAAATACCATTTTGCTTTCCAGGTCTATGTTCGTTAAATTTCTCAGATGCGGGACACATATTGAGCACAACTGCCACTGATTGTTTCAATTCTTTTGCTAAATATTTGGCAAATGTAGTATGTTGTCCTCAATATAATGCCATGCTGCGGACACTTATTGGGCTGTCAGGTAAATACTCCGGGCAGCTGGCTTTGAACATAACTCATGCTAGCCACTGCCTCTCAGATATTCAGAAGATTCTGGCCAGTCAAGGAGCGGATGAGGACTTGAAAAACACATGTTCAGTCCATCCAGCAAATCTCATTGAAGCATCTTGTCCCATTGTAGCTGTTGATGAATTTGAGAGTATAGTAGACACTTCAAGACTACTAACTGCTTGTAGAGATATTGATCCTTTACATGAGTGTTGTGACCAAGTTTGCCAAAATGCCATAAATTACGCTGCTAAAAAAATTGCCTTAAATGATATGTCAAATATAGATGGGGATAAAAACTTGCCTGAGCAGATGGCTAGGATCAATGACTGCAAGCATATTGTCCTTCATTGGCTGGCTAGTAAGCTTGACCCTGCTGTTGCAAATGGTCTTTTTAGAGGACTTTCAAATTGCAACCTTAATAAAGGTGAGAAACGAAAAGGAATGAAAAACAAAAGATTATGCCTTATAGATTTCGGTTTATTATTTACAACTCCGGCCATTTTATTGGGACATAAAGACAACATCTGACTTGTTGATGTTCAATGTTATTTTGGTCAGTCTGTCCTCTGGTCTTTCCCAACATAACCAAGGTTGGGGAGGCATGTGGAAATGTAATAAGGAACCGAACAGTTTGCTGCAAAACCGTCAAGAGTCAGGTGTCATACATGCAAAACCAGAGTTTCATAACCAACCTCCAAGCCTTGAAATGTGCTGCATCACTTGGCAAGAAGTTGCAGAAAGCTGGCGTCTCCACCAATATATATAAACTTTGTCATATAAGCCTAAAGGACTTTTCTCTTCAAGGTTAGCATTTTTATATTTCCATTGTAATGCAGACAGTTGTGCTACCCCTTCTGTAAATACCGTCACTGATATCTGTCCTTTTCTGCAATTTACCGTTAATGACTCGTTCGATTTTCTCTTGGATGGATCAGTAACACCTCGAGGTATCATTTATAGCAAGAAATTTTTGTTAATAGATATTTTATTTCTCAGCATGTCACTGAAATGATAACAAAGTCTAGTATATCCTAGCACCGCCTTCTCATCATGTTTTCCTGATCAATTTCCGTCTTATTATTATTAATTTTACCAACGGATCCCAGATCCATTTCGTTGGGGTCAAATATGTGACATGCCGTAAGCTAATTGTAATATCTATTGCAATGAAACAGCTGCACACTTGTTTCAGTTCTAGCTTAGATATTGTGAGTGGATATACAGCATTGAACTAAGTTTATATATGAAGTTTTTATAGACATTTCTTTTAACTTGGTGTTTGTAGCGTCTAATGTGGATCAATTATTTTATTTCATCTAGAATCTGGTTGCCTTTTGCCAAGCTTGCCTTCAGATGCAGAGATTGATGGTACTTCGGGGATTGGATTCATTTGTGACCTTAATGACAACATTGTAGCTCCATGGCCTTCAGCATCACATGTGGTTGCCTCTTTATGCAATACAAGTATGTCATACACCTATTGTCCTATCATATATCAATTTCTACACCTATTGTTTTATCATATACTCCCCTGGTCTTAAATATAAGACCCCTTTCGTAATGTAATTTACACTATGAAAGGGTCTTATATTTAAGATCGAAGGAGTATCACTTTCTCTGCTGCAATGGATGACGCATGTATATACCCTTCTTCCATGGCCAAATAAAAAGTAGATACGTCTTTAACTCTTTTATTATGTCTAACCCATTTGTTGGTGTAATTCATGGGTTTGCAGCTACAAAATTTCCATCTCTTCCTGCAGCAACATCTGCACAAAATGGTAAGAGCCACCTTGTTTGTCTCATCTTTTTTTCACTTTCCGAAGCCTTTAGACACAGCGTATGCCTTCAAATATTGTATTTTGTCTCTTGCCACTTGATCGAAAAGGCTCCCTTCCAACACTAGGGATAAATTTCACCAAACGTCTTTTTTTTTTTTTTTTTAATCTCTAGTAAGACATAATACTATTACTGAATTTTTGAGAGCATTTTAATGGGCATAAGAAACAGAATTAGAAGAAACTATATGCGCGGCTTCTGAGTTTGCTCTGTGGCTCGGAGCTCCTAAGCTATACTACCAATATCAATCTGGGGGACTAGTCCGAAAAGATGGATTTGTTTCTAGATATATAACACTTGTTCGGAGATTGAGTCTTTCTGGATATCCATGAGCGGACGAGGTTCTAACTGTCATTTTCATTAACGCAGGTCGTTCCGTCAAGAACGTGGTTTTACATTACCTCTTCAACACTTCTCTTCTTCTCTGCATGCTTTTTTGATCTTGGCGTTCTTTAATTTGTTATTTTTGACTTACTTTGGCTCAAAGGGAACACTCGAATTCTTAGGATATTTTGCGGCTTCTGAGGCTTTGCTGAGGAACTTCTGTGGAATTCCTAATGGGGTTTCAATCATCCAACATGTTCATAATATAGTAACCGCCTGATTTGAAATTGTAATCCTTTTGACCTTTGTGGAAGTATTTTTACCATTTTCTCAATGTCTTCGGAGAAATGTAGCAAGTTTACATGATAAATAAAAAAAATATATTTTGAATGGCATTATCTTTAACTTCCATTGTAGCACACTTCCGAGCTTACGGTTCTTTTCATTCGAAGGTCAAAAGTGAAAAACAGAATGCTTACTAACCTTTCTCTCTTCCTATTTGGAGAAGTAATGATTCCTGCTCTTGATAATTATCATTTTATAGTACTAGGTTGTAGAAGTGATGCTGATATATGGCTCTCGCTCACTTCAAGAGGAATTCTTAGATCTTCAATGACGTTACTTTCTTGAAAGGAAGTTTTTAAAAAAAGAGAAGCAGATGCATTTTTTATATTAAAAAGGAGATATATAAAGTTGATATATAGGGCATTAAATAATATGAAACAAAAATGAACAAAATTACACCAAATTCAGATTTTTTTTTTAAAATGGTAAGATGTTTTGAACAATTTCTGATAGATTTTAGGTCCAATCAATTTTGTCATGTAAATAAAAGATACTACCTCTAGTCCTAATTATAAGACCTTATGATAGTATATAAAGTTACAAAATTTGGCATAACGCAATATTTGATAATGCCTAATAAATTAATCATTACTATCAATATCTTACCAGAGTTCTTAAATAAAACAAGTGTTGAATGCGGTTCAGAATTGGCATGATCCTTATCCATGAAAATTAATCCAAAAGATCACAGGATCACACAGTTTTAAATTTTTATTAACAAAAAATGATATATATATTTATATATATATATATATATATATAAAAACACGCGTGCGCGCGCGCAACTCCCTATTCTTACTAATCAACGTGAGTTGAATTTTCCAAGGCAGATTGTGATCGTGCTACTTGTTTTTACTTTGCCAAATTCTGCATTTTATATACTGATATTTTCATTAATATTGTTAAACTTTATTGTCCCTCCATGCAAACGAAGGGGACTATTTGCTGCTGCTGCTTCTTTTGTAGTTACATGGGGGCCTATTTTGTATTTTCTAGTTGTTAATAAAAATCAAATGAATCCTAATGTGAGCCACTCAGACCTAATTTTCTAATTCTTGGGCCCACGGGTCAGATATTGTTCTACTAGCTACGTCAGCTTCAAAATTATATTTGACTTATCTAACAGTTGAAAATGAATTTCACGAAGTGACTAAGAACCAAAGGTCTAAAACTAGCCATTCATATATAATTATTATTAATATTAATATATAAATATATATGATATATAATTTTGCTTCTAATATTAGCAGTTTGTGAAAGGCGTACTAAGTCCCACTAATTCAAATCAAATCAAATCTAGTCACAGGGCTGCAAAACTCTTTTGATCAAAAATAGTTTTTTAAATTGTCAGGTCATTAGGCACAACTGACGCTAAACAAAACATCCCTTCAGATTGCACGTTCAATTCTCCGTAGATATCTTAGGTGCGTCATTTCCTTTCATTGGGTGGAAGATAACCAAAAAATTAAAAAAAAAAAACTCTTTGAATTGTTAATTAATTTATAAAACCTTAATTTACGTGATATGTGGAAAGATATCTACTCTATTTTATAAAAGAAAGACATGCTTTCGGGTGGAAACGTTAGAAAAATGAAGCTATATGTTGTTTTGTATGGGAATGGATGGCATGGAAAACGCAGTATTAAAGGACGCTCCAAAAATTCCAATTATCGGCTCCGTGCGTTACTCCCTCTTTAAACCGAACTCCGGTGTGCCAGCTTATGCTCGCCATTTCATGTGAAAAGGATCGATCATGGCGTCTCAGACATCTCAACCTCTGCTATCTTCGTCTTCCCAATCTCACTCACCCCATCACCTCGAAACGATATTATCAGACACCACACTTCCCTTGTCCCAACGTCTCAGACTCGCCTCCTTCATCGAGTTGAAGCTCCTTTTTCGCCTCGCTGCTCCCGCCGTCTTCGTTTACATTGTCAACTACGCCATGTCCATGTCCACTCGCATCTTCTCCGGCCACCTCGGCAGTTCCGAGCTTGCCGCCGCCTCCCTCGGCAACAGCGGCATCCAACTCTTTGCCTATGGCCTCATGGTATATACATCTATATTATCTCAGTTCTAACCATCTGTTTGTACGTTCAGTTGGGTATGGGAAGTGCAGTCACTGTGCGGACAATCATTTGGAGCTCGCCAGTACGAGATTAGGCATATACCTCTCTTTGTTTCTAAACCCTTAATTGACTATTATAATTTATTATTCTCAGTTCTAACCAATCTGTTTGTACGTGTTGGCAGTTGGGTATGGGAAGTGCAGTGGAAACACTGTGCGGACAATCATTTGGAGCTCGCCAGTACGAGATGCTAGCATATACCACCTGCAACGAGCGAGCATAGTTCTGACTCTGATTGGTCTGTTTGTATCAGTCGTGTACATTTTCGCCAAGCCTGTTTTGATCTTCCTGGGCCAGTCTCCGAAGGTTGCTTCTGCAGCTGCAGTTTTGGTCCATGGCCTCATACCTCAGATCTTTGCCTATGCTATAAACTTCCCCATTCAGAAATTCTTACAAGCACAAAGCGTGGTGTTTCCAAGTGCGTTTATATCCACAGCTACGCTAATTGTGCACCTTTTCTTAAACTGGCTTATTGTGTACAGATTGGGGCTGGGCCTATTGGGGGCATCCTTGGTGTTAAGCTTGTCATGGTGGATCATTGTGATTGCTCAGTTTGTGTATATAGTGAAGAGTAGTAGATTCAAGCACACTTGGGGTGGGTTTTCATTGCAAGCCTTCTCTGGTTTGCCGGAGTTTTTCAAACTGTCAGCAGCGTCGGCGGTGATGCTATGCCTCGAGACATGGTATTTCCAGATTCTGGTCCTGTTGGCTGGTCTTCTTGATAATCCTGAACTGGCTTTAGATTCACTTTCAATATGGTGAGAGTACTTAATTGATTTGCCACTAAATTAATCATTGATTATATCAAGTTATATTGTTATTCATATTTGTTCTGCGAAAACTCACTAACTTCAAGCGGCATCAAGACAAAGTGATCCGCTGGCATCTCACTCTCAGACAAATTATTTTCATCATTGTTGAAAAAAGATCTTATTTTTCTATAAGGTGGATTTACGCCGCCCTAGGCAAATAGAAATATTGCAGATCATGTTTTGTTTTATTATTCTCAAGGAGAGGTACTTCTTGTTTATATGCTTTTGGAACCTTATGAAAGCGTCAACATATTGCAGGGGTCTGTCGATAAGGATCACAGATCTAGATGGGACAGTTTCATTTGATTTCCAATATCCCATGCCAAATGATTGTTTTCAAGGTCACCGTATACCCTTAAAAACACAACTTGATTGAAGTGCGATGAAATATCGAATATATATTTTAAGTGAAAAGCAAGAGAAAAAAATGATTATTAATTTTAGACATGTCTTTTTGAGTTTAAATTAAGATTTCCATCCAAACTGCAGAAAGATATCTGCGACTTATTATCTATATATCGTTAGTTACTACTACTTCAATTTGAATTTTCTCGTTTATGCATGATGAGGATGATTTCATGAGAAAAATATATGAAGAGCGTAAATCAAAGGAAACCAAAATTAAAGGAGAAGCATTATATGTGTTGCAACTTGCTTAGCTGCTTACTCTGATTCAAAACATACATAGGATATCATAGTGTGAGGTTCATATGTTATTATAAGATGTTGATGATTGATCTATCTGTAATTGTAAGAGCTTAGAAGTGATACTTAATTACTTACTGACAATGCAAATACAGCACAATGATATCTGGATGGGTATTCATGATCTCAGTTGGATTCAATGCAGCCGCAAGGTGGGAACCCCAGAAACTGAACTCAATCACATTCCCTTAATTCGCTCGATCAATATTCTAAACCAAATGAGTTAATTTTTTTTGAAACAAATAACACAGTAAAGTGTTTTTTTGAATGTAGTGTGAGAGTGGGGAACGAAGTGGGAGCAGGACATCCAAAATCTGCAGCTTTTTCAGTGGCGGCGGTGACATTGATCTCATTCAGCATATCAGTGGTGGCAGCAATAGCAGTGCTTGCACTGCGAGATGTCATCAGCTATGCGTTCACAGAAGGAGAAGCCGTGGCCGCCGCCGTCTCAGATCTGTGTCCACTGTTAGCCATTACCCTCCTTCTCAATGGAATTCAACCTGTTCTTTCTGGTAATATATCAATATATATATATATATATAAATGCAATATATCAGAGTATGGGTGTGATATATCTGAATCTAATTAAGGAGGTTACATGTGGCTAATAATGAAGGAGTGGCTGTTGGTTGCGGATGGCAATTAAGCTTCGGTTGCATATATCAACGTGGGATGTTACTACGTAGTTGTGTACCTCTCGGCCTTGTTCTTGGGTTTTACTTCAACATTGGAGCCAAGTACATAGTACGTACTTATTTCTCTGTCGACCAGCATCTAAAACTGATCCAATGATGAGTGTAATTTTATGAAGGGAATATGGTCGGGAATGATTGGCGGCACCGCGTTGCAGACAGTCATTTTAGTCTGCATCACTTTTCGTACCGATTGGAATACGGAGGTACTAACAAGAAACAAAGTTCTTATAATCATTTATTTTCCCCATTCCTTTTCTCAAAAAAAAAAAAAGATTAAATCAAAACAACCTTCTTAATTTTCAAAGTTTTTGGGAGATAAATTTCAGAGTTGAAATATTTATCGTTTCAGCTTTTAAAAATTATTGAATCATGTCAAAATTAGAGAAGGGCCTTTGGCCCAATGGGCTAATATGTTGCATAACAGGATGGTCCAATGCTTGGCCCCCAAAAAACTAATAAAAGGTATGGATTGAAATGGGTGCAGGTGAAAGACGCAGAGAAGAGGCTGAGCAAGTGGAATGACCGCCCAGTTGACGGCAGTACATGAGTGTTTCCTTTTCAGAATCAGAACATGAATGTTGCTCCCCGGAAAAAAAAAAAGGGGAATCAGAACATGGATATTTAAATATTTTTATTTTCTTTTTAAAACCGAGGCAGGGTTGTTATTGTTTTTTTGTTGTTGTGGAAATTAAATATTGGTATAGATTATTAGAGTGGGTCACATGCATTACGCAATTCAAAAAAATCTTACATGATTTGCTACTTGTGAATCATGGTGCGTCCTCTTATTTTATACTTTATCACATAACGACAATTTGACATTGATCATATTATAATTTTCCAACAAGAAAACTGAAGAAAGGTACCACAGGTATTATAATATCAAAAAAAGTTAAATATGATATTTAAAATAAGAAATGTGAGATGTATTTTATCTTGAATGAAAAAAAATGAACATGATCTGCTCTCTCTATTTTGATTTTTTTTTTTTTAAAGAAGGACGCTAGATAAGCGTAAAAGCGATGGTGGCCATAATTATTTGAGACTCACTCGCTTAAATTCTTTTTGCAACACAAGTTTTAAAAAGCTTTCTTAATTCTCTTTGCAAGAAATTTGATGCGTTTAGGCTATGTGTAAATGGAGGAAGAGGCAAGAGGAAAATAGGAGAAGGAATGTAAGAAAAAGAAACATCCAAAAATAGGCAAATATTTTTCTACCATTTTAGAGATTTTTTTTCTTCCTAATATTCTTTCTGCCTTTGTCCCTCCTTCCCTTTTAACAAGTAACATTGGACTTATCACTTAGATTAAAAAGTTAGTTAAAGATAATAAATATGTAAAAATTGAAAGTTCTCTCTCTAAAAATATCCTTATTTATAAAAGAGAGAGAACGTGGATGGAGAGAGATGATGGTTTGAAAAATAAAATAATAAATATATTGAGTATTAAAATAAGTAATTAATAAAGGCAAAATAGAAAACTTGTTACAAAAATTTAAGACATCTTATAAATGTTGTTTATATTTAGGGACAAGGAGGAATGATAGTTCTTGCTTATAAAAAAAGGAGTGAGGAAGTAATTTTCTTCCCATTCATGATTCAACCAGAAGATTATAAAAACAAAAAAAAAATACTCATTACTTGTCTTCCATACGTACCCTTAATTATTAGAGAGTAAGACTGCCCTAATTTAGTAAATTTCAACGAGGAAGAGTAACTACTGACAACTACTTTTTACCTGATTTGCCGAAGTTATGTAAAAATTATTAAATGCATTATAAGAATGATCGGATGGAGTGGTAGTTACAGATAACTCCTTTTGGCTAAAAATTCCTTCCTTTTCTTTTTCCAATTAGGAAAATAGCCAAGGGCTACCAACCCCAACAATAGGATGACCCAATACCACCACTAGATTATTAAATTATTGGAGAAGAGAATGTTAGATAAACTAGATTTTACTTTTATACTAAGTGTAAAAAAGATCTCTGGCACAAAAAAAAAGGTGTTAAAAAGACAAAATTATGTGGAATTCGAATGATATTTGGCCGCAATTGTTTACCAAGTGATCCTTAGCAAATTTTACAGGTAATCTCAAACTATTGACGTCATTGATTATCTAAGAAACTAACATTACTCCTCCTAAGATTGCATTTCCAAGTGGACCCATCAAGCTGGTCACGACTAAGTTATAATAGAATATTAGTGTCCAAACGAAACCCACGGACCATTTTAATTAATGGCCCCTCGGCCGCGCAGGCCTCGTGGTGGGCTCCTGGTCTGGTGTTCCAAGCCACAATCATTAATGCCCCCAATTAATTATAAAAGCGCCAAAAATGTCAATGTTTTTGCAGGGGAAAAAACCAATGAAGAAGCTTAATCAATCACTAATCAGACATTCAGACTGTATATGAACAATCCACGTTTCTGCTGCTTTGGATTTAGAGTCGCTGTGGCTAACAGAGACACCCCTCCCCTGGCTCTTACACATATTTTCTATAATTCTTCGGGTGTTGGTTCCTCTTGTACACCCAACTACCTCCTCTTCCTCTTCAGTCTTCAGCCAAACCAAAGCTCAAGACTTTGATATGGGTTCCGTTAACGACCATGTTCGCCAACCATTGTTGCCGCCTAGCGACCATCCACCTTCGTCGGACCAATCTTTCACCTCCAAGCACCACTCTAACGCCGACCTTGAAAGCATCCTCTCCGATACCAGCGTCCCTTTTCGGCGCCGTTTAGGTCCCGCCACCTGGATCGAGTTCAAGCTCCTTTTCTACTTGGCTGCTCCCGCCGTCGTCGTCTACCTGATCAACTACGTCATGTCCATGTCCACCCAGATCTTTTCCGGCCACCTCGGTACCCTCGAGCTAGCAGCTGCTTCCCTCGGCAACACCGGCATCCAAGTCTTTGCATACGGCCTCATGGTAGTGCTCTGTCTCTCTCCTCCATCTCTGTTTTCCTCATTCTGTTCAAAAAAAAAAAATGACAGGGATAATCCAGGGTCCAAAAGGAAAGAACTTTTCCCCGTCTTTGTTATTGATATATACGAACAAATATGTATAGCGTCCCTTTTACAGTAATAGAGGCAAAAAAGGAAAAAAAATAATGGGGTACGATTTGGTGGAGGAATTTGAGGGTTGGAACGGTGAGGTCAACTCTTTGATTTTGGAGGCAACCGTTGGGAACATCTTTCAGTAATTACAAATAAGTTGTAGTTTAATCGCTGATTTTGATTTGATGAACAGTTGGGCATGGGAAGTGCCGTGGAGACGCTGTGTGGACAAGCTTACGGTGCTCGGAAGTACGAAATGTTAGGGGTTTACTTGCAGAGATCGACAATTCTACTAACTATAACGGGAATACTCTTGACCATCGTGTACGTGTTCTCGAAACCCATTCTGATATTACTGGGAGAATCGCCGAGGATTGCGTCTGCTGCCGCAGTGTTCGTATATGGCCTAATCCCTCAAATCTTCGCTTACGCTGTGAACTTCCCCATCCAAAAATTCCTGCAAGCTCAGAGCATAGTGGCGCCGAGCGCATATATATCGGGAGGTACTCTGTTGGTTCACTTGTTGATAAGCTGGGTTCTTGTGTACAAGGCTGGGCTGGGATTGCTGGGGGCGTCCTTGACGTTGAGCTTGTCGTGGTGGATTATTGTGATAGCACAGTTCGTGTATATTGTGAAGAGCGAGAGGTGTAAGTACACGTGGCAAGGATTCTCAGTGCAGGCTTTTTCGGGGTTGCCGGAGTTCTTCAAGTTATCGGCGGCATCGGCGGTGATGCTGTGCCTGGAGACTTGGTACTTCCAGATTCTGGTTTTGCTGGCCGGTTTGCTTCCTAATCCTGAAATTGCCCTCGATTCCCTTTCCATATGGTGAGTCGCTGATTTCTTTCCCTCTTCTGGATCCATCCACGTCACCATTTCATCATTAATTTACTTTAGGAAAAATTCCAATTAAATTTGATGAAAATCTAAATCAAAGCATTTACTCTTAACCAATTCTTAATCAGGAGCCTTATTAAAATTATTTTAGTTAAAAGACTGAAATATCTTTTTATAATTAAAAATAATATTATTTGGAAAACAAAAAAAATAACATTTATTTATTAAAAAAGCGTTTTAGGTCAAAAAATTTATAATAACACTGGGCATTTTATATGTCAGGCTTTCAGTATTAACTAACAAGCATGGTGGGAGCGGGCAAATTCAAGATAAATTATTTTGAATATGCATCTGGGAATACTATCAAACACGTTGTAGGTGTTTGTGGTTTGATTCATTCCCTGTACATCGTCTTGCCCTAAAGTAGACACACAGGGATTAAAGAAAAATTGTGTGAGAACCTAATGATTCAACACACATGTAAGGAAGCATGTAGTGTTAATCATTTGACGACACGTGAGGAAAAAAATTAGGTCATAAATTGACAGAAGCCATAGCCAATTTGCTAATTTAAAAAGACATTTTAATTTTTTAATAACATAAAAAATTCTTAATACAGGCTCTTAACTGTATTATAAATTTATTAAAAGTATAGATCTTAATTTAAATTTTGATATTTTAATAGGAATTTAATTGATATTCTTCTTGATTTTTCTAAGTAAGATAGGTTGAAGATTAATTCATCTATTTTGATAGTCTCCTCCTCCTCACGCTTTTGGCTAAATTGGTTTAAATATTTTTATTAATACATTTTTTTCCTAAAAAAATGTGGGCTTTATTTTTAAAAAATAGAAAATGTGTTAGATTTGAGTTTGACTATAGAATATAAAATCAATAAACAAATCTTATAAACCAGTAGGGAATTAGCGGACGTCAGTTTTTTTGAATGATTATTTTAAAAATTTAATATGAGATTTTCTCCGTCAGACTCACTCACGCATGTTAATAAATTTTTCATCTTATAATTTATATCCGTGCTTTATCATACAAAACCACTCCCAATGACCTGTGAGTTTCATATTTTCAAGTATTACATAATTTTGGGCGGGTGAGATTGTAGAATGTTTAAATGTCCCTTTAAGAGAAGCTAGTGTTCTTCCAATCGTTTTCCGTGTCCAATGGGAGTGTCCATTGTGAAGAAAGATCCAAATTTGTAGTTTTGCGGCTGAGCGCTTCTACTTGATAGCCTGCGTTATTTAGAGCACACATTTCCTATCGTTTCTACAATCTTCGTACGTTATCTTCTCTGTTGACCTTCACTCTTTGGCCGACCCAAATACGAAATTGATCTCTTTGTATATATAGTACCTGTGGCTGCCATTAGCCGCGCGTGGACCAACCCTCCTTCCCCAAACTCATTCTCTGGCTGTTTCTACTTCCCATTGTTTTAATGAAACTGACCCATCACCCGTCATCATTTCTTCCCTCCGATAGCTCCCAAGTCCCAAGTCCATACCACCACCGCTGTCTTTCTATTTGTTTCCTTGCCAGTTCCGCCGTTCACACACGTACTATTTTCCTCCGGCCAACAACAAAGACACGTAGCCCGCAAAGTCCCAAGTCTAGGCTCATTCAGGTCGCAAACTTAATGTCAAAAGACAATCAAAATTAATGCCCTCTCCGTTGGGCCCCATCAAAATGATCCCTTTGTTTGAGGTCACCATGGATTAACTCCTTGAACTGCAGTCTGCTGCCCTGCCACGCTTGACGACTTGTAATTAATTTGCGTCTTTTGGGTTACTAAATGCAGCACCACAATATCTGGATGGGTGTTCATGATATCTGTTGGATTCAATGCGGCTGCAAGGTTTGTTCTCCACTGCTTTTTCTGTCTTTTAAAACTCATCAGAATCTTTGGAAATTCGCTTCTCGTTTTGGCAAGTTTAGTTATGATGCTAATGAGTGAGTGTTGGGACGAGAATGATGCAGTGTGAGAGTGAGCAACGAGCTGGGAGCGAGAAATCCTAAATCAGCAGCATTCTCTGTGGTGGTGGTGACGATCATATCTTTCATCATATCCGTTATTGTGGCTGTGGTTGTGCTTATTTTACGCGATGTGCTCAGCTATGCCTTCACAGAAGGTGAAGTCGTTGCCGCTGCCGTCTCAGATCTTTGTCCTCTCCTCGCACTTTCCATCGTCATCAATGGAATCCAACCTGTTCTATCTGGTAATTTGTTCACTTTAATTCCCTACATTACTCGTGCTTCAGTTACGCATGGGTCTTCTCTTCTATTCTCTTCCGTGCATACACTGTTCAGAAACTAATGCAGATGGAAAATGTGGCCTTGCAATGTAATGTAAAGGTGTGGCTGTTGGTTGTGGATGGCAAGCGTTCGTTGCATATGTAAACGTGGGCTGTTACTATGGAGTTGGCATACCATTAGGTTGCATCATGGGTTTCGTCTTTAAACTTGGTGCCAAGGTAATGTTGTGGGAAAATTTGACGGGTTTTTGCTTGTAGTAGATGTATATCTCAGAAACTAAAAAGTCTATTCAGTGATTGCCTTTGTGCTGATTGAAACTGGGGCCTGTGAATAGGGAATATGGGTGGGAATGCTAGGAGGCACGGTTATTCAAACGCTCATTTTACTTTGGATCACAGTTAGGACGGACTGGAATAAAGAGGTAAAAGAAGGGCTTGGATGGTTGGGTGTTCTATGATCCAAGGATAAGGGTCACTGTCTGACCTGAATTTGGTAATTGCAGGTTGAAGAAGCGGTAAAGAGGCTGAACAAGTGGGAGGACTCGAAAGAGGCACTTCATCAAAGGAATTGAAATACGGTGGCTTGGTCCATTCAAGATGGGCTTCCTGGCATCTTTATTTCTTCACTCCGTCCAATATTTGGATTGACTGGTCTCTTTAATTACAAGGTGGCCTTCTGCAATGTACTCACTATGATTCTTGGCTTAGTATCGGAATTGGTACCCATTAAAACCCTCTGCTTCTTATTCTCTCTCATTTGACCTTTTCGGAGATTTGCACCATTTTGCTGAATGTGTTTTGCTTCAGAGTTAATAGCTCTGCTGATTTTGCAAATACAACGATCAAAATGTCTCGAGCTCATATTTCTATTTTGGTTGGGTTTTGCGACAATGGACTGGACTTGTCTTCCCTGGTTTTCCTTTCCCAACGTAATTGCTTCCAAAGAGCAAATGAACACAATGAGCATGCGTTTGGTGGATTTAAACCCCGCAAAAAATGGAATCAGCCATGCGAATGAAGGAAAATACCTAATAAGTCCCACACAAATTTGCTTTTTAAAACTTCCCAGTTCCCACAGAAAACGGCCTCATCTCTGCGCCCCTCGAGGACAAATGTTTTTTTTTTTTTTACTAAAGCATATGTATTATTCTATTAGAGATAATCATATTCAAGATATTATTGGGCACTAAATATGGATACTTTTTTTAGTAGGGATTTGAAACTTAACTCACTGCGTTATAAAGAACTAGTTTTTTTTTTACTAAACTGAACCATTGTCATTGGTTTTTCAAGACAAATCTTAGTTATGAAGTTGGGAGATCCAGCATTAATGGGCCTCGGAAAGCCCAAAACCTTTGGTTCCCTCCGACAACGACACCAAAATTGAAGGAGAGACCTAACCTTGCCTAGGACAAATTTTTCCTCACACGGGGAAAGAAGATTGGATTATGAGAATTGGTTGTCAAAGCACAGCCGAAAGAAGACAGAGAGATTATCCTCATCTACAGCTAACATTAGCATATGAATAAAGCTCCTTTACCGGGTTCCTTCAAATAATGGAGTCCACCCTTCTTTGTGAGGTCTCTTCTTCCCATCAACATCAACCAGTCATGCTTACTTGTTTCACACGGTTAATGAAATATTAATTCCAGTCTTTAATATAAAAATTAGTTTGATATTCAGTTTGGTTTTAAATATAAGATTTCAATTCACTTTGTCTCTAATATTTATCTATAGTCACATATACTATCAATAAGTAATTTAAACACACATGATTAAAAGTAGTATTTTAGGAAAAATAACATCTATTCATAACAAATAACTAACTTAACTAATTTTTTAAATTTTTCCAAATTAGTTAATTAAATCTTATATTAAATACTAGAGTTAGTATATTAGTAGTGCAGCTTTTAGATCCCATAGATTGCTTTCTTTGTTTTTTTTAAACAATAAGTTTTAACATAAATTATTATTATAATATTTTATATACACTGTATGATATATAAATACAAGTACAAATAGTAAAGTAGATCGGGCATATTTAAGAACAATATTCAAGTACAATTATTGGAAGTAAAATTGTGTTTTTGTTCTTCTAATTTCATATAAAGTTTTAATCTAATCACGTTTTATAAGATATTTTTGTTAATCCTCCAACCTTAATATTGTTAGTCTCAACGGATAATTTTATACCAATTATTATTATTTAAAAATTATACTTCAAACTGAAAAACAGAAAGATGAAAGATGCACCTTTTTTTAATTATTAAATTTACAGATAATCCTTTTGTGTGAAATTCAGGGCCGACAAGTCTACTAGTCAACTTTTTAAAAAAGATAGATGAGAAGGCAGCAAGGAAGTAACACAACAACCGCCACTTTTATGGCGGTGGGTCACGTGAGGACGAGGCCAGACGTGAGACCGGGGGAGAGACATGCACTTGCTTAAATAATCCCTGCCGTCAAATTTATAAATTTTTGTTAGGGGAGATGTAATTTATTTTATAATTTTTAATTTAATGTTTATCTTAATATTTAATAATTTTTAAATTCTGTTTTTGATTATTAATTTTTTTATCACAATCTCTTTTATCACTTTCCTAATACCTTTTATTTTTATTTTTTTCATTTATTACAGCTAGATAATTGAAAATAAAACATATTTTAAACTTATTTAGTGTTTTTAACTAATTATTTATTACTCTCTAATTAGCTAATTGAAATTTATGATAACTAGGGAGGGAGTAATTGAATAACTTTTCTCGACTCTCCCACAAAATTAAAAAAAAAAAGCGGCCGTGGCAAATATCTGTCTCCTTTTCCGCATTCGGTTTATGAAAAATACCTAGTCCTCCATCCCTACCGCTTGATTTTTTTTTTTGGGTATTAATTAATTAGCGAGATTCTTTTACGTAATTATCGGAATCTAAAGAGGAACTAAAGTTGATTTGTCCCAACAAACTAGAAGTGGAATCACTGTGTTAAAACCAAACAACTTTGTTCCAGGCCATGTGTGCCACCGAAAATGACTTCCGAAAGCGCCAACTTGCAAGCATTTTGGAGTTGGATTGTCAGAATTTGCTTTTCATTCATCAACCATTAATCCTCCTTACTTTCGTACGTTGTAAAAGATTCCACTAATAAATATACTTTCTCCTTAAAATGGCATTCTCATTTTAAGTATCGCTAACTATTCTTATGATTCTAAATCACATACAATAAAATATATTACAAATTGTACTGTTAATTAATTTACCATATTAGAAAAATATGTACTTTTTAAAATTTTCAAAAAAGTTTCTGCGTCCAGGCAAGTTTCTGGCTTTCTGCAATGGCGAGTTCTCACTCCTCAGTTTTCTAACCGGAACTTCCGGTTTGAGAAATGCGGATTGCGGGTCGGGCAGCGGGAAAACCGTGTTTCGAATTTCGAGTCACGGAGGTGGCTGCCGCCATCGTCAACGGAAGTGGACTTTTAAATCCCTGTCAACTTCGTTCTCTGTTTCCTTCCTTTTCTCCCGCAAGGATCGAAGTCTTCTGACCGGGCTGCGAGCCATCGATTTTCTGTTGCTTTCCAAATCTTAACCGCCACAGGCACCGTGAGATTCTTAATTTCACATTGTGGGCATATTTCTCCTTCAAACGTGTTTCATTCATAGGCGTCACGTCATCTCTGTATCTTACACTTCTTACCAAGCATACGCTATACTTCTTGATGTCCTGGCCCTGTTTTTTTCTCGGCAGCCTCTTGTGAGACCAATATTTTGCTAGTTTCCACCACTTCATGAAGTACTGGGAGTTGCCGGGCTTCTCTAATTATGTGTTAGCTGCCAGGGCGTGAGTTCTGGTTTTGCTCATGTGTGTACCGACAAAACACAATTCCTGCCCGGCTTTTCTTTGTACGGCGTAAGAATAACTTGGTTCTTTATGGTGAACGATTGGCGGGTGAATTGAAGTCGGTCAAGAATGAAACACTTCATGGCTGTGCCTCGAATAATTATGATTTGGACAATCCTTTGCGGTCTTGCTCGTTGTCAAAGGCCAGCGTCTGTGAATATTGGTGCGGTTTTCACATTTGATTCGGTCATAGGTAAAACAGCAAAGGTGGCGATGCAAATGGCTGTCGATGACGTCAATGCAGACCCCGTAGTTCTCAATGGGACGAAACTGAACTTGATAATGGAGGATGCCAGTTGCAACGTCTTCTTGGGATCGATTGGAGGTATAGAGAATCATCCTTGTTGAAACTTTATAATTCAAAGACAGCTTTTCCAGTCTCTGACATAAGTTATCCGAAATAGGACGTGTGACATTTCATCGCAGGGTAAAAATTAAAATTTCAAGAAAAATGAAAGGTTGCAACTTTAATTGATTTAATGGAAGATCGTTTCGGTTATCTCTTTTTTTATTCCTCATTCATTCGCTAGAGTTGCAAGATAAACTGGGGAGAAGGTTAGGTTCTTCGCCGATATCAAAATTTTCTCGTTCTGTAAACTACAACAATGGTTTTTTTTTTTTTAATGCCTTTATCTTTGTCTATTTTAATTTCTGCAGCAACTTATGACCTAATCAAGTGACGATTCTCGTCAAAATGTCAATATGCCGCATTTTTTAACTAACCAAACACCATTTTATAGTATTGTCAACTGGATGTCTAAGTTGTCTAATTTATCTCAGACGGAGTCCTTGTAGCTGTAGTTTACACTTATCTGAACTGAGCCTTTTCTATGCGCAGCGTTGCGTGCACTTGAGCAAGGGGTTGCGGCAGTAATTGGTCCACAATCATCTTCCATCTCTCACGTGATTTCTCAAATTGCCAATGGTCTCCAAGTGCCTCAAGTTTCCTATGCTGCCACTGATCCAACCCTGTCGGCCCTTCAATTTCCTTTCTTTTTTCGTTCTATACCAAGTGACTCTGAGCAAATGACTGCAGTGGCTGATTTAATTGACTTCTATGGATGGAAAGAGGTCATTGCGGTCTTCTTGGATGATGATTACGGGAGAAATGGAATATCTGCTCTGGCTGATGAGCTTGAAAATCGGAGGATAAAGATTTCTAATAAGTTGGCTATTAGCATTAAGTTTGATCCGAATGAAATCACTAACTTGCTCAATCATTCCAAAGTGTTTGGTCCTCGTGTGTATGTTGTTCACGTCAACCCAGATCCTAGATTGAGAATTTTTAACATAGCCTACAAACTGAAAATGATGTCTAGTGACTTTGTCTGGCTTGCCACTGATTGGCTTTCTACTACTCTAGAATCGTTCTCCCCACAGAATCAGACCCCTCTGAGTGTTGTGCAAGGGGTGGTTGGACTTCGTCCGCACATTCCAGATTCTTCCCAGAAAAGATCTTTTGTTTCTCGGTGGATAAAAGTGCAGAATGAAAGCGCAGCAAGCATCGGGTTGAACCATTATGGATTTTATGCATACGATTCAATTTGGGCTGTTGCACATGCTATTGACAAGTTTATTGAAATATACAAGAATATTACGTTCTCGGTCAATAACAGCTCGAGGCTATTGAATAAAGAAGCAGCTTATATACGTCTTGACGAGCTCAAAGTCTTCACAGGTGGATCTGATCTGGTCAACATATTATTGCAGTCAAATTATACTGGTGTGAGCGGCCACCTTCAATTTAGTCCTGACAGGAATATTGTTAGTAGTGGCTATGAGGTTATCAATATCAATCAGATGGAAATTACCAGGGTTGGATATTGGTCTAATGCTTTTGGATTTTCAGTGGTACCACCTGATCAAACTCTTGAGAAGAAAGGACGTGGTAGGGTTCCCCAAGATCAGAAGCTTAACACTATCACTTGGCCAGGTGGAATGACAGCAAAGCCACGTGGCTGGGTGATTGCTGATGACGCAAGACCACTGAGGATTGGAGTTCCCAAGAGAGCAAGTTTTGTTGAGTTCGTCACTGAGCTGCCTGGTAATCATCAAATTCAAGGGTACTGCATTGATATTTTCAAGAAAGCACTGGAGTTTGTACCATATGATGTTCCTTATGTATTTAAGCCTTTCGGGAATGGTCAATCAAATCCCAATTATGATGCGCTTGTGGAGACTGTTGCTGACAATGTAAGAAATGCTATAATTTAGGAAGTCCCAAATTTGTTGATCTGCCTGCTGTTTCATGAAAGTGATGCTTTAATGAGATATCAGACAGACTTTTGTCAAAAGAAATCTTGTGCTGCATGGGGAAGAAGACCAGATGGATGACTAGTTATATTCCGCGAGATGCCTACTTAGTGGTTCGTAAACATAAAAGGTTTATAAAACCAGAGTTTAAAATTACCTTTCCTTTCACCTCCCCCCCCCCCCCCCCCAAAAAAAAAAAAAGGTTGGAGATTGCGGGGTAGAGAAAGGTTGAAGGCATGGGGATAGGGTAAATAAGGGGGGAGAAGGATGAAAAGGGAAAAAATGCAGTTTTTTGCAACATTGTCCCTATATGTTTTTTGTTTGCTATGCTGTAGCTTCTAGTTATCTGATTGTTCTTAATATAAGATCTCTCATTTAGTTCATTGATTTTGGAAGGCAGATTTAACATCTATTTGCCATTAGAATGTTGGATGTTCTCGAACTTGCTTATGATTAAATATCTGTTTCAGGTATTTGATGCGGTAGTTGGAGACATAGCAATTGTGACAAATCGTACAAGGATTGTGGATTTTTCTCAGCCTTTCACATTAACTGGTCTTGTTATAGTGGCTCCAATCAAGAAATCAAAATCAAGTGCTTGGGTATTTCTCAAACCATTTACGGCAGATATGTGGTTTGTCACTGCAGCTTCATTTATATTGGTTGGAATAGTTATATGGATCCTTGAGCACCGAATCAATGATGATTTCCGCGGTCCTCCTCAGAGGCAAATTGTGACGATGTGTATGTAAGTCTTCATAGTAAAGTAACATAATATTTTCATAGAAAATTTGTCTAATGAACTGCTATTATAAGTTTACAATTCTCATTGGCAGATTAATTATTTAATTACTCTCTAGTGTTCGTTGTAAAACTGATATTGCTGGAGATGACCCAATATTTGTCCAGTGCTGCAGATTCTACTAACTCTATGCTATATATCAATTGTTTCTCAGGTTCAGCCTCTCAACCCTGTTTAAGACAAATCGTAAGTATACTTTTTGCTTTGAAGTCTGGTAGTTTCTTTTTTCACCGCTTTTCTTTCTTGAGTTCTCTCGTAGTTTACTGTCTTTTAAAGTTCATTTCTTTGATCAATGACATATAGTCGCATTGTGAAAGTGACAAATGGAAGCAGAATAATCATGAAATTTTCCTACACTGCCTCCTTTTTAGTGGTGAAATCATAGGACTTCTGGGTTTTGCATTTTCTTCAACTTGACAAAAATTTCAACTTTTTGTTTATTCAGAGGAAAATACAGTAAGCTCACTTAGTCGGATGGTGATGATAATATGGCTTTTTCTGTTGATGGTGATCACTGCTAGCTATACAGCAAGCTTGACTTCAATTCTTACAGTGGAGCAACTTTCATCGTCCATCACTGGCATCGATAGCTTGATTGCAAGTAACTTGCCTATAGGGTACCAAGTAGGATCATATGCTTTCAACTATCTGACAGAGAGTCTTTATGTGCAAAGATCAAGACTTGTTGCTCTAGGTAACCCTGAGGAATATGCAAGAGCTCTGCAGCTAGGGCCTTCTCTTGGAGGGGTGGCAGCTATAATTGATGAGCTTCCATACATAGAGTTATTTCTGTCAACACAAACTGATTTTGGTATTATTGGACGACCATTTGCCAGAAGCAGTTGGGGATTTGTAAGTAGCCTTACTGATCAGAAGATTTCGTAAGTGATTAAATATCAGCATGTACATTGTGATGCTAGACATAAAAGAAAGGGATTTAGAATCCCCCAGAGTATGCATGCTAAAATCAGTATGCTTATTTCTTTTAAAACAAACTCTTTAGTTTTGTGGTATGCATCGATCGTAAACTTTGATCGTATTGCTTGATATGGCTGGGTAGCACTGGCGTTAATACAATCCAGAACTGTACTTCGGTCCCTCAGTTTTTGACAGTGAACATATGAAACATGTTTGGGAACTTCATTTTGTCTATTTCTTTTGCTGACATTTTCTGCAATTTTGTATTCTGCATATTTCTTGATTTCTGATATTTCTTGCGATATCATATCAGGCATTTCAAAGGGAGTCTCCTCTCGCCCTTGATATGTCTACGGCATTTTGAAACTCAATGAAAACGGAGAGCTTCAAAGATACGAGAGCGGTGGTTCTGCAAGATGGGTTGTCCTGAAGAAAGGAGAAGCCACTCCGAGCCTAACCAACTTCGCTTGGTCAGCTTCTGGGGTCTATATCTCTCATGTGGTATCGTCACTCTCGCTTCTTTACTGGTGTATATTCTGCGAACAATTCGCCAATACATCCGATACAAGCAAAGGCAAAAAGATATCCCTTCTGGATCCCGTGAAGCATCTGGTGGTAAATGTTCCCACGTCATCTATAGCTTTTTGAATTTCATTGATAAGAAGGAAGAAGCCATCAAGAAAATGTTCACTCACTGTGAGAATCCAGAACAGCAGCCGACCTGATTATCACTGTGTGTTGTTTGAACGGATAATACTTTAGCACAATGCTAAGATTTCACCGAAAGTTGTAGGATTACTGAAGTAGTTTGCTTTGATCCGACCATGGCTCATGGCAATATATATGGTCTGTGTATAGTAAAACTTAGTAATAGAACATGTAATTGTATCATCCTCCTAGTCCTAGATTATCTTGGCAGCTGATAATGATGTAACTGTATGTTGGGTGGAAAAAGTGAATTGAGTTCAAAGGATGAACATTTTAAAAGAGCTTGATATGTGATGGCTTATGGAAAGGAGGGTGAGGGGGGATGGAAAATTTTACCTTGATGAACTCATTTAAATACCTTATTGAATATCCCATCCTATTTAACATGAGACTTGATATCTCATATTACCAAGGGTCTGCCAAAAGACCATTGCCATTATTGGGTGGGGCAAAGCTAAAGCGAGGAAGACGAAGACGAAGACGTTAGACCGTGTACAAATTTGGAGGGGTGTTTCAGTCCCTTTCAAACTGTCAACGTGAATCACGTTGCCTGCATGGGACAAACGAATCCACATTTCTCCTTTTAGGACAAAACTTTGGTCCACCCATTGCCACCTAACACTATTAATATTTCAATTTACTGCTTTCCTGTAAACTGAATGGTCCATTCCTAGATTCTTTTTAGTGTATTTAGTATTATTTGTTAATTGTTTTTCATATTTATTTCCTGTCAATAAAAATTATATACATAACATGTATTTCGTAAAAATGTCTTCAATTATCTTTTTACTGTCGTATTAAAAATTGGATCAACGTGCATCCAACTCTCAAAGTATTTTTTCGAATGTATCCAGTATCGTAAAATATTTTTTTTTCAAGTGCGTCTAGTATTTTGACGTATTTTTTTATGTGTACATCCAATACCTTAAAGTATTTTTTTAGATACAGTCAGCACTCTAAAATATTTTTTTATACATCCAGCATCAGGACAAAAAAAAATACTTGAAAGTGCTGGACACATCTAAAAAATATTTCGGCATACTGTATGTACCTCAAAATGCTTTAGATTGTTGGATATACCCATAAAAACACTTTGAGCTACTGAATGCAGCTTAACCCTAGAAACAAAAATCTGATCACATGATAAAGTCTGATATTAATTTACCTAATTTCACTATAAATTTTATATTTTTATATAAATATTAACGAAGACGCATCAACCAATAAGTACCATCATTGCTGATGGTTAAAGCGAATGAAAGGATCAGCAAGAGATAGGATAACCATAAATTAAAAATTGTAAGTATGTCACTTTTTGAGGAAAAGAAATTAGAATGATATAGTGATTAAGATGATTAATTAATAGTAATGAATAACAAAGAAAGTGGTAATCGTGAGACAGTGTTGAGATTGATATATTAAACAAATGGGTGGGGTAGCCTTTATTCCGAAGTTGAAGGCTAGAGAGCGAGGGACGTTGAATAGATATGTTGATTGTAAGACACTGAAGCAGAAAGAAAATAAAGAACAAACAACAAAGATTCAAAAGACGAAAGACGCCCCCACTTGAAAGCAAATTGTTAGAGTTAGAGTTAAGCAGCTCGAGATTCCCACATCTTATGCTTGTTTCAAAATTCATTCTCAAGTATTATAATGAAAAATATATTATTTTTTATTGAATAATATTAATTTTTCTAGGAAAAAAAATTCTATATGAATAAATTTATGAGAACTAGTTGTAGCTTGAAAAGCTGTTCATTTTACTTTCTTTTTGGAGGAAATATGAGCATGAGTGTGAAGACTTCAACATTGATTGAGAAGCGAGACAAGGAATAAATTTGTTATTAGACAATACTGGTAACTGGTGATTCAAAGATTAAAAAAAATTCTGTCTGGTTCGAAAAACAGAATGACACAATCAAGGCCTAAGCTAGAGTACCTAAGCTAAATAAAGCCTCATAAAAGATTCCATGATTCCTGTCGGCATGTAGTCGTAGCTCACCCATACAAAAAATATTCTTTACAAAACAAGACAAGAATAATATGCCCTGAAGTTGTCACCCCAAGTGAAGTTGTCAAGGGTCCCTATCTACGTTTTTACAATTCCAAGGTCTTTTTTTGTAATTTTCCCAAAAATATTCTTACAAAACCCAAGCATTGAAGTCACGTAGGATACTTCTTTCTTCCCTTTCCTGGGTATTTTTGAGTAATTACCACGACAAATGTTGAGATCCTCATTAAAAATTTTACAAGTATTTTAAATCACTCTGTACAAAACTTATAAGTGTCATTTGATATGAAGCATTAAGAATAACAGATAAAGATTAGAATTAAGATAAAGCATTAAAAAAATATTTAACATAAGGAATTGCTTGTTACTTAATTAGAATTAAGCAAACTTACATAGATGGGATTGAGAAATATAATATCTCTCCATGGTATTAATATTTTTTGTATAAATGGGAATACTAATATTTTCTATGTATAAATATTTATACAATCCTTATTACTAAAATAATTTTTTAATAGGAAATTTTTTCAGAAAAATCCCAAAAAAAACCCTTGAAATATAGAAAATTTCTGATTGGGTCATGAAATTGCGCAAATGACAGAAAGGGTCAATGACCCAATCTATCATTTGTAAAATCAAGAGAATTAACAACTTTGCCCTAGTTAAGCAACAATGAATAGTTATTCTCTAAACAAATCTAGATAACGCTTATACAGTTCTAGTGATTATATGATTAGTTGTAATTAATAACAAGGTATCTAACTACGAAAAAGTGAGTAGTTATTCTCTATACGAATCTAGGTAAAGCTTACACTATTCTAGTGATTACATGATTAGTTATAGTTAACAACAAGACACTTTACTACGAAAAAGTGAGTAGTTATTCTCTACACGAATCTAGGTAACGCCTAAATTCTTATAATGATTCTTTAAATCATTGTAGTGAATGAATACAAATGAGGGTAAAGTTGTCAATTTCTTTTGATTTTACAAATGACAGATTGAGTCATTGACCCTTTCAGTCATTTATATAATTTCAAAACTCAATCTGGAATTCCTTATATTACAAGGGCTTTTTTTGGATTTTCCCCTTTTCCCATTATTTTCAAAAATATTTCAAAACCATCCCATGGATAACTTACATAAAGAATTATTTTTGAAACAATCACTTTAAGTTACTTTTACTTCGTATAATTTATTTTTCTTGATTTTGCATTGTTTAAAATGTTAGACATTTTGATTTAAAAATGATTTTTTAAAAAAAAAACCCTTAATCAGCCTAAAATATGTGAATTTTATCGAGGGCCAGTGCCCTAATACTTCTCTAATACCCTCCTTCCTTACTTGTGAATTGTCTATTGTTGTTTTAAGGAAGTAACGAAAATGAACCATATTATAGAGATTAAAAACGAAATTTGAAAGAAAATATGAAGACTTATTAATATTTCCTCAATAGCTTTCATACGCATAAATTTGTAATTTTTTAATTATCTCTCTTTCACAGACGCGAAGAAAATATGAGGTAAGACCCTTTTATTTGCTTCCTGAGTGACCAGAGAGAACACTACTTTGTTGGGCAAAAAAAAAAGAAGAAGAAGAAGAAACACTACTTTAGACTTTGTTGTAATTTCCTCCTAATGTTAACAGCATTTTCTTAACCTAATCAAATCAAAAATAGTTTTTTCTATATACACAAAAAAAATCAAACTTTCTGGTTTCTACAATTTGATGTTACATTAATTACTTAAAACAATTACTAATATCATTCACATTAAAATATTAACGGAGACACTCGAATACATGAATATATGGTTGATTGCAGCATCACGCATATCAGAAACAAGATTCAAATATACATAAAACTTATGGCTCGTAAGTCGCAAGTTGTTCATACCAACATAACGTGATTTTAATGATAAAGGAAAACTAAAGTAAGAAACATTCATCTTCATAACCTTAAAGCAAAGTAACTAGTTTATGTTTTTGGTGTTTATGAAATTGAGAACGACCATTTAAACAGAACCACACATTTCGCTAGTGAGCCACTTGACAACAGTGATCAAATTGATATCACCATGGGGGCTCCATCCACTTTCTTCTTTGAGAATGAACTCTAGAAAATCACAATGCCAATCCCTGGAAAATGCATTAGAAGAAAAATCAGACGACGTTCTGCTTCACGTTTAGTTCTTTACGTACAATATTGTAATTTTGCATTTACCATTTCAAAGGAAAAGACGCGACTGTCCCGTTACCTTGAAGCTGTTCTTGGAAATGGTAGTTGGGAGAGTGCTTGAGAGCAAGTGAATGATTCTTTCCTTGAGCTTTCAACACTGTAACTTCCTTTTTTTTCCAGCCACTCCTTTAATTTGGGTTGGTCGAATCTTTCAATCACATGCATTTAGTGGGCTTTCATCTTTATTTGGATTTCAACATCATACGCTTTCCTCTGCTTAACTTCTTCTCCAGGTCTCTATTACACCATGCGTTGTTTCCTATTTTAGTAATAAACGAGGCATGTGGTTATTGTCCAACATATTTATATGTTCAATGTTTTCTCTTCATTTCACTGATGAGCATTTAATAGTGGGCTTTTCTCATTCCATTGATCATTTGAATTTCATGGTACCAAATTTGAAAATTCAAACTGCTTTCTTGTGGTATGCTGAGTCTTGTTTTGAGTCTAAATTCCACAAGTTTTAAGCTTGCGGGCTCTAGTTGATGATAAAACAGAGCCCTGCTGTGTTTTGCTACTTCTAACTGTTGCCTCTGTTCTACTGAAACGGTTGATGCTTGACAGATGACATGTCATAGTTCTCTCCGATTGATGCTGGTCTGAAGGCTAAATTTCTGGCTTTACAAGCTTTTCCCATAGTGGAGGCCATCTTCATTACAAGGCAGGGCCAGATGGCTGTGGCTCCAACGTTATTCCTCCTGGTTTTCTGGTTATGGATTCCCACAGAAGCCGTCGGCAGGACAAGAAATAGTACCATGGCAAATAGTACTGTTCCTTCAAGACCGAATCTTGTGAGAGTTGGAGCCCTGTTTACGTATGATTCGGTCATTGGAAGATCTGCTAAACCTGCAATTTTGGCTGCTGCTGCTGATATTAATTCTGATACAAGCATTCTCAGCGGGATAAAGCTGGAGGTTATTTTACATGATACAAACTGCAGTGGATTTCTTGGAACGGTAGAAGGTATCCCCCCCCCCCCCCAAACTCCAAAATTTTATTGAGTAGAAGCTCAGTTTCTTCTTGCTGAGTTATTCTTTTCAAAGTTTGTAGATTCCTTCTTGTTAGATCATATTCTGCTTGATCCTGGCATGAGTGCTTGCCAACAGAAATGGCTAACGGTTCTTGCGTGTTTTTTGCTGTAATACCGCAACACATTGAAAAGATAGCACCCAGAATTACCATTTGTCAGTTAGTGAAGAGAAACTTGCATTTTTGGGGAAATTCTTATTCTTTGATGGAATCCTAGACGGTCATTGATGATTTGCATGTTCATTGGATGTAGTCTTGAAAGAAGAGTTAGTTGAGACAATATTTTGATTTTGTCTTCTTTTCCTTCTCCCATGGACTTGTAAGCAAGCTTAAATGAGTTTTCTGATGATGTAGCTTTGCAGTTAATGGAGAATGATGTGGTCGCCGTTATTGGCCCACAGTCGTCTGGGATAGCTCATGTGATCTCTCATGTTGTTAATGAACTTCATGTACCCCTTCTGTCATTTGGGGCAACCGATCCTAGTCTGGCTTCTCTGCAGTATCCTTATTTCATCCGCACTACTCAAAACGATTATTTCCAGATGTATGCAGTAGCAGACTTGATTGAATATTATGGATGGAGAGAGGTAATCGCTATTTTTGTGGATGATGATAATGGAAGAAATGGAATTTCAATATTGGGCGATGCGCTTGCACAGAGACGTGCCAGGATCGCCTACAAGGCTGCTTTCCCTCCAGATGCTTCCAGAACTTCCATAAATGAACTGTTAACTGGAGTGAATTTAAGGGAATCGCGGGTCTATGTTCTGCATGTGAATCCTGATTCAGGTTTGGCAATTTTTTCTCTTGCCAAAAAGCTTGGGATGTTGAGCAATGGCTATGTTTGGATTGCAACTGATTGGCTTCCTTCAGTGCTTGATTCACAAGCACCAGCTAGCCTTGAAACTCTGAATCTCTTACAAGGGGTTGTTGCATTTCGTCATCACGCTCCTTATACTGATATGAAAAATAAACTTCTCTCTAAGTTGAAAAAATTGAACAACACTAAGACTGCAAGCTTCAATTCTTATGCTTTGTATGCATATGATTCTGTCATGCTAGCTGCCCATGCTTTGCATGATTTTCTCAATAATGGCGGAACCACATCTTTTTCCAGTGATCCTAACTTGCATGACACTAACGGAAGTTTGTTGCATTTATCATCACTTCGAACTTTCAATGAAGGCCCCAAGTTTCTGCAGAAGGCCCCAAGTTTCTGCAGACAATCCTGAGAATGAATTTCACTGGTGTTAGTGGTCAAATTCAGTTTGATAAGGACAAGAATTTAATTCGGCCAGCATATGACATTGTAAACATTGGTGCATCTGGACCTCGTATTATTGGTTTTTGGTCTAATCACTCTGGTCTTTCAAATATTGCTCCTGAAGTATTATACTCAAAATCACCTAACAAGTCTATTGGCAATAAACATCTGTCCAATGTGATATGGCCAGGATTGACTTCAATTACACCCAGAGGATGGGTATTCCCCAATAATGGAAGACCACTGAGAATTGCAGTGCCAAATCGAGTAAGCTTCACGGAGTTTGTTGGCAAAGACAAGGACCCTCCTGGGGTAAAAGGTTATTGCATTGATGTCTTTGAAGCAGCGTTAAATTTATTGCCTTATCCTGTCCCTAGGCAATATATACTATATGGACACGGCGATAGAAACCCTAACTATGATGATATTGTGAATCAGGTCGCACAAAATGTGAGTTTCTAAGTCTAACTTCCAACCTTAATTAGTTATCCTCTGACTTTCCGCTGTGCTAATACTTTTTGCCCTTTTCTTGTTTAGAAATATGATGCTGCCGTAGGGGATGTTACTATTGTCACAAACAGGACAAGGATTGTGGATTTTACTCAGCCTTACATGACTTCAGGTTTGGTTGTAGTTGTTCCTGTCAAAGAAGTGAAGTCAAGCCCATGGTCTTTCCTTAAGCCATTTACTGCACAAATGTGGTGCGTCACTGGTGCCTTTTTCCTTTTCGTGGGAGCTGTTGTGTGGATTCTTGAACACCGGCACAATCATGAGTTCCGAGGACGACCGAGGAAACAACTTATGACAATCTTTTGGTTAGTATGTTGTAACTTTTGTGAGATAGCACCGATGCGATTGCTTATGTTTCTTGTCATATCTTGATTCATTCAGTTCTTGCTTGGTGAAGAACTCCAGGTGAACATATAATTTCATACCTGTTAATTTACTTCATCTTACGGAAATTACTTCATCTTTTGCAGGTTTAGCTTCTCAACAATGTTTTTCTCACACAGTAAGCATCTTATGCAATTTTTATCTGAAACTGAAAGCATCCTTATTTTGTATACTGCAAAGTTTCTAAATTGTTGATGCTTCTGGGGCGGCATATGTAGGAGAGAACACTGTGAGTTCTCTAGGGAGATTGGTGCTGATCATTTGGCTTTTTGTGGTGCTAATTATCAATTCAAGCTACACAGCAAGCTTGACATCCATCCTCACAGTGCAGCAACTTTATTCACAAATTGAAGGCATGGACAGTTTAATCTCAAGCACTCAACCAATCGGGGTTCAAGACGGGTCATTTGCCCGGAAGTATCTCATAGATGAGCTTAACATTGCTGAAGCAAGAATCATTGTACTGAAAAATCTGCAGGACTATATTGATGCCCTTGCGCGCGGACCCAGAAATGGAGGGGTGGTAGCCGTTGTTGACGAGCTTCCTTATGTTGAACTCCTTATATCCAGCACCAATTGTCAGTTCAGAACCGTAGGCCAAGAATTCACAAAAAGTGGATGGGGATTTGTAAGTAGTAGTGTCTTATCTTTTTGGTTATCACTATGTCTCTGATTGATGTTTATATAACATGTTCATGTGCAAGACAGGAGTACTAAGAAAGACGGTGATTTGGGTTTGCTTGATGACAGGCATTTCAAAGGGACTCTCCACTTGCGGTGGACATGTCAACGGCAATTCTGCAGCTATCAGAGAATGGCGACCTGCAAAAGATCCACGACAAATGGTTGTTAAAGAAGGAATGTTCTCCAACACAAAACGATGATGAAAATTCAAACCAACTATCACTGAGTAGCTTCTGGGGATTGTTCCTCATAAGTGGGGTGGCGTGTCTGCTTGCTTTGATTGCCTTCTGTGTAAGGGTGTTTTGTCAGTTCACAAAATTCGCACCGGGCACTGATGAGGAGGAGGGCGACCCGGAAGAAACGCCGCCACGAACCGCCAAACCTAAACGCCCGTGTCGGACTCCTAGCTTCAAGGACTTAATCGAATTTGCTGATAAAAAAGAAGCTGATATCAAAGAGCAAATCAGAAGACAGGGTAACAAACGTGCACGCTCCCGAAGCTTCGACTACTAACCCACTTAACCTTTCTAAATATGTCGCTCCTCTTGTCTTATTTTAGTTATTCTCCGGTCTTTCATCCCACCACGGCCAATTTTCCACTTTTATTTTATGTTATTCCCAATTCCAAACTCATTCCCTCCTATCTGCCCTGTAATTGTAATAATGTGATGAGATTTGCATCTTATAGAAAGCAAATAAAACCACATCTTCCCACCTTCCTTCCCTTTGACTAACGACGAATTTGACCCTCTTAGTGATTGACATGAAAGTATTACACTTGGTCTTCTTGTTTATTTTTTTTTTCTAATTAAGATTAAATATATTTTGTTTCTCATATTTATATTTTTTTCTCAAGATAGTCTCTAACAATAGTAATTATAGCCAATACACTTAATTAGCAAGGATATTTTAGAAAAAAACACATATTTATTACAAATAACTAATTTAATTTCTTTCCTTAATCTCTTTAAATTAGTCAACTAGTTCTTATAATTAGGATCGGGAATAATATTATATATGCTGATTAAGATACACGCACACTGCAGATATATATCCTCTTTAAGAGCTTAACACGATTTATAAGTCAGACTTTTGTTTTGACATTGTGAAAATTCGTCCTTCGTAATTTTGTAAGTAATAAAATTTAAAAAAAAATTGTCTCCATAAATGCAATTTCTTAAAGATAAGACTGTGGTTACTGGTTCGTCGGAAAGGGAAATTTAGTTACCTAGAAGCATAGCCCCAACCAGAAGTAGGTGCCAGTTGATAGCGTGATTGACCTGTCAATGTCAAAATATCCGCAGCGTGACAAGGCGAAACAAATGATTGGATTTAATTAATTAGTAATAAGGTTTTGACCGATAATTAGAAACCCCCAATGAAATGCCCAACATACCCCTGTGAACCTGGAATGGAAGTGCCTGGGGTTTTTGGGTCAACGTTCCCCCCTTAAAGTTGTAATCTAATATTGAATGTCGATAGCCCATAAATTCGTTGTAACGGAAATCAGTTGATATCGAAATCAATTTATATTTATAATTCGTAATAAATTCAGTAAATATATGTTATATATTAATGGAGGGAACGATATGCCGAAACTGCCCCGGAGTTTGAAGAAAATAGAATCATATGCTGGAGCCGAACCTGATTCTTCATGGCCAGAGAAAATGGACGAGAGACTCGCTTCGGCTTGAGAGAGGCCATCCCATGGATACTCAGTAATTTTGATTTTAATGCAGAAACAATGACTCAGTTCGGCCGGAAAATCATGAAGTCAAGGATTCGCCGAACGATTCAACACCGTATCTCCGTCGTGCGCCCGTGCGTTCTCCGCATTCTTCACCGCTTCCCCTCGTGTTATGGAAGAAATAGATACCGCATGCTGTCGCTGCCGTCGTTGGCCGAGCAGCCGTCTTCGCCGACCTCTGCCGCTGGAGATACTGGTGAATTGGGGGAGGCGACGTCCCCTCTGTTCCATAGCCCTGAATTGGAGTCTGACTTGGTGGCTTTGAAGATCAGCCTCCTTGGTGACTGCCAAATTGGAAAGACCAGCTTTTTGGTTTGTGTCCTCTATTGCATCAATGTTTTTCATTTTATTTTTACCTGATCAATTGTTTTTATTAGTTTTTTTCCCTCTGTTGAAGGTAAAGTATGTGGGGAATGAAAATGAGGAGAAATGGGAACACAGGGAAGGATTAAACCAGATGGACAAAACTTTAGTAGTAGGAGGAGCCCGCATATCATATTGTATCTGGGAAGTAGCAGGTAAAAAAAAAAAAAAAAGGAAAATAATTTAGGAAGAAAAAAAAAACACTTCCATAATTATTTATGTTAATCTGCAGGTGATGGAAAGTCAGAAGACCAGATTCCACTGGCATGCAAGGACTCTGTTGCAATTCTGATTATGTTTGATCTAACGAGTCGGTGCACCTTAAACAGGTTTGTTCACTATTAAGATACTCGTAATCTCGGAGGCCAAAAAAAAAAAAAAGAAGTTTGCTCTTAATCAATTTAGGCTCATGTTCAATCCAGAATATTAAATTATTCAAGAACTCTAAACCCTGTAATAACTCTCTGTCCCGTGTAAATATGTTTCAGTGTCTTGGGGTGGTACAGGGAATCCCGAAAATGGAATCAGGTAATAATTTATGTTATTTCAAAAATGATGTCTGTTTAACCTCAATTCAAATCCAATAATGCAAAGCTTGAAGCCCCAAAATAAAAAGTTGTAAGAATATTTGGAACATGAGTTATAAAGTTGTACGTGTGATTTGGCAGAGCGCAATTCCAGTGTTGGTTGGAACCAAATTTGATGATTTCATTCAGCTACCTATTGATTTGCAGTGGGCCATCGCCAGTCAGGTAAACATTCCCCAACTTCACCCTTCCATTCATTTCTATGAAGCAAGGGAAAACTGAATTTTAGTCACTATATAAAATTACTTAATTTTTTAAAACTATAACAAATTAAATTCATGCTATTCAATCTAAAATATAATTGGTTAGTACTTTGTAATTTTCATGATATTCTTTACCATAATTTTTACTTTATAATAAAAAGAAGAGTGATATAATATAATTCAAGCTGCCCATGGAACATGAGAGAGAAATTTGTCTTGTTCAAAATTGCAATCACCTCTCACTTGATCGTATAGAAGTTGTAAAGAACATTCTGATCCATGGAAACTGTTCAGATTAGAGAAGACTTACCTGAATCTTTTCGAGTCAATGCTTGAAAGTGAAGCTTACATTCTCGTTTCTTCAATCTTACACATTCGCCATTTAATATAAATGTGGTTGTTGTCGGTTGCAACAAAGACTCCTTAAAGTGATAGGGACTGCGCCTCAAAAGCAACAAAAAGAGCCCCCAACCATGTTGAATTCAACTTTCCAAGAATGAATGAATAATTGTGATCCCCATCCATGTTGAATTCAACTTTCTAAGAATGAATGTATAATTGTGAGCACTTGATATTACAGTCTAGTTTCCTCTAGTGGCTAGACATACGCCTATCTTATAGATTGAATTAATTGTAAGATACGGTACCGAAATGTTGTACAGATTTATTAAGATCTGGGTGTTCAATCATGAATGATCCTAAAGGCAGCCATCCATATTCCCATGCCTAATTGTCTGCGTTTTGACAAACAGTGCATACGTTGTTCAAGTTAAATGCTTACAAAGAAATGGTAATTGTGCTTGTGATGTGTATGAGATTGTGATGGATTGAGCAGGCAAGAGCATATGCAAAGGCCCTCAATGCGACGTTGTTCTTCTCAAGCGCTACCTACAACATCAATGTGAATAAGATCTTCAAGTTCATCACAGCCAAGCTGTTCGACCTGCCATGGACAGTGGAACGGAACTTGACTGTTGGAGAGCCCATCATCGACTTCTAATCATGTACAAACTTTTGAACATTAACAATCGATGTTGGAGTAATCTTGTCCAAAACTCAACCGGGCCCCATTGAAATCAAGTCTTAAAGGGGCAATCAGAGTTGTTAGGCTTGCACGACGATACCCAGACAACGAAGGTTCTTGTCTCGAAGGAAGGGAAGCATGTTCGAAGTGCCGAGACTAGGGCCATCCTTCACTGCGGAGAGCAATGCGCCATGCAGAGCTCGATTGATTTGCAAATACCTGTACTTAAGGACCCTGTTTCATGTTCTGGCATCCATATGAAATTATTCCCTTGTCCATTTCACTTTTCGTCCCTCTGACCCGTCACCTCTCATACTTAATTATCTTCATCTTTTTAAATTCTTCTACAGACGGTAAACACGGGAAAAGTAACGAAGAAAATGAAAGATGCTACATGTTACTTGTATCAAAAGATTAAATGTAAGAAGCACGCATGCTCGGAGAAAAGAAGGGGAGGGGGGGTTAAACTTGTTTGATATTTGTACGGTGAAATTGTAAGAACGCGGAGATCAAAATTGAGGACCACATGAAAGCAACGGGCTACCAAACCAGTTCTTAAAGACTTAAAGTTGTTGTCGAAAAAGGCACACAACTCAAACTTCACTCTGCTCATGGGGATCAACTGTACAAATTTACATGGATCTGGTGGTTCATTCCTGCAATTGTCACACATATCACAAGCAGGACAATAAAACATACTCGATAATTTATTGAAAATATTGTGACAGCGTTCATTGTACAAGCTTCGCAAGAGATGATTCAACTCATGCTGGAACAGTCTTGTATGTATGGGTTTCTCATAGTACATGACGCAAATTCCACTGTTAACGTATCAAAATCTAAAACACTTGTCGTGCAGGATTAGAACTGCCAAAAAACAAAAGTCAAGAACAGACGTAACCCAATTTTTTTTTTTAAAAAAAAGAAACTTTAAATCTTTATAGAAGGGCTTCTTTACGTCGGTGAACTTTTTGCTTAACGGTAACCTCTCCCGTCGACGGCCAGTGAAGCGCTGCTATTTTGGCCCGAGAGACCAAAGTGAGATCCACTATTTTTAGAACTATACAATTTTATTTTTTTTAAAATTTTGAAGAATCAAATTATAAACGAGAGAGAGAGAGGAGCCGCTATTTTTACAATATGAATCCAAAGAAGGAGCGTTGTTGAATTTTAGAACTTCAAGATCCTGTTTTTTCTGCAACCCCATCTCTGTCTCTTTTACTCATTCTTGTGTCCCATCTCTGAGAAACCTGCAAGAAAAACACAGAACCTTGTAAGGCCAAAGGAAATGGGTTGTTGCGTAAAGCTGATAGACGCAATTCTGTTCCTCTACTTTCTGCTAATAGCACTGGTAGCTCCACTCATAGATGCTCAGACATGCGTGCCTGCCAATTACTTTCCACAGCCCCTTATCAAGTTCAGGACATGGTACAGCCATGAATACCAGGACTACCTAATCATGGAGAAGCCCCATTTCTTCGTAGGCCTGGTCTGGCTTGAGCTCATCTTCCAGTGGCCCATTGCTCTTATGAACCTCTATGGCATTCTCGCCGCCAACTCTTGGTTCAACACCACTTGCCTCATCTACGGTGTTTCTGTGTTTGCTTCCATGGTATTTACTTAATCTGTTTTCTTATTCTCCTTTGTTTCTTCAAAATAATTGTCGGCTTTTGCCCCCAAAACAAAATACATACTTTATATCAGATTTCGCTGTCACAAATGCATTTCTGAACAAAAGTTTTTTTTTTTTGGAACATTGTTTTCTTGTTTTTGATCCGGAAAAAAAATAATTCATATTTTTGTCAGGATGCCTGTGTCGTCAACCAGAAATGTCCAGCATCATCGATTATATAGTGTAATTAACTTAAAACCTGTGTATCGAGTTAGGGCTGTGGAATCTTCTTCGAGAACAGCATCAAAACCTGTGGATTTCTAATTATTGGCACACCAAAAAAAGACCGTGCGGTGTCATTATCATGTGGGAATATTAATTGAACCTGGATAATCTTTGTTTTGTGTTGTGTGTGTTGCAGGCTGCTGTGTTGGGAGAATTGATGGGTTCTGGAAGGGCATCAGAAAAGCTAGCGATGGTGTACTTCTCTTGCATGGTGTTTAGTGTTATAGCAACTCTGCGAGGCTTCATGCCGAATTGCACCTCCACTTCCTCCGGCAATGGCAAGAGAATTCTCAGGAAAAAGCGAGCTTGAATCAAACATTACACAATCATTCACTCATTAGTTCAACTTAATTTCGATCGTCTTATAGTTCAGTTTTCTCTCCTTTAATTTCTTGTTTCTTTTGGGTCCGCACCTCCTTATTGAATTGAGTATGTAATTTTGTACGACTCTGATCTGATTTTTTCGAGCTCCCCATGGTTGCTCCAAATTAAATGACGCATAGATCCCTATTGGTTAATTTCGGGCAAATTGAAATTCCATATAGCTAGCAGGTCGCTCAGCATGATTTGGGATTTGCATGGGTGCTCATCAGGATCTGGACGGTCCAGATTTATTTATTTTTATTTTTTAAAAATAATTATTTAATAGGTATAGAATAAAAAATAAAGATAATCTCTTAACTATCATATTTTTAAAAAATAATTTTTTCGTTTTGTAATTATTTAAAATATTAAATCTGGACCGTCAGATTAGATCTGTACGGCCAGATTTCTCATCACTTGATGAGCACTGGGAGCTCACTTGATGAGCGAATGCAGGCCCGATTTTGTGCACTAATTTGCATTACTATACACAAGGTTTTTAAATTAAATATTTGTCGGTCAATATCTTTTTGCATATCGCTTTGGCCATACGATCAAAACAAAAAGTTAGAGGTAGTCTGGGCTAAAATATTATGACTGTATAGTTGTGCTTATATAACTGCAACCGATTCAATAATAATGACAATTAAACAGTTCAGTAATATATAATTTTTAAAATTGTGACTAATAATCTGATAGCCATTCGTAAAATAATAAAAATTTAAAATTTTCTTTCTCTGCAAGGCCAAACTGGTTGGATTATCCAACATTTCCACTACAAAGAACAAAAAAAGCAAACTGAAGAGAATTACGTAAACGAAACGAAAGCGACTTAATTAATTACCAGCAAGCAGCAACATTAATTGATTCCAAAACTTGAAAATGGGTAAAATAGATAGTGAGAAAAATTAACGAGTGAACACTAGTGGGTGCAAGCTTTCCACCACCTAGTGCTTAATTCTGATACACAAGGAAAAAATAACAATTGAAGAAGGACAGACACATATAGTAATGGAGGTAACACGAAAGCTATAAAGTCCTAGTCATCCAAAAAGCTAGCTCACCCTAACCACGTAGTCTTGAATAGAATAGGGAGTAGTTAAACGAGCAGGGTTTAATTTAACTCTCATATAACATTTTGGGTAAATAGGAGGGAAGTCAAATCCCGAACCTTAATCCTCTCAGTAATCTTTTCAACTACAGAGAAGGGCTCATGCAAATAAGGTGCGCTCTTGACTTGTCCTCGTTCGTCCTCTCTATATATAAGCTGAAGTTCCGCACATCACGTCTTCTCATTCTCCTAATTAAACTGCAACACAACCAACCAATCAAACAGACCATTACACAAATTAATAACAGCAACCAGGCTGGACAAGAAGGGTCATAGCTCAGCTTACCAAATTGACAAATTAGTCATTAGGCAGCTTCACAGGATAAAGAAGCCTTAATTCTCTCAACAGTGCAGGCAATGAGATTATTGACCGTGGCAACGGATCCAAGAGAAAGTTTCGCTGTGGGAACTGAGTCAACCAAAATTTGGAAGGCAACAGTCAAGAGAGATCCACCGTGTCCCGTGGTTCCATCTGGAAGTATAGCAAATCCAGAAGGAAGAAGGGCCACGTAATCAGGGTCCCCTCCATTTAGAACCAGGTTCATGGCCGCTATATCCACTGGTGCATATACCACAAACGACCCCGTTGTGTCTCTGCAGCTTTCTTGCAATATTAACATATTGCTTTGGCTAGAATTCGCACTCTACAGTTATATAAATATCCACGTTATTATTCAAATTTACTACATGGTCTCCGGAAAATGATAATAAGGTTCGCAATAGTTACCAGCTGTGAACTCACATTTACCCGAAGTAGAGATACACAATTCCCTGTGTCCTGGCCATTAGCTATATGTGCCATTTCTTGGACTACTCCACCATTCGAAAGAATATCCCACTGTTGTTATAATATAACGGGGATTCAAAGTGCACGTTAATCAAAACAGATCAATAGTACGATGCATAAGGGACACACACTTTGAGCCATATACGTAGAGCGAACAAATGTGAAGGTTGCATGACATATACCTCATTTCTGGAATTCTCATCACGGAGGAAATCAAAAACTCTATTAGGTGGAACTGGAAGCCAAAAAGAAGTTGCAGCACTAAGAACAATGCCGGGAGGCCTTCCCGGGTCATCCACACTCTTACGGGTCATTACCCTTACGTCATCAGCTCCAGTTCCAGACAGTGTAGTCCAGGTGTGAGCAGTAGAAGCACTCACCCCTGCACAAAAGCTCATCACCATTCTCTCTGCCAGTTTCAGCATGCTCTTCCTCCCTTCTTGATTCGTTATCACTACAACACACAACAATCAAAATCCAACTCCCATCAATGATTAATCCGCTTTACTTAACCCTAGTCCTTTCTAATTACAAGACATTATATTTAGCTACATATAGAAATAGTAGTTAAGGAAACATACCCCCAACATCACCGGGGGGAATATTTGTTGCCATGGAACTAGCAAGCCTTTCGCATTGTCGATCCAAAGTAGCCACCCAACGTTTTGCCCCAAAAGCATGTCCACAGCTGACGAGCTGCTTGTATAGATCATGAACTCCTCTATCGTCCACCTCCACATGCTCAACCCAAGTCACCTACGCCATCGTCAAGTCATTATTAATTGAACAATAATACCAGAACTTATATATACTTGTTAACTGCGTACCTTTGAGTAGCCGTTAGGCATTTCATGAATTAAGCAGCCGGAAGGCCTTCTTCTACATCTCACTGAAGGGCTAGGCCGCAAATTATCCAACGATACATCCACCACCGCCCATGTCCCTTCCCCATGCTGTTTGCAATATCTTACGAAATAACTCTCTCGAGTTGGCACTAGAGGTGTAGGTACTTGTAGCTCTGCCGTCATCTGCACCATCAAAAGTTCGGTTTTCTCTGTGCTTTGAATTGCCAAAGTAATGATGTGCTATTAATTTCACAGAATATCAGTAAGGGAAGTTCTAAATCATAAGTCTCTACCACTTGCAAGGCTCCATTGTAGTTCCCAGCCACCCCCGTCGATAATACTTCCAGGGTCATTGCTCTTGAGACCATACCCGAGAACACCGTGGACCATTGATTCTGGTGATTAAAACAAAATGTCAAGTCTAGAACACATATAATGTAGTAAACACTAAAAGGAAGAAAAAATAACCACATAATAGGACCGCAGAAGCCCTGATATGTGCCTACCACATCCATGAGGATCTCAACAAGACTGATATGGTTCATGATAACAACAGCAGTTTCTCTAGAAGCTTCACACTTGAATCCAGCAGGTTTTGGACCAATGCCACGGGGGAAAATTCTGATATATTCATCCTCGTTAAGGACTGTGGTAGTTCCGTCAAGAGTGGTCATCCATAATGGCTCACCCATTTGTGCCATCCTCACCAGCTCTTCCATGGCAGCCACAGCTAGCTCTATTATCATTGGCTTATCGGCTTCGCTAGGCCCGCTGATAGACCTAACAACATCTCCACCTCCATATACGTCCCCACCAAAACCACTTACACCAAGTTCCAATGGCCGCGGAGGAATACTTGTTGGGGAAAGCAGTGGATAGTTCACCACTGGCTTCCCCACGTACTTTGCAGCAATTGCTGAAATCCTATCAATCTGAACATAACGGCAACAAAAATGAGTCACATTTAATATAAGGTGTGGGTATACACACACGTACTTAGCTTCATTACTCGAACAATAAGTTCCAAAATTTTGGATTATTGTACCTCTTCTCGTAGGCGACCATTTTCCATCCTCAAATGATGCTCATCAAAAGACATTTCACCTACAGCGGTTGGTCCACCGCAATTTGGACATGAGGCATTGCTAAGAGCTTCCCTATACCTCATGTTGTCCGCTCGAAGCTTCTCATTTTCGGCTCTAAGTTGTGAGTTCTCTTGCCGCTCATGTTGGGTCTGTAATAATTAACACAACATATCATATATATATTTAAGGGGTTTAGCACCCAAAACATTCCATAAGCGTACCTTCATCTGAGTTCGCTTGTTTTGGAACCAAAACTTGACCTGCAATGGCTCTAACCCTAATTCCCGGCTCAGTTCCTTTCTCTGCTTGTCATCTGGATGCGGACACTCCTTAAAGAAACTAGAAAATAGAATAAAATATAGTTCGCATCTTTGAGATGTCAGTATGTATGGGGAAATTGAGAGGAAGAAGAAAGTAGATGTGTTGTGTCGGGTTAGCATTCTCACGCTTCCATTTCCTGGATCTGGTGCTGAGTGTGGCGGTGGTAGCGCTTCTTCTTGGGACGGGGATCATGGTCGTCGCCAGAGGCGCCTTCCTGGTTTTCACTGCCGGACTTGGTGGCACTGTCGAAGTCGTCTTCTCGGATGCGGGGGACATCGCTCTCGGAGGTGTTGGGAGCCATGTCCAATGGGAGGAGCTGACCTTCCATCATGTTTGGCTGGAACATATCTACAGATCTTTAAGATTCCCAAGGCTTATGGTTTTTCAATCTAACAAACACAATACCACAAAATAGTACCACTCAAAAAAGAAACTAGAAAACAACGTTTTCTAACACATACTATACTTACTTATGTTCACACAGTACAGGATTTTACAATTATTTTTGACAACTAAAAAAGTCGTGCGGAAAGGGATTTGACTAGTTTTTTCAGTGGGGTAAACCTAATGATGTAAAAGTAAGAAGATTTGAACAGTGAGAGAAGAAAGGATGACGCGGTTTCCGAATATCGAGAACGATTTACCTGGTATAATACGTGAATTACTCCGCTTCGGTGAGATCAAACTTCACTAAAACGGGTAAAGTATTGCGATATTCTCATGAAACAGAAAATTAACAAGGTTTAAGAAGAACGCCGAAATGCGAAGAAAGCAGAAAAATGAATCTAATCGCAGCCAGCAAATTAGTATCTGAATTTTGGGGAAAGATATGGAGGACGTGAGGTGAAAAAAGAAGGGGGCCGGGGAGGGAAATCGAGAGAAGAGACCTTGGGGAGACAAAATAGAGACACGTGGGCTGAAAGTGAAGCACCGACCTGGCCGAGAGTGAGACCTGAGGATGATCCAAAACCCACCAACGTTGCCGTTCCTTCCCATCACCGAGGTCATATTTCTCGCCGGAATCATCATACCGGCAGGCATATTTTCACTACCAAAAGCAGTATTTCCTCTTTCTCTAACTTTCAGTTGTCTCAGTACCCACTAGCCAGAACTGATAGGATGCCTATTATGAATGAAGAACTTTTGGGGTTGAGTTGCTGAGCTGTTGACCGATGGTATGGAGGCACTACAAAGAAGAAGAAAAAACAAAGACCGTGAAATTGCAGGCATTACAACGTGGCCTCGTCTGCAAGAGAGAAGGTCTCATGTTTTATACCCCAAACACATCAAACTTCCTTCATCAAGAAAAGGAAGTTGAATACAGTGTTTTGCGACGATTTCCTTATTCAACACAAGTGATCTGTAGGCCGTAAATATACATGAAGGTCTAATAGAACTTGTGCAGAAATACACTTAACAGTTACCAGTGATCAGCAATAGTTCTGTTGAAGGCGATCAAGATCCGTTCTGGGGCTAAAAGAGGACCCTTTTGGAAAAGCCGTTCGATCTCAGAAAGTTACGGTAAGCGCTAATAACCGTCAAGAGACGAAGAGTTTGCTGGAGGCATGATCCAGCTGGTAGCCAGAAAGCTTGTTGACAGAGAGGAAAGGGACGGGGGAGGAAGAGGAAGAGGAAGGAGGAAGAAAAGACAAGGAATTGAAAGAGGTAAAGGAGGCAACAGATGGAGAAAAATATGACAGTGATGAGTAATTGCAGAGCGTATTGAGAGGGTGCAATTGCATTTAATGGTAGGCGAAGGAGGTGTAATTGCTAGTGTGAAAGAGAGATATGCAAAGCATTTTTTTTCTTTTTTTTCTTTCCATTACAAACTTTTGCCCTTGCGCCTTGTGATTTTGGGGAAAATAAATAAATAAATAAAAATCCGTACTTTTGATGGTGAGCGACGGCTACGAAGCCTCCTCGATCGTCATATTTTTTCTCCTTTTCTTTTTCCTCCATACTAATTATCTATATATAAAATAAACGTATTTGTTTGGAATTGAAAGTTGAAGTTTTTTTTTGGGGGGGAATTTACTGCTTTTAGCGCGGGAAAATTATGGACGAATGAACAAATCGATGTAATGAATGCTATATTAATTTTGACACCGCTTCTCTTTCTGCATGGTATAGACTAGTTAATACTAGAACCTTTTGTTCCTCCTCCCCCCCCAAATCCATTAATTTCCAACCATATGAGTAAGTTGTAAGCAGAATTTATTTTTATAAAGAAATTTATTCGAATTGATTAATACAAGAAGCCAGGGGTCAGGAGTCAGGACTGTGTAGGAGCCGATTATTCCGGCCAGAGAAACTCGATCGCTATATCGGCCGTATTAATTCGGTATTTTAAGGAACGTAACTTAAATGGATGATGCTTTAATTAATTGCATTGCATCGCATCATCGTAGTCAATTAAATGCGGTTGACGAATGACTTCGATTTTTTAACCCCAAAAAAATTGACCAGAAAATGTTTTGAATTTGGATTCATGTAGTATGCTGAAATGCGTATATACTCGTACATTAAAATGCGTTTTTATATTTCCGTATAAAAGCATGATATTTCTAAACTACTACTTAGAAACATTATTAGATTAAAAATGTTGGTTGATGAATTTGATAAATTGATTTGAGAAAAAAAATAATAAATATAGAAGACAGAATAAATTGAAGTTTGATTTTATATAAAATCAAATCCAACTTTCAAACTAGGTTTTATATAAGAATTGAAGGGAGTATAAAATATTTTTGAAATATAAAGGAGAAAACAGAAAATAGAGGGTGGATAGAAAAACAATAAGTAAACATATATATCACGATTTGCATAGTTTTTCAAACAACATGCGTATCCTAATGCTAACAAGTTGGATGTTGGTCTTATGTTTATAGAATACTTTCTGTTCTGTTCTAAATATACATCAATTTGTTTTGTCTCTCAAATTTATAATATGTTTTTAAAAATATTCCTATTGATTGTTAGGTATTTTCATCCAAGTATAATTTTAATGTATATGATTGAATAAGAATAATTTACAAAAGTCAACACATATTTGTTACAAATAATAATTTACTAATTTTTTTAATTTCTTCAAATTATTTATCTGACTCTTACATTAAAGATCGGAGGTAGTAATTTTTTATGAAAAAAAAGTTGGAAAGTTGGCTTTGACGCATTTTCTTGACAGGGGAGAAATTGAGATACTTGACGTCCCACGAGCTTGAGAAATAAAGATAGTAGAGAAATTGAAATGGTTGTTTTGTTTCATGGAATCAATGAGCCGGGCAAGATTGACCATTGATAATGATTTTGGTAATAAATATAATACGACTACGTCAAGAAACAAATTGACATAAAATACTAGGCCTTACCTTAAACTATAAATGCACGAAATGCATTATTGGAGGAAAAAAGGAGAGAATGGAAAGTTAATTATATGAGTGGATATAAATTCCAGGAAAAGACGACGAATGGTCCCTTGACACTACGTACAATCAGGAATTTCAGGTGAATGCTCCTTCTCGCTCTTTTTCTTCTCTGGCAATAGGAAATCAACTCCCTCGAACTGATCGACCAGAACATGCATGCCGGGAGGGTCAAATCTGATTCTTTTAAGTTAAAATTAAAATTAAAATGATTATATTAATTGGATTTAGCCTACGAACGTGGAGCTTGCCAAGCCAAAGAAAAATACTAACCATCACTATTCTTATTGTTTACATTGTATTAAAAACCGGTGGTAATACATAAGCAGAACTTACTTGTAAGAACTTTTTTGTTTTCCCAAGAACTTTAATCGTCTTTAATATAACACCTTATACAAAATTTGTAGAGAACCCATTACTATTTTTTGAAAGATATATGTTTCATAATGGTAACACTCCCACTATTCTTGCTTTTGAAATGGGATGAAGAGCTTATTGAGTTTAATAAAGGGTAGCTTCGAAACATTGTATATACTTCCTTTAATTTGATCTCCAATATAAACCTCTGGACAACTACCAGCTATTTAAGTTATATTATAAAACGAATGGATTTCTTTTTCATAAATGCAAGTAATTGATCAATCAATGTGAAAGAAAAGTAGGATTATCATGTTCGTCAGATTATATGTACACGGTAATATAATTGTATGATTGGTGGGGAGTTTAACAGCCCTCATAAACACTTTAAAAAGTATTTTTAAATAAATTGTAATAAATTTATTTTTGCATACTTATTTCGTATTTTGAAAAATCAGGCTAATGTGATTTGAGGAAGCTAAGGAGGGAAAGGAATGAGTGGGAAGAGAGACGCACCACTCATGAATGCCTTCTGAACCCATTTACTGTGCTCATGCTTTTCTCGCGCTCCCTCCTCTTCGTTATTTCTTTTTGAATCTTGTCAACTCATTCTATACTCATCATCATAATTAATACCTGCATGCATCGTTCTATTCAAATTAAATTCCACTCACCCTCAGCGCGTGGGACAACTCACCCGAAAGTCAAACTTCAAAAAAAAAACAGCAAATTTCAGGAGGCAGTCGTCAGCGGAGTGCGCAGAATACCCATGAAGCGTTGGCTTTGCACGTCAACGATGCCCCACTTCCTGTACCGTTCCCTATGCGCTTCTCACTTCCTGTTTCATTTCGCTGCTGTTTTGAAGCAATAACTAAAATACCTTCGTGTTTTTACAAAATAATTTTTTAAAAAAATATTTACTTCATCCCACACAAAATCATTTAAAATAAATTGATCCAAACCCATATATTGTTTTAGGAGTGTGCACGAACCAGACCAAACCAAGTTAGTTACCAACCCGATGATGTCTGATCTGGAGAAGACCAACAGAGTGATCCATTTTGAGGCTTGTATTCAGGAAATGATATTTTTAAACACAATACAAGCTAAGTATTCGTGCACGAAAACACTTGAGTTATTTCATTAAAAGCTTCATTGCAATATAATTAGCAAAGTGTGTTTCCTTTTTTGAAGATATTTCTCAAAATCCATATGTTCGGCGAGTCCAAATTAACATATTCAAATATTATATTGAGAGCTATGTATAGGTAATCTCATGCACATGTGCGCTCAGTTTTATGATGCTGGGAGGGCTGGCTTTGCCACCTCTCTAGGGTATAATCGATGTTAAATCTAAATGGTAATTAAAAAGTGATGAGTGATTCTTAATTACTACTTCTAATCCTAATTATAAGATCCGTTTTTAGTCTATAAATAAGTTTTATAATTAAGACTTGAAATAGTAAAAAATATTACTGGAAAGTCAAATTTGACACTTTAAAGTCATTTTTATATATGACCGTCATCAACAGTATGACAGACGTTAATTCAAAGATTTGAAACAACAGAAGCATACTTTTCGGAAAAAAAGAATTGTTGCTAGTGTGGAAAATGCACATACGTACGTACGTACCCGCCACAACATTACCACAGCAACTTTAGGTGGTAATATCTGAGCCACCAGTCCTTGTCTGCCATTAAATTAATAAACTCAAGCTCTTCTCTTTTGGTTGTACCTTTTTATTAAACTCCCAGTCTTTATTAATAACATTTGTTCGATTGAACTCCTGTGATGTAAATAATTCCTCTCCCTCGACCTATAGCATATATGGCTTTGTGTATTTAATTGAGGAATGATTTCATGATCACACGGGACTTGAATTAACATTCTCTCTTGCTCCTACCAATTCGATCCTTATACCTACGTACAGTTCTCGTGATGATATCATCAGATTCAGCTCTCTTTAATTAATGTATCTGTAGGCATATAGCTTTCTATGTATCTCTCCCTCTCTTTCCCCCTCAAAGGTTAAACTGTTGGAACACGAAGGTGAAATCTAAACGGAGAAGTTGGAAGGTAGTAATCATCATATTCTGGGTATCTCTATTTACTCTGAGGAAATGTCATGGTCATATATATTAACCTTCTTTTAGCGTTTGACTCTGCGATTTCGTTTTCAAATTTTTCCCCTTTAATTTGCTTACACTGTCTTCTGGGTTAGATGGGCATTCCATTTATTACATAGGCATTTTATTTTTAAAATTTTAATCTTGTGGCAGATAGAGATGGGATGTGACAAAAATATATGGCAAGTTCATTTGGGGTAGGGCATGGGTGGCGCAAGCTTGCATGGGCCTGTGGCTGACATGACCCTCAGGGCAAAGGCAAGTGCCTGTGGCTCCCAATTCCATGTTTGTCGTCTTTCGCTTCGAAAAGTAAAGTATCATAGAGCCCTAGATTTGGAATTCCCAGTCAAACCCAACAACCCCCATATTTGAAAACGTCATCCTTTTATTTAGCTTCTCAAAACAGTAATTTTTTGGATCTTACTAGAATTGTGGTTTCTTTTGTTTCATATAGATTTCTTTCGTTGGCCAGAAAAGAGAGCTTTTTTTTAATGTCCAGAACAGAGATTTTGATCAAATCATCGATTCATGATCACTAATGAGGGAGGAACTAGTCAAATTAAACCAAATCAAATTTTATATTTTAAATACCAGAGATATTATATAGAAAAGTTAAAAGTACAACTTAGAGGGTAAGAAGTTGAACTACATGTAACCCATTAATATTTTTTTTCTTCCATTTTTTTAGATTGCATGGGACGCAATTTGTCCACCAAATCCAGAATTGGTCAAAGGTCCATTATTCACTCTCGCAAGGCCCAAACTTGGCCATTTAAGTTTTGGGACGGAACAGATCTCAGTTCATGTCGTCTGACCCATTACAAAGCCCAATTTATTAAACATTCAGAAACTGAAATGTTAGAGCGTTCACTAGCTTTGGACCCAAAAAGAAAAAAAAGGTTTCCCTAGCTGAAAAAGGTCACGGTACGCCATGTTCAGAAATATCATGGGCTTATTTAGTTTTTTGTTTTAATTTTTTTATTTTTAAAAACAGAAAAACAAAAAAAACTTGTTTAGTAATTTATTTTTAGCTGATTATTTTTAAAAAACAAAAAGGTATTTTTAAAAACTAAAAAAACCAAAACAACTTTAATATGTTTTCTTGATTTTGTTTTTGTGTTTTTTATTTTTTGTTTAAAAAATTTTGAAAATTTTTTCTCTTTTCTCACTTACTATCCGGCTATATTATTACTGTGCAGTATAATTTTTTATGATTTTTTTAAATTTGATTTTTTAAAATTATTATGCAAACGAGTTTTTTTTTTTTCATTCAAAACTTATTCTAAGAAACAATTTTACTAAGTTGTTTTGAGAATAAGAAGGGGAAAAAAAAAACAGTCCATATATTTCTGGGGTCTCATAAAGGCCTTCCACTATAAGTGTCGAATAAAAACGACGAGAGGCAGATGATTAAATTAGATGAACTGAGTGGATATTATTAATAGGGAGTCTGAACTTCTCAGTTCTTCACAAAAACAATATACAGATGTTGGATAAAGCCACGAACTGGGTTGTCCATATATAGTCGCCGGTGCCCATATTGATGCTAATTCTGTATCTCATCTGACTAATAAAATTTGGGAATTCAGCTTCACTGCAGATTGTTTGAAACGGGAAGCAAATCTGCAAGCAGAACACATGACAATGAATCGAAATATATATAAACGGGAAAAACTGGCATTGGTTCAGTGTGGACATGTAACATAACGAATTTATAATAACATTTATTTTGGAATCAGGCGAGGTATGGGATCGATGAATGAGTCCACGTATGCAAATGAGGGTTTGTTATTTAGTCTCATTAATTGAGAATTGTTGAAAAGGGTGTAATGGGCTACCAATTCTCGGCCGAAATCCATTGTGAACCACAAAGGTCAAACCCCCAGCCCTGTCCTCCGTCCCTTTCACCTGTGTCGTCTCTGCACGTTCTCCCTCCCTCTCTTTTTCCCTCCCAGTTTCAGGTCTTCGTTTAACTTGCTCATCACCCTTTGGCCCACTCCCCCCTTTCACTTTCTCTTATAAATCCCTCCTCCTCTTCTCCTTCTCATGCCCAAATGGACCACTCTCTCACTCCTCCTCTTCGCCAAAAATCGCTCTCTTCTTCTGAGGAAAGTGGCTGGACTTCTTACCTGCAAGATTTCTCCAACGATTCCTGCTTCAGCGTTGGCGGCTCTTCTCTTCTCTCTGATGCTGCTTCTTCTGCCGCTTGCAAATTCTCTCACCCCCATCATCTTCCTCACAAGCTTACCTTCAAGAAAACCAGAACCAAACAGATTTCTCAGGATGACCCTCTCGAGGACACTGCCAGCTCCCCTGTCAATAGTCCCAAGGCACGTTCATTACTAACTGCCCTGCTTTCTTATTTCCTTCCTCTCTAATTCTTAATTTTTCCTCATTAATTAACCCTTTCTTCTTCTTTGCTTTCTCTTACCATTAGGTTGGGGACCTGCAACCCACTGAAACGAGCTCCAGAAAGGTTGATGATCAAACGGATGTTGCCGCTTCCATGGTAAACCTGGAATTTGATTTATTAATGTCATGCCCTTCTTCTTTAATATCCAGGGGGGGAAAAAAATAAAAGAGGAAGGGTTCTTCCGTCCTGAAACCGAGTCATGTGGCTTATGACGATGATTGTGCAGGCCAAGGAATTCAGAGGAGCAGAACATTATCCAGAATCGGAGATAGATGATGATGATGATGATAAGCAGCCAGGGAATTTAAAGAAAAAGAGTGCTATTCACTGCACAGACCTGAAGAAAAGGGGACTCTGCCTGGTTCCTTTGTCCATGCTGGTTCATTATTTTGGCTGACTCATACTTTCGTCTCTCTCTCTCTCTCTCTCTCTCTCTATATATATATATATATATATATCCCTTGTCTGCTTTTCTTTTGTGTTCCTCCAACAAGTGGGACTGTATACAGATCATGACCCATGGTTGTGTCAATCGATCGTAGTAACATACTCATCAGTGTGAAGCAACCTGTTGATAACTTTGTGTCCAGATTTAGAGATATATAAGATATCACTCTCTTGAAAATTTGGAATTCTTTCTGCATCGCTCTGTAGATTTGATCAAAGAAAGAGAAAGAAGAAAAGTCGATTAAGACGATATTATTGTTTGGGAAACCCGAGGATTCCAAAACTGATAAACTGAGAGTGAATTTTAGATACTTTAAAGTTTTAAGGCGGCTATTGGATGCTGGTAAACAAATGGTAGGGTAGTGGAAGTGAAGAACAGGGTGGGTCACACGGTGTAACAAGTTCCCACTTGCTTAGATTCATTTCATAAACTCCTCAAAACCCTTATATAATGTATATAAAGGGTCTTATATTTGTGATCGGAGGAGTATAATTTTTACTACACTCTTTATTTTAACTGTACATAAGCATAAGAATATCGACACTTTTTTTTTCCCGTAAAAAAACGTTGGCGGTTATATATTGAATTTGCCCCAGATCTTAATTATGTCTGAATGATTAATATGATTTCACAATTCGGCTACTCTGGGTCATTTTCAACCGCAAACATTGAAATTTTCTAACCTGAAATATGTCCCTACATTTGTTTGCTAAACTGAAAATTTCAAACAAGTTATCGGTGATGGAACAAGCATCAAATTTAGTCGTCATAACGTAGAAGAACTGGTGGGAAACAAGATTAGTCGCAAGAATGGATATTGATACCATTTAAATTCGTGAAAATATTTATTGGAATAAAGAAAAGAAAATAATTTTAATTAAAACCCTCGCGCACAACTTTCAAGCAGTTTCCACCCTAGCTGATATCGATCTTATTTAATTTATTTTGAAATACATGAATATACATATATATACATATATATATTTGATGTGATGAACCTAACACATTATTTAAGTGAGGAACATTCCTGATTATTACTTATTGGAATAGATAAAAAAAAATCTACAAGACTGAAATCCAAAAGATGAGAGAGTTTTCCTTGTAACATCAAAAGAGATTCGTCGAAATATAATATCCAAACCTTTGTTCAATGGAAAGGACAAGTTTTGAAAAAAAAAAAAATACAATTAATTCGTCCTACCCTCTACAAGCCATTCATTTAATAAATCATAAAGATAGGAGCAAGAGCTGCAAGGAGACCCCTCCATGTGCTTCAGCATTTATAACAGGTTAGTACTTAAGAACCCCATCGACGCGCGCAGACTTAATAACCACATTCATACATATCTACTCCTCCTCCTCTTGTTGTCTAGAATATATATAATCAAGTTTATTAGAACAACTTTCTTAATTATATTTATTAGGCCAAATTTATATTAAAGTTCACACACATATATCAGATAATCGCGTTAATTTCATGTCATTAGCTAACTGTTTAAACACTGGGAAATATCACAGAGAAGCGACATGCTTCATCTTGGGTTATTTTCTATGGTACGTACACAAGTTAATAGGAAGTAGGGCCCAGCCATTATGGTCAACATCAAGGGAATGCTACAATTATTATCTATATAATTATGATTAAAAATTGGTTAACATCATGCGTTAAGTAAGCAGTCATGTTTATAGTAGCAACAACCACAATAATTCATGATGTGATTTGTGTCTGAGGAGGTAGATCCGAGGTCTATTTCAGAGCTTAAATTAAACAGACAATTAGGATCCACTTCAACTTTATTATGAGTATTATCACTAATTAGGCATTTTTCCATGACTGTTGATAATTTAATCACAGCCTTTTTGTTAAATCACACGCATGCAAAGTAAATCTACATTCAATTCAATTATCAATGAATCATTGTCGAAGCTCATCAGATTAGAAAGGTTTAATTATTTGACGTACTTTGACTGTAAATTAAAACTCACACGCAAAGTCCGATATAGCGGAAAGAGGTGAACGTACAGAAGGGTTTGCTTGAACAAATTCTTTTAATTATCACTGTTTTGGGTCTAATCTTCATCGCGCTATCTAGAAGTAGTTAATCTTCTTATCTTCTAATTACAATAAACGTGCTCGAATTAAACAAAATCGACAATGAAACAGTTCAACTCAACAAGACGGCATGCCTAGCTGTGTGAAATAAAATAATTAAAATAGTCCAAGTAATTAAGCTGGTTAGTGACCTCTTTGGGAAAGGCACCAAATCACCTTTTGTAAAAGAAACTTCTACTTTCACGGTAAAAACAGGCATAAACTTAACTAGCCTTCAAAAGAAACACTATTTTGAGAAAATCAAAGTGTTTAACTAGATTTTTTTTTGGAGCGATACAGTATTTTCCCTATGGAAATAAGTGGAAAAAAAAGCAAAATTTTCTTAAAAGTAGAAAGAAAAAAATTAAACAGGGAAATAAAGGGTATTCTTGAAAAATCTTTACTTACCCTGCCCTAATCAAGATTTTACCATTTTACCCTCTATTTTCTTAATTATGCGTTATTCTTATATACATTTATAAGATATCTTGATGCTATCTTGAGCATATATAATTAAAAAGTCTCCCAACATAATCATCCTCATTTATCAAATTCGAACCATTGACTTAGTTTATAAAAATTCAAGTTTCTGTTACTCAATCATTGGTAGTAGATTAAAATTTCTAATAACATGAGATAAGCATATTTTTTAAAACATATGTATCGATCAAACACGATAATATTCTTGCAAAAGCGTTTCACAAATGAACGTGTCCAATTTAATTGTTTTTTTCCCCCTAAGAACGTATATTTGACTGAAAATGAGAAATTAATGACGGCAGGAATTGAAACAAACTAAAATCAGCAAGAGGTTTATGGTTCAGAAACATTGAATCATCGTCCAAATAAAAGAAGCCAATCCATAGAAAAAACCGTGTAGATAGTAAGCTCCTATTTGGCCATTAGTAATAATGGAGATTACTTGGAAAGAATCACCAGGGTGGCGTGCGTGTCTTATATATATCTAGCTAGCTACTTCGTGCGCATGAATATAACAATTACAATTACAAATTATATAATGGAACAATACATTCTTTTAATAGAGGAATTGAATCATGTGTCTTCCTGCGGAAATTGGGTCCACCACAAAAAAAAATAAATAAATAAATAAAAGAACAGAAGAAACCTCATATTCCTTTTCATTTTTCAAATCGTGACCCCACCACCACCATAATAACCTCCTTTTAATTATTCCCCCATCAATTATCCTCTATATATGGAGCAGTTGTGATCAAATTGCTATATATATGCACTGCTTTAATACGTCATCCATATGAAAATTCTACTAATTTAATATGTTGTTTTAAATTTTTTATAACAGCTATAAAAATAACTTATATTTGGTAGTTTCTTCATATCCACAGCATCTTTTTTGGCCAAATGATATTAATATTATTTGATCTTTGATTCTTCAATTAAATATGACTTTTTCAAAATGAATGTGTAGTTTTATAAAGTGGTGACCCTTCTCTTGCAAAAATAAAAAAAATTGCGCATCATGATTATATTAAAATTTTTGTGGCAAATGAATGTGAAAACTCATATCCAAGGTTAATACAGTACTACTTTAAATTCGTTATGCTTTGTTCAGAAAGGGAACAATTAAATTAAAAAGGCAAAGAACAAACGATTGAGTTAATTTAAAAAACAAAACATGTGTAAGAATTTCTGTTATACTAATGGTTCTAATAATGATGATGTTGTGCATTTTTAGAAAACATGCTGGTGTCTTGTCTCCCCGTGACAGTGTTTATTTACAAATCATATAACTGGTTGCTATGGCCCGTGATTGCAAAATTAAAGAAGTCAAGTTAGAGAAGCAATTAAGATAAAAACGACCACGTTTTCGTTGCTCAACAACATGAACTCTTTTCCACACAAACACACACGCCGCTATTTCTATAAAATTAAGTCTTTAATAATTACCCTATTTCAGTGTAAACTGATATTATTATAGTTAATAAGTATTAATTACTGCAGACATTCTGTTACTGTGTGTATATATATTCACGTAAATGGCCACCCTACCAGGCTTTTGTCCGTATACATATATAAAATATAAACTACTGCTATATAGTACTATAAAATAAGACACACAAGTATATGAATTAATTAATTAACAAGAGGAACAATGGCTATCGTGCTAATCACGTAGTGTCTCTCTTTGGGATTCGGACCTCTTCTTCTTTGCACCCCAAATGAAGCAACTTCATCGTATAGATGTTTTGCTTACTGTTACAGGCCTCCCATTTAATCATCATATACTATGTTGCCTCTAACTCTCTCATTCATTAATTAATTCGACATTGCTATATCATAATAATGCTTCGTATATAATAATAATCACAAGGTAGGCAGAGTTCTATGAATCATTAACAAATTATCTATCATAATGCTTTTTAACCCAGCAATGTACACTGTATTATCTGTGATTAGTGCGTATAATTTCAGGGCCAATGATTGGTGATGTCATACGTCGTCGTATGTTTCTATTCTTGCCTCTATTTATTCTTTTCCACTTTTCATTGCCTTCCACAACTTTACGCCTCAAATGTTTAATCTAGATTTAGATTAATTTTTTAGAAATAATTTTATAATATTGGAAAATATGCATGTGAGACAAGTTTATCTCAGCTTGTGTTAAAGTTTTTTTTTTTAAAGTAAAACTATTTCAACTAATAAGCTAATTGAAATCTGAATTCTTAATTACTTGTTTAAATGACAAGAACTTTATTTTTTAATTTTTTAAGAGAGATAGAGTTGGGGTCGGAGACTTGTTAAAATCATGAAAAAAATTCAAGATTTTATAAGTGCCTATAAAAGTACATATAAATTAGCTATCACTGAGATTTACACGTTGGCCTGCAGGCGATGGCAAGATTCGAAACTATATACCCTTATAAAATAATAATCGAATTATTCTTATCAATTGGACCCATTTTTCTTAACAGTAGGTGTCCCTGCTGCCTTCATTATAATCTGTCAACTGACACACAACCATATGTTTTCATTGATTTCCAACGGAATGGATTTCGTTCATATCTGCTTATATCGACTTTGTGTAAAATTCAAAGCGCAGTGATTGAGGTGTCTTTGTATATGTACACGTCTGACTTTTCAAAATCAATTTATTATATGTTTAATATATATCAACCACCTCAATACGATATGGCTAAAGTATTTTTTTTAATTAATCTAACTACGTATAACTAACCAATAATATAATGGACTTATTATACTTCAATATAATTAATTTTGCGGTTATTCGCTGTCCCTTGGAACGTTACATTAATTAATTAAAAAAAAGAAGGAAAGACAATACTTCACTTCCAAAAGTTAAATTTTGCGTCATACTCATATATGTGATATACACACATATATTTGCACCTAATTTGATGAAAGTTTGGGCTGCTGTAGATCTTAGGTGCCCTTAAGTATATGCACCATATATATGTTTTAACTATATGTAATGTATTATGAAACCGAAAATCCGAAGTAATTTAATGAAAATTTATAATAAATTAAACGTATATCCTCTTCAAGACAACATTTATAACATCAACATAAAAATGTGAGAATATGTTTCGGGTAAAATATACTTTTAATAAGAATGAATATAATTGTTATGGGTATCCTAACTGTCTTAGGGCACTTATATATTTTTTAAACGAATAAAACATTGCTTGATCTGAACAACGAAATAAGAATAGTTTGTCTTTCTATTTCTTTATTTTTTTGCTGGTTTTTATTGGTCAAATTGTCATTTTATTTGTTGATCTAGTCAGAGAATATTTGGATATGAAAAGGAAATCATGAGGGTTAGTAGTCGTTCCTGAGATTTTGTGAGAAATTGACTAATGAATAATTAACATCAAGAATCCCGCTATGCGATCTTTATTAAGCACAAGCAAGAAGCACTGCATATGGACACAAACACGACTCGGTTTGGCGCCGAATTAATTTCATAACCGTTAACGCATTTCATATTTGGATTAAAATACAATGTTGGATTTGACAATTAAGGTAGTGTGTGTGTGTATTATAATTAATTAAACATAGTTGGTATGAGCACACGCTAGCTCCGTAATTGGTATTAAGCTTAGAATAATCAAATCTCTTGACATTAAGGAACTAAATATTTAATTCCCAACATTATTTCCTATGAACACTAAAAAAAAATCAATAAGTTGGGGGATATCATGTTCTATGATCATTCTCCGCCCCCCTTTTTTTTCTTGGGTTTAGTAGAAAGCATGCAGAGGCATCTTTATATGGTTACTATCGCGAAGATGACTGGGTTTTGTGGATGCACGTAATGTGAGATTAACGTATCTGAATGTGACTTTGATTCTTCATCAAAGCTCAAGCTGAGTCTGTTGTGTTATAGTGATGGTTTCTAGAGCCGGTATTTGTCGGCAGCCAACAGTTTTGGCTTCTCTCTCCTAGTCCGTGTGCTGTTGTTATTGATTTGGTCTGTGAATTACCATCTTGATTCTAATTATAAGACTTTGTTTGTAATCTGTAAACCAGGTCTTATAATTAGTACCAGAAGTAGTATATATATTGACCGTTGATTTAATTAAGCACTACACTTTGATGTTAATGCTCTAATTTGCTTTTATAATTCCTTTTATGACAAATTGAACTCCCCATCATACACGCATAAATGAAGGGAAAATGGCTAATTTATTCCAGGTGACTGTCTTGCCACAATACATAAAACCCATGCCACGTAGATAAGTAAAACACAAATTACATAAAACAAAAACTTAATGGTAATTGGCTGCTGCTTGAGCTCAAACCACATATATATGTACTACGGCTAATTAATTATAGCCCAACGCTACCTATGGAACATCCAACTGAATTATCCACGGCTGCTTAGGCCTTAGAAACCATGAATCTTGATATGCTCCTTCTTCACAATGCCAGCCTGTTAGTGAAAGCACAGAGGAAAATTTGATCACAAAACTATACCTTAAAAATAACAAGTCAAGTACGCATCAGAGTAGTGCGGTGAGCTCATCATTTACCTGCACAAGGAAAGTGGAAACATTCTTCCTTTGATCTCCCTGAAGTTGTATGACCTACAATACATCATAAGAAGATGATAATGGCAATTTGTATAAAGCAAAATATCAGAGTTGTGTCATTTCCACACAGGAGACCTTACCTGTCCCAACTCAGGGTCCTGGACGACAGTACCATTACAGCAAAACTCTTTCTTGAGGTCCTTGAGTATCTTGCTATAGCTGTACTCTTTCTTCAATCCTTGAACAGTCGTTAGGCTTTTCCTTCCATTACGCTGCTGTATGCGCACATGAACATACTCTTTTGCCCCAGCACCTGAATCCTCAGCATTTGCATCAGCAAAAGGATCTGCCCAAAATCATTCAGATTGAACCCTCACATTCCATTCGATGAAATGTTAAAACTCGCAGGGATTAAAAACTAATTCACCTACCAAAACCAGTTGGGATTTTTATGTCGAATTCAGACATGAAAGTTGCCCTTGCTTTTTAGTTAATCTGTAACCAACAATGTCCTTCCGATTCAATCAAACACCCAGCACTGTCGTAAATTAGACAAAGCACAGATATAAATATGCGAGTCAATCATAAGATACAGCATCTTATTGTTATCTAAGGACAAACAAAACTCGAGTTAGTCTCTTCAAAGCACCACATATGATGGATACCGTATCATGTGGTAACCATAGGTACGGAGATAAGAACTGTTGGTACCAATCCACGACATTTGATACAAACCTGCCAACCCATCCTAACTTCCTTCTCAAAGAGAAATCTATAGAATAACAAATGATTACATAAACAGTTTCAACATATATAGACCAGAAAGAACACACTTCCAACGCGAAAGGAGGAGAATTATAGGAAATTAAAGCAATGAAAAAGGAACAAACATATCCATCCCCAGGTTTTAAGTGCAAGCCACGAGGACCATAATAACCAGAACGGTCGAGATAAAAGAGCAATACAAATCGTAAGCATGCCTTGCGATGTTAAAACATCCATGACCCCCATGCCTTATATTAAACATCTCTAAAATACAGGAAAACTCATCAAATCCCCCATGAACTATTACAATGCTCAGAAATGATCCCCGGGAAGCGGGGACATCCGATAGAAAAATTAACCCCGGTTGAAGAAAAATGCATATTCACAAGAGGGCAGGAATTAGAAATTTAAAAGTTGTTGGGAAAAAAAAACGTTTTAATAATCGTAACAAGAAAATCATGGCCTGATTAATGACAAAAACGCGAGGGAAATTACCTGTAATGGAGCACGATAAGGAACGAGGACAAGAAGAACGTAGAAGGCCACTAACCGATGATCAAATTCGGTGCGGAATGTTACATTAGGAGAACAGGTCTTGGCATTTTATATTTGGCGATGGAGACAACTCCTCCCCACCACGCAAGTTGGTTACCGTATTTTTTCTTTTTACTATTAATTTTAATTAATTGACGACTCCAGGAGCATCTTATTTACAATTTAACACCCAATATATTTTTAAGCAAAGTTTTCCTTTTATGACTTTACTTAAACATACATTTATACTGCTAAATAACATATAATTATATAAAAAACTTCTTTTTCCATGAATCTTATATCGTTTTTATTTTAATCTTTTTAAGAGTTGTAGAAAAAAGCTTATTACAAATATACAATGCTTATTATTATATCCGATCTTGAATATAAATCACGATTACGTAGTTCATAGATATTAAGAAAAATTATTAAAATTTGCTTAACTTTTTAGATTTATTCCTCTTTGCGTTGATTTTTCAAAACTGTCCCACGACTCGCTTTAAATTTAACGTAATTATTCTTAATCTTTCTCTCAATAATTAATGAAGGGTATTTATGAAGAAAAATATCTTAAATCATTGAATTCAAGCTTAAGTTTTTTATGAAAATTAATTTATAAATGTTTCTGGCCAAGGGAATTTAATTAATTCAGCATTAAAACAAGACTATAGAATTGAATGGACAATTTGAGGCACGGTACGGTCCTATTTTGGGTTCAACCCAATACAGCAAGAGGACCAAATGTAATGGATAATTTAGGCCCATTAAAGCAACCCATAACTCCCTGGTCTCACCACTCAAAACACACGCGGGTCGTGTGCCTGTGGGGCTTCCATTCTCTTCGGGTTTTGACTCGCTCAAAAGCTCAGAAGAGGAAGGTAGTGTGACAGCAGCTAGCATTTCTTCTCCATCAAAGGGAAACTCCCATGGCATGCGCACTGGGTGATAGAGAGAAGGATGGTCAAAGAGAAATCATACGCCTCGTGCTCAGCAAAAGACAGGACTCAGAAAATTGTGAAGTAATGTCTGGGATTTGTGTATCTCTCTTGAGTTTTGGATCCGTCTCTAGCAGGCCACAGCTAATTTATGCGTGTGGTAGGACTTGTGAGGCCACTAAAATACCAATAAGCCTTCAATTTGAACAGCTAGTTTAACGTATTGTGGAGAAAAATTTAAAATTTGAAGTGGAATGGGAACCTGTGTAGTTGCTGAAGCGGGAGATGACGTACGAATGAGGATGAAGTCCATTGAAAATTTTTAAAATTTTTTTCTGATGTTTCCTTCAACTTCTCATGGATTTGGCAGTGTAGAATCCGAAAGCAATCATGAGGATTTATTTCCCTTATTACTAACCTAATGTTAATGTAATTGTACTCAACTTCTTTCACTGTAATTTTTTCCTCCAACTCTGATTCATTAGCCATGAATTTCGGACCTGTGGTTAACTGTTCAAGGACCTGTTCATCCCAAAATCTTAACTTTGTCTTCTCATTGTCTAATTAATGTCAACCAACTTGCTTACACTACTGTGCAGAAGACTAGTGGATAATTCGGCCACTTCAATGACAGTGAGTTTCAATCTTCCATAGACACACTCAAACAAATGGACTCAATTATTGGTCGCGAGAAACGGCATGGGTCTCACAATGACGTCCTCTACAATCCACCTGAGTCTATGGGACGTGTCTTGGAATCATTGTGTTGTGAGTTCCCCGGCCAGATTTCCTCCTGGACTAATAATACAGTGTACGGAAAATCCTACATAGATAAATGTGTCTAATTTAAATTCAATATATATAACTAATTATTTCAAACAAACACTCGAAAAATGTTAAGCAGACATCATGGACACATATTTTGATTAAAAATGTGGAGCACTTTCTGGTTAAAAATCAGAGTAATTAATGAACTGGAGAAATGAAAACTTCAGAAAGTGCCACTGCGACTAACAGTGCCTTTGAAGACATAGAGAAAGTCTCCATTTTCAACCCCATGCCACCTAAGGCTACAACTATCACGCATTATTCTTTGTCTGTGTATGAACAAATAGTCATCAGGTGGCAGAATTTTTCTGCTCAGCAACAATTGTTTTAACTCATTCACAGTACTTGCATCTCTCATTTCCACTGGAATTGTGGCTGCATTCAGTAAGCTAGAGGAAGTTTGTACCACCAGACTTAGCTTCCTTGTGGGAGGATCATCTCTCGAGCGATTCATAGTCTTGAGAAACACAATAATCTCAGAAAATTCACCTATGCCGTACTCACTCAGGTTTCTAAAATCTTCATCCAATTCCACACCTGAAAAGAAAAGTGACATTCTTTTGATTGGCGTGTTATCAAGGATGTGAATCTTTTCCTTCAAACTCCGAACTGTGTCTGTCCTGTCCACTTCTACGATGAACTGTCTTGCTGGAAATTTCACTGTGATTTGGATTTTATTAAAATGGGAAAAATGTGGAAGGACTGGCTTGATTGTGAGGTCCACTTTTGTCCCATCTGTGATTATGGGGTAATCTTCCATGTCTAGCCCATCTACAAGCTCCCACCCAGATACAGTGAGCATTTGTGAAGCCACTGGGACACCGATGATTTGTTCTATTTTAGTTTTGAGTTCGATAACTTTTTCTTGGCTCTCTACTTCAACGAAAAATTGGTCTGCTCTTGTGGCGATAACAACCCTCATAGTGAAATTGATTTGAACTGCTGTGGAGAAACAGAGGAAAGAGGAAGAGACGCTATGCTGAAAGAAATTGAAAGGGTGTTACTTTACTACTTAACATCAGGAAGTTATGAATACTAAGCGATATAAGTTGTTGGAATCATGTTGATGCTATGAGTACATGATTGAATGCATTGCAAAAGCATTTTACATGCTTGTGGTCCTAAGTATATCACGCAGAACATCTTTTGCTCTTGTTCTGTCAGTTTTTTCTGTGATCATACAAAAGTACACATTCCTAAAAGTAACTTTATAGTTTTGATCTAAACGTGCAACTTCAGAGGAAGGCCAGCTACAACTCGGACTTTGGTTACCCAAAGCTTCAATTTATAAACTTGTTTTTAAAGAAACATTCAGAGATACTTTTTATTCTTTCTTCCTCTCTGCCATCACTTAGAACATCTCAAGCAAACAAGAGTCTTAGCGAGAACGTAGGGGGGGTAAATGCAACAAGCGAGACTGAGGACCCAAGTGTTGGGATCATAATGTCATTTAGCAAATGTGAGTGCGATGCTTAGGTCAGCTTGGGGTGAATTCAGAATGCAGCATAACGAGTGGTACTGAGACAATGCACATGAAGGATGCATGCAGCCACTCTGAAGCTTATACTCTAGATGGCTGAAAATGAATGGAACATATTTGGTTCTCAGTGTGGGGCCATTGCCTTTTCTTTTTTTCAAGTGTTTGATATATATGGACTATTATGCAATTATGTCATGCCAATTCATAACGACATATCAGGGGCCCAACATCGGTTTTACAGAAGTTTCTCCATTGTCTGAAGAAATCCAAAAGGTATACACTTTATCTTTGCAGAAAACTGGTGAATAACCCCACATGATTTAAGTAGTACTACATTGGCTTGCTCAAACTTTGCACGTTGGTCCTAAATTTTAACATTAAATAAAAATAAAATAAAATCCTTCCGTTAATAAAATGATCTGCACATGAGATGTCATGGGATTCCAAAGTTTGGATTGGCTATACATTGTCAAACTAATCTGTTATTCTGTTTTACTTGCACTTGAATTTTCTTTTATATCAAAAACATGTCCTCCTTGATGCAATTTTCTTTTATATAGTAATAACGGAGTACTTTCTTTCTCTTTGCTCAAAGAAAAGGACCGGCACATGGATAATCTCTTTGCCTCGTTCTGGGAGTTAATAGGACCACTGTTGGTGTTGTCATGTGTGCGCATTGGGAACTAGATGCTGTGAATCTCTGCTTTGTGGACAAATAGTACCAGCCTGGACTTTGTTACCTTCCACACCTTCCCAAGGAATCGTGCACATTTCTACCTACTTCCCTTATCTACCACAGGCTTCCTTTCTCTTGGGGGGAAAAAAAAAAATATATATATATATATATATATATATCCACACGCTTCCAAAATAAGTTTAAAAAGTCACAATTTTTTCCTCATGACCGTAAAAGGATTATAATGTCGTATTAAGCAATTGAATGTTACAATTATCCTGCTCAATGTTACCGTCTTGGGACTGCAGAACAACGACGCAGCAATGCCTCGTTGATTTGTCCATAGTCCTTGATTTTGACAGCATCTTTCTTGGGGTTCCACATGGATAGATCTGTTTTATCAATGTCTGGTGACTTTTTTAAAAGATGGGCGTTTGCTTCTATGTGCTAAGTGACTTTTAGAAGTGACAATTAGCTGTAGGAGCACTTGTTTTACGTATTTTTTTTAGACAAATCTTCTATGCATGTGCACTATATCAGTATAATTAATTATATCTCTTCCATATAGTAAAAGTATTGGTAAATACATAAAGTTGATAAATGCGAATAGGCGCGAATGCTGAAGGACCATGGCAGGGAATCTCTTGTATCATCCATTAATGTGGTGGATTCCAATATCTTTAAAAGTCATTAAGCCTCCATAATCTTGCTTTACATTGCATGCTTTTCCAAGGAGAAATTGTGCAGCCCATGGGCTTATTCGAGCTGTACTACATGCAACCATTTGGTGTGGACCTTTACTCATACTCCTGGCTTCCTAATAATGCTGCCTTTCTCGATAAGATCAAAGGTGCTCCAATATTACTATAAAATATATACGTAGTAAATTACTCCTATATTATTTTTTTCGCCAACGAACGATATTATTGACACAGAAAAAGGTACTCCTAGTTAGTTTAATATGCAGAGTAGAAATTAATGTCTGACACATGGATTTGTGTGCACCAATCAACTCTTTCTTTGACCTAATGCCGCCAACAAAGTTGTCCTCACGTACAACACCCACAATTAACGGGGCTGACATTCGATTTTGATCAGAAGGGTCATTTTTTTAACCATATTGTTGCCGACACTCGGTATTATTCACTTCGATTTCTACGATTATTATCATAAAGCAAATTATGGACGCTTGAGGCCTTGGCCTCTCTGCCTTCTGAATAAAACAAAGAACAACTTGAAGCAGAAAAAAGCAATTATTCCTTTGTTAATTGTTAATTATTAATGTAACTAATAACCCCATCGTTAGGGACTCACCAATCATTGGTTAACATGGAATACCTACCGTGTGGGGCAATCAAATAAAGGTTCCATATTTTAAGGGTTCCCTCAGGCTTTTCCTTTTTTTCAAGTGATGATCCCACTCTGCTCTTCATTGCTGGAAGGCAATTTGCTCTTCCTCTATATTCTTTCTTAATGAACCATGCAGGGGACAGAAATGACTTTAAAGCGATCCCAGTTACACTTTAGCTACCTGCATTGTCGTCATTTATCCCCTTTAGGCTTTGAATTTGATTCTGCATCGAATGTTGGGAATTAAAAGCTCATTATGGGGTTTTATATAAGTCCCATTATCCATAATTATTTGACAACTTGACCAGGATAAATAAATAAAATAAAAAGGTAAAGTACAGTAATTACCAGAGAGCAACCTCTCTGCATGATCTTTGGCCAAAAAAAAAAAAAAAACCTCTCTGCATGATCCTTTCCCGTAAAACAAGCCATAATTATCTCCCGATAGCATGTGATTAGTTATATCCTCTCTATTTTGGTTTGTGATGCCTACAGTTATACTCTCTCTATCTCTTTTTATAAGCAGCAACTATTATCTCTCTTTTGTCCCTAAATATAAACAATATTTGCAAGTTATCTTAAATTTTTGTAACGAATTTTTCATTTTGTTCCAATTGATTACTTGTTTTAATATTCAATATATTTATTGTTTTATTTTTCAAAATATCATTTCTTTCTATCACACATTCTCTCTTTCATAATTCTCTTTATTATAACAACTTTCTTATTCTCTTTTTTATATTATCTCTTCCCCATAAAAAAAGATATTTTGAAAAAAAAACTTTTAATTTTTATCTATTTATTATTTTTAACTAACCTTTTAATTTATAATGGAATCCTATATTGATTATAACAAGGGACGTAGGAGTGGTAATTTTTCCTGTTAACTTTGCTCTCACTTATCCGATCGAAGACCCCAGCAATCCCAAGTTTCCGACAATAGTTGGACACGTATTCAATGACCGATATTCAATGACCGTCACTAATTTTATTTCACTCCCATAGACCTGAAATATCTCACGTACGTTTGATGTAGACTGTTCAAGTCAATGAACCGCCAACAATAGACATCAAAGTATGTCAGATGTGAGTTTCACTAAAATTATGTGTCAAAAACGTTCACGCTGACCTTGGATGCTGCCAGAGAGATTGATCAATCTCCCAAAAGAGCTGCTTCAAGAGATGATTTCTTCCCTGATCTACACTCTTTAGAATCGTTTGGGAAACACACGAGGATGGCAACCTACAAAAAGAAAAAGGTAACAGAAAAGAAATAGGGAAATATAATGCATTTAGTTTTGGTAATAAGATCACGTTCGTCACAGCCAGTGACACTCAGATACAGGCACCCCACCATGTTCTTTAATGCGACCAACTCTTGGAGTAACTCTGCAACCAAACAGCTAAAACAGATGGCCATTAATGTCTTATAGTTATTTGTCTCTTTCTGCAACATTTATCTACTGGTATTTCTATGTACCGGCCATAGTCATATACAGTGACTCAGATCATAAAGCTGTGCCTTGCCCACTTTACTATTCCACAGGCTTCGCGTTTTCTTTTGTTTTTTTAAAGCATTTCATGCGTCGGTGGCAGCAGGTACTCTCGTTGGTAGCATAATTTAAACCATGGACAGCTCATATTATGTGATAACATTGAATTCCGAGGAGCAGGTAAGTCAAATGTTCATTCTTAATTTACTCGTTATAATTAAACTCTAAATTTATTGTATTCAATTACCCCATAGAAGATATGTTTGAACTACTTAATCTTTCGTGTCGGTCGCCAACGGATATAAAGCTTTAGAATGCAGTTGATGGTGATACATATACAGTATAGCCAATGAAAATATAAAGATGAGGATTAGATAAAGGGAGACGCCAACTAACCCAGCAATTCAGATCATATACAACAAGGTTTTAGGTGACGAAGTCAGTGGACTAAATCCTCGTCAATTGCCCACAAGCCTTATTATTGTAGTCCTTTTCTTTTTCTGAGTCTGGAGCTGAACGGAGGAAAAATAACTGGAGAAGCCGAGAAGTCAACACTCGTGGTTCCTTCTGTGATAAATAAAGATGTTGACACTTTTTTAACAAATTAATTAGCTTCAACTGTTTTGAGAAGCATAATCAATGTAACTTCCACTACGTGTGTCAGTAGTTTGACAGAGTTCTTTTTTCCCCTTTTGCCAATAGCCAACAGTAGTTTGACACAGTTCCTTTACCATATCAGCTGTAAAACTTACTTGATTGAGAGCTGTGAAGAAAAGTGGGGCACGAGTTGTTATTCGGTACGGTGAAATGACGCGCGGAAGACAGACAACGAGGGAGTGAGTCATACTTAATTCTGCTTTTAATTGGATGTCGCTAATATATATATATATATATATATTTTAAAATAACAGTAAAAGCTGGCAAGACTAAAATAGGAAATGAAAAAAATTATGATCTCAAATCAGCCGCCTAATTTAGAATGACTTGAAAAAAGAGGACGATCCGAATTACACCTCCATCCATCACACCTCTCCCGCGTCATTGCTGCAAAAGCTCGGAGTGTGGCTGGCGGAAAGAAAGAAGGCCATATACTGTAGCAGATTGATTGACGTGCATTGCAGCAAGGGGGAATCCTTTATTTTAAGACTTATCAGTCGTAAAAGGACATGCCTGATTAGCCATTTTTTCATTAGAGTACTTGCATCTAATTTTTTATGACAAAGCATAAGAAAGGAAAATTGGGCATTGTCTTATTGCACATGTTAGTTAGATACCTGGCCCACTTCTATCATTTACCTTCTGGCTTGTAACTCAGGCTATAGACTAGTATAAAAGGGCGTCCACTGTTGTAGAATCAACCACACAATTCTTTCAATAACTTCCTCAAGGTTTCTGTTTCTATATATATAGTTCTTCTGGCAACAATTTTGTGTGCCAAGGAAACAGGAATGGGGAGCCAGAATCATTTGGGAGTGTTGTTCCTTTGCTTTATAGCACTGATTGGATCAAGTCAGGCTCAATTGCAGCAAGGGTTCTATGCCAAGAGCTGCCCAAAAGCTGAGAAGATCATTCAAGACTTCGTGACTCAGCATATCAGAAATGCTCCATCTTTGGCTGCTGCTCTGATCAGAATGCACTTTCATGATTGCTTTGTCAGGGTATGATTTTTTTTTTTAATTTCTTAGTTCATTTTTTGGCTTCATAATTTGTAGTTGATGAGTTCTTTTGATGAACTGAGGAACTTGGCATTTCAGGGCTGTGATGCATCAGTGCTTCTGAACTCAACAACAAACCAAGCAGAGAAGAATGCTCCGCCAAATCTCACTGTCAGAGGATTTGACTTCATTGACAGAATCAAGAGCCTTGTAGAAGCTGAATGCCCTGGTGTAGTTTCTTGTGCTGATATTATCACTTTGGCTGCCAGAGACTCCATTGTTGCCACAGTAAACATCCATTCTAGCTTCTGCTTCATCCTTATCATCAAAGTTTACAGCTTTTTATAACATACAACGACCCATTTATTTTGCAGGGAGGTCCCTTCTGGAATGTTCCAACAGGTAGAAGAGATGGAACTGTATCTAACCTGTTGGAAGCCAGAAACCAAATTCCTGCTCCGACTAGCAACATCAGCACGCTCCAGACACTCTTTGGCAACCAGGGACTTGATCTCAAAGACTTAGTCCTGCTTTCAGGTACATTTAAGCAAACAAATCACAGGCATCAGTGATTCAAGTTGCTAACAAAGTTCAAAATTTTCAGGTGCTCACACAATTGGTATCTCCCATTGCCCATCATTTTCCAACCGATTGTATAATTTCACCGGTAAATTAGATCAAGACCCAAATCTAGACAGTGAATACGCAACAAATCTCAAGACCTTCAAGTGCAAAAGCATTAATGACAACACCACAAAAGTTGAGATGGACCCTGGAAGTCGCAAGACATTTGATCTTAGCTACTATAGAAATGTGCTCAAGAGAAGAGGTTTGTTCCAATCAGACGCTGCTCTGCTGACCAACTCTGTTACCAAGTCTACCATCACTCAGCTGGTCGAGGGACCAGTAGAAAACTTCTTTGCTGAATTTGCCAAGTCCGTGGAGAAAATGGGACGAATCAATGTCAAGACTGGGACACAGGGAGAGATCAGGAAGCACTGTGCAGTCGTAAATAGCTAGGAATCTTGATGCCCATCCAAGTGCACTTTGATTTCTCTTTTTTGTAACTTTACTTTTGGTTCTGTTTATTTATTTATGTGGTGGCTTTGGTGTCTTCATAAGTTACGCCGGGGGTATCTTTATTTATTTGCGTTGCTGGAATAATTGGAATCCCCGGTAGTTTTCCAGTTTGAAGGGAGATTATGTTCTTGTTCCTGCGAATAAAAAGCGCAGAGTTGAAGGAGAATTACTTGTGATTCTTGTTCTTTGTTGTTTGGAAGATGAGTTTTTCAGGATTATTTGAAGCTTACGTTTGTATTCATTTCCACGATTAATGTATTTCACCATATATTTACTTCTCCGCATAATGCATATATTCTTGCTTTTTAATAGTTCTTTTCCGGGTGCTCAAGGCAAAAGTTACATTGGTACTATGAAAGGTCGAAGATTACTATACTGGCACTCAAATGAGCCCGTTTAACAATATTTGCCTATCAAAGCGCACGTCTACATCAACTGGCCCATGGAGGAGCCTGTACGAGCTATTTCAAAGCTATCATCTTTCCCCAGCGTTGTATTGAGTATTGACTTCCGGCCACTTTAATGTTAGTTCTACTAGTAAATGTTTATATTATTAATCTATCATGTTAAAAATAAATTTTACAATTATTGGAAATTTTAACTAACAAAGAAAAATCCCCAAAAAATACTTTTTCATTTTTAAAATCCCAAATCATGAATTATTATCAAAATATATTGTTATTTGCTTTCTAAGTATAATCAATTGCTATTAAAATATATTCATCCGGTTCTAAATATAAGACTTTTTTTGTAATGCAATTTACACTACAAAAGGGATACACTATAAAAGGAGTTTTATATTTAAGAAATTACACTACAAAATGGGTCTCATATTTAGGATAGGAAGAATAATAAACAAGACAGATTTAAAATTTTAAAATTCATTTATTTTTTTTTGGGGGGAAATTTTCCATTTGGCAATGTGCTTATGAAAGCGAATGTATACTTTTCAATTTCATGGCCCTTGTAGGAGGAGCTTTCAAGAGTCACTCCAAGAACCACGTTTCCCCAACGGTCACATTTGACTTCCAACCACTTTACTCAACGTGTTTATCTCCAATTGGGCCAGACATTGGGCTGAAAAACACAACTCGAATTATGGCCAAGTTAGGCTCCAGGCTGTTGTAGAACGCAAGTCAGCTTGCGGATAGCCCTACCTCTTTTTTTTGGTTCAATGGACTCTGCCACAAAAAAGAGATTAAAAATTTCAAGCGGGCTGTGGTTGGGAAGGATGGAATTAGGTCCAGCCCAATGTAAACGCAACGTTTTTGTGTGGGCCTCAGCCGCCGCCCTTATTTTCACTTCTTTTTTGTTTTTTTTTTGCCAACCCTAATTTTGCAGCCTCCCGTTTGCTGCCTTTATATACTGCTCGAGCGAGTTCTCTCTCGCTCGCCCCTCACTATATTTCCTGCTCCGTGTTTTGCAGCTTGCATTTGGCGCGTTGATATTGTGAACGCTTCCAGGTTGTAATTTGCATTAGATTATGTAGTTGTGTGTCTGGTTTTTCTTTTTCTGTTTCGTGTGTGCGGTGATGAACCAATTTATTGGACTAGAGTTTCTGATCTGGGTATCACACTCAGAACTTGATTAACAAACCCTTGGCTGTCTGAGCACACTTTTAAGCAACTTTTCGTTTCCTTTTCTTGACTTTGTCAGTATTTTTACCGCTTCGAGACGACTCTGATTTTTGAATGTGCTGTTCAACTGGTTTAGAAAATTGGCTCATGATGATACTTTAATTATCTTAGCGGATTTCAGTGAGATATCTATCAATGATCTGATTGTTACACACACTGAAGCCTATTTTCTTGATAAGTATCCTTTAATTTAGCATACTACATTAGTTTGTCTCGGACGTTAGTCCTTTTTTGAATGTATATATATTTATATCCAATTTACTAATCTTTGGTGCAATGATGAGATGAAACACCTGAACGTGTTTTAGGGCAGTGGACGTGACCGTTCGGTTTCGCCGTGAGCCCGTTTGTTAACGACTTCTCCTTCCACTGAGCACTTGTATGATAGAAAAGTTCTTTATTGTGAATGGGTGCTTAAATTGCGAGGCTGCGCCTTTGTGAGTAGGCTATGGTGAAATTTAGCATGGAATGCGTCCATTACCAATTCCAGCAGGATATATCATTCCTCTTGGTTTAATGGCTCGGACGCGATATTTATTATGTGGTTATCCTGATGGATGGCTTCTCCACCATGCCATTTTATCCTGGAAACGCCACAAATATTCTATTCTGTTGGTTATACTTGAGCAATTTGCGGTCCAGTTAAGACTTTGATCAAAGCGAAGCAATGGAATGCCCGATCAGTTGGACGATTGAAAATGAACCACTTTGTCTAGAGACCTAAATTTTAACCATATATTTGGTGGTATGAAAGAAATGGAAGGAAAAGGAGTGGAAGAAAATTTTTAACGAGTTTTATTTGAAAAATTAAAAAAATAAAGTTAAAAGTTTTTAATTAATTACAATTTCTTTCAAACAAAATTTCAAAATCTCACTTTTTTAATTTATTAAATTGAGCTTATTAATTTTTTTTTTGCTTTTATTTTTTTCTCATGCTGAAGTTAAAAAGCCTAATAGATTTATTAAGGCGACTGCTTTCACACTGAAAAATAAAATGCATCAACGTGTCACCGAAATATGATTCCAATCTGCTAAAATAAAATTGGAATTATTTCAGTTGCAAAACTGTACCTTTTCTCTGGAAAAGTTGAAAAAAAAATTCTCTATTCCACATATTTGTTACCATATATTATTTTCGATTTACATTTCTTCGAGAAAAAGCAAAAGTGAGACATCCATGAACTCTCATTCCTGTGGCTAACCTCGACTTGGCAAGTCATTTCTTGGATGAAAGATAGATGCCAGAAATAATAGCAACGCCGGCAACGGCAACACCAACAGAAGTTATGATTGTTACCGCGGAGGTAGCTGGTTTAGCAGACGGAATTGTCAAGAGATCCCTCACCTAAGAAACAGTATTGAAAATAAATAATAAGTCTGACAGTCAAGTATATGTGGGAATATTAGTATTAACCATCACTTTGGAATAAAAAACCACAACAACAAAAAAATCAGATGTTTTTTTTTTTTTGGCTGTAAAACAAAAAAAGTTCACCAACCATGATAGGTTCCTTCCAATGCTTCTTTATTCCTGGTAGATGCCCTTTGCCGACAACAGCAACAACCGAGCTGCTCTCGCTTGCCACTTTTAATAATGTGGAGGACATATATCTAGATATTTGAAGTGGGAAAAGAATTAGAATGAAACATTACAAACAATAATAAAGTGCTCATTTAAAAACATTCTAAATAGTGTGCGAAGGGTTCTAAATAGTGTGCGAAGGTTATATGATGACCATGGATGCCAGTGCACTCTATTTATGCTACCTTGTGCAGCATAGATAGAAAATTAAGTGTAGCAAGCAGGGTTTCATAGCCCACAAGGATTTACCAGGAGTCCAAACCTTTAATTGAAGGGAGGGGAAAAAATTCAACGGAGCCTCATGCTAATGCCAATCGATCAAACTGAGCCCACGAACATATTATGAAGAGCAAACATTGTTGACCCTTGTGATGTGATAAGTATGGCATAGAGCTCATAGAGTCCACAGAGAAGCTATTTGAGTTGAACTCCCAACTCAAAAAGTCATCACAGGCCACATCAGCATACTACATACTTTTGTCAATTTATAGTGGAGGGACCACTGCAAATATGTCTCGTTGGATTGGATTTGATAAATTTGGTGGTTTTTAAAAGACAAATTAATTTGCACCATTAAAATTTGATCTGAATGGTTCATATTCACAGTGGAGGTGTAGTGGAGAGAAACCAAGCCCTCAATTTATATAGGCTTAGCCACGGCTCCTGTACTAATATCCAAGATAAGTGGGCATTCACTGATAAGAGATCTAACATATTTAAATCCCGATCCTGAGGGTGGCTTCCATATGCCAAAATAGCAGCATCCAAAAAATATCCAGGATACCCTAAAAGGACCTCTTCGAGAGCCTTAAGAGAATTGGCAGCGTAGCTGGTATATGACATATTTTAACAGAACCATTCTTCTGAAAGCGGGCAAATATGTGACAAGCAACAACCAATTTAGTGAATTACATGTATAGCATGTCAGCGTCAGCCATCTTTGAAACATGATCGTAAATTTGATTGAACTCAAATTAAGGGGCAAGAGTTCTGATCTCTATAGTGAATTACATTTATAGCATATCAACATCATCCATTTTTGAAAAAAAAAATGTAAATTTGATTGAACTCAAATGAAGGGATTTGAGAACTTACTGATCTCGCTCATGCACGAGAGTCTCCATTAAAGTTGGGAACGCCTTACTCATCTCTTGTATAACAAGAGTTAGCATGTCATTGTCATCCATTTCCTTCAGCTGAAAAAACATACCCCAGCACCGGTATAAAAAAGAAGTCAGCACCAGTATGACCATTTCCTACCCATCAAAGCATATAAGGACTATGATGTCTACCATTTTATTAAGCTCCTCATGACTGGGCAAAAATACTGCATTAAAGAGCAAAGAGTACAATAATTTCATCTTATGCCAAAGTGGCATCTTTCTCCATGTTCTCCTTAATGTAATCTGTCTCAATCAAGGGCAATATACATTAACGCAGACACAGTACAAACAAGAAATTTCTAAAGCATAACAATACAAATGCATGCCTAATTAATAAAACACCTAATCAAGTGCTGGGAATTGCCAAATAAAAAGGAAAAATAATTCCCCATGTTTTACCACATTTACATGTTTAATTCACAACCACAGAAACAGTAATCAAGGCTAAACTCTTAATCATCAAACAGATCCGGTGAGCTTTACCAGAAGACTTATGAGATTAAAAAAAAAAAAAAAAAAGCAGTCTACTGTTTGAAGATCAAACACACAAAGTATGCAACATTCTTGATCCAAGCCATAAAAAATTTCTACTAGCTTTTCTGCAGGTGTTAGATAAATCTGTCCTCAACAAAGGGAGGGCACAGACATGCCAGGGAGTAGATGAACCAGGGGAGTTGACATCATAATCAAGCAATATCAATGGCAGTACTTCCAAAGACACGTGGATAAATAGGATGTTTTCCATGCAGGGTTGAACGTGACTGAAGCATGCGCTGGGTATAATAGATATTAACATATATTGACTCTTCATAATTAAGAATTAAGAAAATTGTTCTGAAACAGAGTAACAAGTATGCCCCCAATCATTCAGCCAACTTTAAAGCATAAACCCATTCAACCTGTACGGGGCGATCACCAAGTATCACCCTCCCACCATACTTGATTGCTTCTTCATATGCCACACGAAATTCAGCACCAGGAAAAACATCAAGCTTGTCAGCAATCTGTTGGAAATTAAGGGAGAAAAAAAGAGAATATATGAGATAAACAGCATTTTTGAATAATAACAGACCAATGAAAAGGACACAGATCTTATAGACACAATAAATATGTTTTCAAACATAAGAACGTGCCTTTGCAAGAAACCAGCTGTAAAGTACTCCAAAGATGTTCTGTTTTTTCTTCAACATTACAATTATTTCTCTGACTGTGGGCACCTACAAGAAGAAAATAAATACATGAGAAAATAGTGAAAGTTAGTGCAAGAGAAACAAAATATATGGAGATTTCTCAGGGGCTAAAGTTCAATATTAACTTATAGGCCATTAAACCAGGTCATCTAAGCTGAAATGAATTTAAAAAACTACTAAGAAGATTACACGTGTATCTGTGACTAAAAGTAGAGACGATTATTTTCTCCCTTATTCAAAATGAATAACAGATCATGAACTTGAAAATTAAATTATCAAGGTAAATCAACCAATATATATTTAGATAGCATTGTTTCCCTTAAAAAGCTGATGATTTTCCTCCTTTAATAGAGCACAGTTAAGTCATTTGAGTATTAGCAAGGTAAAGAATAGCTACCTTTAAATTTTGAGGAGCAAGTACTGTTACACGACCCGGGCACAATTCTAGGAAGACAACCTGGACAAACAAAACCAAGGCAAACGATTTTAACATGAAAATGTACAAGCCGGAGGGAAGACAATGCAGGCAGCTAATCAGGTGAATGATTCATTCATCGACCACTAGCTATGGAGTTCAAAAGTGAAGCACCTGTGGTTTCAAAAAATTGATTATTTCTTGCACTTCTACGCAGGATTCCTGTAAACAAATTCATATAGTTCAGAATAGATGGTAATCAGTAATCACTAAGCTCCCATTTTACAATCAATAACACCGAATTTCAAAATGCACATTTCAGTCCCCGTCCAACTACAACAAGAGGGCTTTAATCAAGCGATTACCCGAGAAATATGAGCAGTGCCAACCAAGTACACGTCACAAACACCACTCTCAGCGGTGGATTCGCACGTCAGGATCACTACGTTTCTTGAGAGCTCGTCCGGGAGTAACTTTCGCTGATTGAAACCCGCTGTATCAAGAAAGGGCGATACGGTGGCGTCAGTAGGCTGGTCGATTCGAACCATGCTCTCAGATAAGTTCACAACGGAAGGATCGCCGATGTGAACAAAATCTTCGCCTTCGACGGGGGGCGCAAATGATTCCGACGGTTTTGGGTCCATCACTGAACAGTGAGCGACGAGAATTGGGGGCTGTAGAAGCTTTGAGCTCGGAGATTTGGTGTGGTTGAGAAATGTGATGCAAGTGTGAGGGCAAAGGATTGTGCGGGAAGTAAAACCAAGGCGCGACTCGGGCGATTGAGCGCGAGTGACAAGCTATTGTGGCCAGATCGTCCGCCCCATTAGCGACTCGGTCCGTACAAAACCGCCGGCAACGAGTCAACGACTGGATTGAGATTGTTATATATCGATCCAATTACACTCGCGCGGCCCACACTAGAATCCCCGTACAAAACACAAAAACGGTGGGGACTAAATGAATTTAAAATTAAAAAATGATTAAAAAAATATTATGGGCCAACCTCGTACAAGCCTCCCGGAGTTGTGAATTCCAAGTTCCACTTCCAACTAAATTTTGTCGAGAAAAATATACCTTTTGTCCTTGATATAAAAATATAAAATTAGTTTCTTATATTGACACGCATCAACACAGACTAATTTTTACCAGGGATTGGGAAAATCAAATAAATCATTAAGCCATATTAGTTACAAATTCATAAGTCAATGATGAAGCATGATAAGTCGACTAGACATGATCAAAGCAATATATTTTAAATAAGAAAGGAAAAATAAAAATCTATTAAAAATTGTTTTCAAACAGAGATAACAATAAAATTAAAAATAAAAGTAAAAATATAATTTAAAGAAATTGATAAATATTTTACAATTTAAAAGACAAAAAGATAATTACAGGATGTAATATCTACAACATATGAATATGCATAAAATAAAGTTTGGGAACATGTTTTAATTTCTTTTCTAAAATGATCCATTCAACACTTATTAGTTTGCTTTTTTTTTTTTGGATGAAATAACACTTATTAGTTTTATACAGGCTTAGTCGATGTTGGACCAATTCATACCGGCTCTCAATTCTCATCCTAAATCCAATATGCTAACTTTTTAAAGAAAATTCTGATAGAATATAATGCCCCTGATCCTTAAAATAATTTAGTCTGAAATATAATACTCCAACCCATTTTACCTTTCATTTATTTTTTTCTTCAAAATAGCTTTTATAATAATTACACATACTAAAAATTCTATCAACTAGTAATTCTAACCAATATAAATGATTAACAATGATATTCTAAGAAATTTAACTTATATTTTGACAAATAATTAATTTAACAAACTTTCTTAATCTATTCAAATTAGTCACAGAAAATAGTAATTTTCATTGACCAAATATGATGGCTAAACCCAAAATAATTGTTAGGATAATCATAAATATAAAAAATAATTTAAAAATGTAATTAATTAATTGAAAATTGACGAAACACCGGTTGGTTTCCTTCGCAAATGCTCGACTCGGTCTCATGCTGGGAAACATGAAACGACACCATGCCAGGATCTCCAACACAAGCCCGTGCACAGTGTAGACAGCTGAGACTCCAGATCGCAGAGAAAGATAATGTTATCCTGTACTGTCATTGTTCAGAATGAGCATGCTTAATCTGATTTTGATGGTCAAAATTTCCAACTCTCAGGTATGAACTAGAGAAATCCAACTATACAGAATATATCACTGCATCCATGCAAATCCATCGTACATACAAGTCATTTGTCTCTTCCCCCAGTATCTCATAGAAAATGCTATCAGATATTGATATTTTACAACTACCGAATCGCCAACAGAAATGTAATCACTGCTAGAATTTATAAGTTAGACTATATCCATGTGTGCAATTGCTGCCTCTTCACCAAGCCCATCCACGTTCACATTCTCATCATCACCCTCATACTGCAAATGAAATAAAAAGTGCTCTTTCAGATGCTATACGCGTCATAGATTACAACGCAGAAACTGTATTTGGACATTCTTGCGAAATAAATGAAACCACACACTACATGATGAAAGCAGAGCATTTTAAGCTCAAACTTTGAAATAAATGAAAGTGGATTTGATAAAATAATGCATATGGCGGTATTCAAGAGGGTGAAGAGCTGACCTGTGAATAATTCGTTCCCGCAGTCGTCAGAGTTGGGGGAAGCATTGGTAAACTCCTCACCTTAAATGCCACTTCATTCTCATTTTCTGATGGTGCAGTTTCGGTTCTCTCAATTTTATCATCAAGCTCAATCTCAACTTCCTCATCAACCACATGAGCTGCCATGCTGGTTGATGGCACACCAACCCTGCTTTCCTTCAACTGCACATGAGAAAGGCCACTTGCATCATCAATCGCCACGTTTCAAAACAATCTCATTCAAGAATAAAAGCAACACTATCGTTATCCAAAAAAAAAAAAAAGGAAAACAACAATATCATTCAGTGCGCAAAGAACTCCCATGATATTAAGGAATATCACCTTTTCTAAGCTGTGGTTGCCAGAAGAACAAGATGTTCCTTTCTTTGGCCTGCCTTCAATGTTATGGGACTTAGTCGTTTGAGCCCCATTATTTGGGGCTTCAGAGCCCTCATAATCCTTATCGTTTGACTCAGCAGCCAAATTCCACCGAGAACGCTTCCTGGTTCTGGCTGTTCCAACCAAATACCCAACTTTCGATTTATACACGTGCCACAGAGAAGAAGTAAGCGTAAAAAACAGAGGGAAAATGAACATAAAAGATGGCCAGATTAAAAGTCAAATTGAAAACATATTCGCACAAAATAAGGCATCACAATGAGTCATAAAGCTGGAACCAAATATGCACATGTACGACCTTTTAATTAGGATATTAAAAAAAGTCATTTGTGACAATAATCTTGAGATACAAATTCGGTTTTGAGAATCTGAACTAGCATCATGCCGCATCAAGAGAGTAAGGTCAATAAAATTTCACAATTTCATACTGACACAGGAAATCAAGTTAGGAAATTCCTTATCATGTACAGTCATATTCATTAGATAATGGCCAAAAGCGTCTCAGGTTCTTCAGAAAAAACACATGAGATCTCAGGATTAGTGTTTGACTGGCTGAGATGAAGGCTACCCTGCCCCATGTATGAACTGAGGCATCAACTTGGATTACTATAACATACAAAACGAACAAACGAAATCAAATTTGAAAGATTTGAGCTTCCCATGTTTGGTTTCGGGAAAAAAACAGTATTTTGAGAGCTAGAACAGTAAAATAGTTCTGTTCACTAAATTTTACAAAAATTACTACCTTGTTTTGTTTCTTCAACAGCATCACGGCCAGCAGGCAGCCTTTTTCTGTGTGGAGAAGCATCATTCTGCTCCACATTATCTCTGATGATGGATGGAAAACCTACATCCTCAGCATTGCTTACAATATCAATACTCAAGTCTTCTTCATTGACACCAGTTCTAGCAATGTCCGAGTCAAGCTGATTTCCCAACCTTTGAAGTCGAGCCTGTGATCTACACAGGCCAACAAACTTAATTAACTCATAATTTCATTGAAGAATCTTTCCTCAAACAAGGAACCAACATAATGGATATAAATAAATTCATAACAAGCATTGCATATAAAACAGAGTAGTTATGTGGCTTGCCTCCTTAATTCATCTTGTAATCGAGTGTTTTGACTATGTGCTTTAATAAACTTCCTTATTTTTGACGTGACCCTGAATTTGCCAGCATCATCAAAGGAGTAAAAGGATTAGAATGGAAACAGCATTGCAAAGAAATATTTGGGAGCCCAAAAGACAATGAAAAGCATGCACATCAAAGTTCTAGCACCTTTTACATTCTTCATTCTCTTTAAATAATTGAGCTTGCAGTTCCTGAATTCTAGAATTAAGGCTATCCACTTCTTGAACACTCTCATCCAAGCAGACCTTAAAACAACAAACATTGCAGATTAACAAGGGTGACTCGAAATAAAATTTGAACATAAGAAGCGAAACTGTAATCAGTTAAAAATATAATTGATTTTCTTTTCCCTTGTAATGTGAGTTCTAATATTATTCTTACACCAAACACATAAACACTTTCTACCCTCTTTTCAAAATTAAGCAAGGCAATGTTAATTAGATATCTATGCTGGAATTAGCACAATCCAATTTGTCCACTATGCACATGGAATGACTGCATGGTCATGTATTTGGGTATTCCAAACTATCCTGTATTACTGTTGCATCCTTGATCAGAATGGAAAAATTTAAGCGACCCATGCTACTTGATCATGTAAGCAAAAAGAATACATGCTATCCATCTGCTTTCTTCTCCCTAAACACAACAGTTGAAATTGCCTACCTCCCAACACAGAGAAACCCAACACATCTTCCTATCTTCAAAATTTATCCACATAATTATAGCCACCATACCTTTATGAAAAGGCCAATAAAAATAATGAGAAATTGCTACTGCAACTAATAAAACTAACCCCAAATTGAAACTTTTGCTCATCAAGCATGCTGATTTCCAACTGCACTTTCTTCAGCTGCAAGCAGCTCCAAAAAAAAAATTAAACATAAGTCCTCCAGAATAATACAATAACAATAATAAGAAGCCTTATCCCAGTATTCCAGAACAAAATTTTTTTAAGAAAAAAAAATGTTTTGAACCTGCTCCTCAAGACTATTTTTTGAACCGGAGGAATGCAGTTTTCCTTCTCTAACTTTATCTTGGATTCTATCAGAGAATCTCAAGCTTCCCGAAACATCACTTTGGCCTGCAATGCCCTTATCTCTCTTGCGCTTCCTATCACTGCAATAACAATTAATAGGCATTAGGACCAATAAATGGATGAAGAACTAAAATTACATGAGACTCTATAGGCACATCTCAGTCATTATGCATCTGAGAAGTGAGGACAGAACTTTGTATGAGCAATTCACACCAGCAGTAAAAAGTGACATCATGTGCATGCTTCATATTCACCAAAATATAGCAGAAAATTTCATACCAGATGAAGTGCACATGGTTGGTTTTGGGAGGTATGACTAAGTTTGTTGCGATTTATTAAAGGTGTCAATAAACTAGTTGCCAATAAAACCAAAAGAAACTAAATGAGAAAAAAGAGGAAAGAAAATTATTAATGATGGTTTACCTCCTTTTCTCCAAGGGCCTCCCAGGGCTGTAATCTGCAATTATTAATCCATCAAAATTAGGAAAGGAGAAAGGCGAGGGTTAATAACACTAAACTATTGCATTATAAGCACAGATGTACATCCTCTGGTGCACGCAGTCACACACCTAAAGACAAACATCATAACAAACTGTAGTGAACAGATGCATAGTAAAAACATCAATCTCTTGCTTAGGGATCCCATGTAATCTTCTTTTTTTTGGGGGGGAGGGGGATGGGGCTAAATAAAAGGTTCCATAACGCATGTGATATTGCTATCAATGCAACAAAAACTAGCTATCATGTGACAGTGATACCTCCAGTACATCTCCAAGTTAAAGATCAATAGCAGAAAACAATAACTGTAAAAAAAAAAAAAAAAAGGAAAGCAAATAACTTATACGTAACCATGAATATTTTGGCGGCTCCTTGCATCTCTTGCTGGTGATAACCTGCGAGGTGAGAAATGCCTTCTTTCAAGTTTTCCTCTCAAGTCACTACTGGAATAGTCTTGCCTACCTGCAATAAGAAAAAGAACTCCCATTACCTCAAGACCAACCAAAACCAACAAATGTTATAGGAGAAAAAGAAGAGAGGGAGGCAGAACTCAGATTGATAATGAGACACAAGCTTACCATCATGGTGAATAACAAGGGAAACATAATAATGAATAGTTATAGAGCTTCCCATGCAAGAGCGAAAAGGCGACAGAAATTAGAGACGGAAATAAAAACCCAGGTATGTAGCTTATATCTTTGAAGTGCAATCAAGGTTGCAATGGGATTAAGACCAATTCACTTCCTCATCTTCTTGTTAGGCAGAATGGCATTAAAATATAATAGAAAAGTAGAGATATCTCCGCGATGATTTTACAAAAATAAGAATCTGTCCACATGCTATCAGATTTGATTGCTTCTGGTAATATCCCCTCTTTAAGAATTTCATTCAGTCTTTGTTGAATGAGCCACACCATAGCATCATCCAGAAGTGTCAACCAAAAGGAAAACTATACGCTCCATTCACTCAGGCAGTAGAATGTGCTATATCAAAGGATAAGATAATTCACTGAAGTTGCTTCTGATCTAAATAAAAGAAGAAGGAATGATCCAAGAAAGCCCAATCAAGATCCTCCAGCTAGTACTTTGTAGCTCCACAGATTCGTGGAATGATCCATGAAATATGTTGCCATGTAAAGAAATTGTTAACAACAATACCAGCATTGACTTTTAGATAAACCAATCAGCAGAATCCATACTGAAGATTTCCCATCTAAATTAAAATATCCATACCGCTTGCAATTCAACCAATCTCAAAACAAGATAACATGAGCTGACATCCTATCATTGAATAAGTTAATCTGACATTAATTTCGTACATTAGTCAATCATAAATAAGCCTTGTGCTCTGCTTACACTGAATCAATTGGCATATAAACCAATCTACCAGAGAATTATCCAGATCCATAGTGATCAGAGAATATGAACTCCAGTAATGAATTTGGAGCATCAAAAAAGGTAGCTCGGGACATGAATGAATGGTAGACAAGTACATCCGAGAAAGTGGTAACACATCCTAAAAATATTTCGTTGCATTTTTCTCTTTCATTGATCAAACTTTCTCAATCATATGGGCATGTCATTAAAGGAGAAAAACTCAGAATGCTCTCCTTATAAAGCTTCATGTCACATGATCCAATAGATATGCATGTAATCATGTGCAGAAGCCATAATACAAACAGACAAAGAAACAGGATTACGTCCAAGGACATCTAAAAAGCAACCAATCTCTGCAAGAAGCAACATAGTGAGATCTTCAAGATTGCAAACAAACTCCACATCAAAAATATTCTTTGAACAAAGCTCCAGAAAAGAATGTAGCCTGACAATGGCATAGGAAGTACTATATAAAAAAATGAAGCTCAAGAGTAAACATAGAGATGTAGGCAAGAAAGTATAACAACCACGTAATAATTTAAGAAAGAAGAATCGCAAAGATAGGGGTAGAAGTTTAACTAGGAATATTTTAGCAGGAGCTCTTCTGTGGCCAAATGCCTCCATCAACGGTGAAGTTTATTTAAGAATAATCAGTGTTTGTCATGAGGGAAAGAAAAAGACTAGCAAGCAATCAAAGCAGATGAAATGTTCTTGATGGTAATATGAAAAATAGAAATTGGAATGTAAAGTAACCATACTGACTTAGACTTATCGTGACTATAAGCTAGAGTGACGAACATAAAATATTCAATTTGTAAAATCACACGAGACATAGGCAAATCAACAACTAGCTGAAAGAAAAAAAATATGGTTGCACAGGCAATCGTCCACCCAAAATCTTACAATACCACAAACAAACTAGCAAAGCACGGTTCCCTGCAATGCTTTGTATGCATATACAGGTACTGCTTCTCAAATTCATAGACTTCTAAATAAAATTAATACATAGCGCGACATTCAGGCGTCCAACTGACAGCCACGGGAGACAGACTTAACTAAATAACCAGTAAAGGTAAGATATCGCGATACAAGAAGAATAATGGAAATGGATACCACTATATGAGCCAGAGAATCGCCGCAACTCCGCATTCCCATGAGCAAAGGTGCAATTTTGGCGTGAACAGCGACCTTTCTGATATGGCACACATAGCCTGGTCTTGAACTGCTTCCTTTCCACCATTCTCAACTTTTTAGTTAATGTGAACCAGAAAAATAATGCCCGCCTCGTGAAATTAGCGTATTAGGCTTGCGATGAAAAGTTAATAGCAAGATTCCTGCATTTAAACATACCATGTATTGTTAATCAGGTTGAATGAAGAGTTGAAGAAAACTCTATTAGGTTCTATCCATTAAATTTCTAGCTAGCTGAAAAACGGACAAGAAAGAATGCGCCTTGAATGTTTCCTTAAATTCTTTTTGTTAAATCTTTTCGTTTTCGTCAATCGCTGAGTGACCAAACTTTTAAAAGCTCAGTGAAAATAAATCAAGAAAATCACCTAGAACTCGAGGAGTCGAGCGTGCGGCTCCAAATTCAATAGCTCCCCTGAGAAACCCAGCTGAAGACCAAGGATCGAAATCCTAACGAGAATCTTACATGAAGATCTTTTGGAAGCTCTAGCCCGTCAATTGCTCACTGGATTGACTTTCTTTTATTACACAACAAAATTGGGCCAAGCTCATTGAATTGACTTCATCTGTTTCAGATCCGACCCAACCCATTCCATTCGATTTGTGGTTGTACGTCCCATAAATCATAATCATTCGTTAATTATTCAATCTCATATAAGAAATTAATTCATTAATTAATATTAATAGTACTCCCTGGCCCCTTCGGTCCTATATTAATTTATCATATACTCTGCCCATTTCCGAATCATCACATGAAAAACTGGTTTCTAAGTTGACAAGAAGTTGGAACCACCACGGAGATTGGTTCAATATTGATTAAAAATGCAATGCTGGTTCATGTATTACTTGCCGATTTATAAATTTTGGTTTTATGTATAAAGTCCACACGTTGGACGAAGTCGATAGTTTATAGAAAAGAAAAGAAAATAATAAGAGCTACAAGATCCGGTACGAAACGAATATTAGAAATAGCGCATGCTCCCTTTGATTTTTTTTCAATAAGGCAAACGTGAGCTTGTAATGACAGATTAAAACAGAACTTCTAAACCTAGGATAAAGACACCCTCCGGCTATTCACCAAATCTTGTTGCATTTGATGAACACAAAAACATTGAGTATCTTGAATCAGGTTCAACTCCATAGACACTTGATGAGCATTCCCTGCTACGTAGTCCGTACATAGTAGCGCCTCCCTGTAAGAATGATATGCTTCCAGGTCCCAGTCTGAGAAAATGATGGACGGTGTCTCATAGATCTCTTCTCTTAGTGGATGTGAAGATCCACCCCCATCTTGTAGTAGTTGCAGTGCATCTCGCGAGTCACTGCTTCCTTTGATCTTTAACTTCTACTTTCTTTTAATCTTGATTCAATATCCTTTGTATAAAGAACACATGTTGTCTTCAACAAAAAAAAAGCTACAGTTCGCGATTGTTTCCATTAAATTTCGGTACTATGGTTGTTCTTCAACGCACTTTGGGCACCTACATCTGAAACCATAATCTGCAAGGGATGCTTGTCTCTCTTCGAATGGAAGATCCTCATCGACATATGAGATTGTTATCTGAAAATGTTTCCAACTGTCAATTACTCAACAAGACCAATAAAACAGATATATTCAAAAACAAACACAAGAAATTCCGGATAATGTATCGTCCCTTTTCATCCTTGGTGCGATGAACCTCAAGTTAGAATAAATACTTGTATATTGTAACTATAAATAACGAACCTCTTCTCCTTTATGAATGGACCTCAGTGCAATTATCGTTGCTTGACCATCTCTATCCTGCATACAGATGCAGGAAATGATTGACACTATGATCAACACACATTGCTAATGTTTAACGTGAAATATGGACAAGAAAAAAATTTACACAACCTCTCAGAAGTGTAGTTTCCATAAACTTGTAATGGAAGATGTTAGATAACAGATCCTGCAATAGTGCAACTTTCCTTGCAATGTTCATGTTTGGACTATTTGTTCTTTATGAGTTTTGCACACTTTGTAATTGTTTCTTATCTATTAAGGTCCCAATCTTACCTTAAATTGCTTTCGTCATTTATTTAAAACAAGAGTCAGTGATTGAAGGAATCCATTAACGACTAGGAGAAACCTAGTTGAAATAGAGCGATATGCTAGCAACATAGTCCACAATACATCTGAAGATCAGATACATTAATCAATATTTCCAGGCCACAAATCTAATCAATATCTGCGTTAGACAACAGTTGACTCAAACAGCTCAAAGTTAATAGAAATTTCGGGTTTGCATACCTCCTCTCTTTTGAACGCCTTTGCATTAGGACAGCAGGAATGGTTCGTGCAGCTTTGCAATGGAAAAAATGCAGTTCCTAAAATAAATTTTAAGAACCATCTGTAGTTAGCACTAGAAGAAAAAATAATGGTAAGAATGAATCATGAATCAACACAGTACGTATGGAACAGCACATCCAAAAAAATCAGCAAGGTGATACAATAACAAATCCCTCTGGAATACCAAGTACCCTGGCAACAAATGGAATAGTCTTCACCGAGAGCATCCAGGATTGGTTGCGTGATTTCCTCAGCTTTTTCCTGCCATCAATGATCAGGAAAGGGGTGAGACTTACTTTTGAGATAAAATAGTAAAGCAAAAGATACAAATTCTGACCTTTTCAGGATATCTTAGATCATCAATGTATAAAAAGTAATCTTCCACAGGAGAAGCTACCACCAAATCACTGACAGAAATAAACACCAGATTAATTCACGAATCTGATGGAAACAAGATGCTCATTTGTGGTTCCATCATTTGATGGCTGAATTACGGATTTCAAGCATCACATTAATGGAACCAAACGAGGCATAATAATGGCAGTAAAGAATAGAAAAATGAGAAGCCCTAGAAGGAGGGTTCTTACAGATTATTTTGCTCAAACATGCCAATGATGTGCCCATATATTTCCAGGGAGAATACTGAGTGTAGTCGAGGACTTAGATCAAAGATCAACAAGATTATATTTTTCTGATACATAAATATAATGGCACGGGCATTTGCATGAACAAAGAGATCATCAATTAAGCATCAGGAAGGATACATGGTTCACACTCGCTGTCAAATATAGCTGTCTTTAGAAGTTGGAGTGACTGAAAAATTACAGTCAATTTATCAGAAATGAAGAAAGCAGAGTAGGCATGAATGTTATCCACACACACATAACCCCCCAATTTGGTAGTAACGTGTTCAAGTATCCATCAGGCTTGTTGTCACAGGAGACTTCTGGGCCCAATTAAAAGACAAATATAATCCAGAGAGGATAATGACGTAATACGTCAATCATTATAAATGCATTTTAGGCATTGCTACTGACTTGAAAGGAGAGATTTCATATCAACTTGAAAAATCAAATAGAGCATCAAGAAAGTAGATACCTTGATCACCTATGAGAAGTTCAACTGACGCTAATATTTTGTTTTGATGAGGTGAAGCTATGATTTTCCTATAGAAAACGATCAAGGAGTTCTGTCTTTTTGCGTAAAGCAACTAACTTCATACCAGAATAATTTTATGTGCAGAGTAAAAAGAACTTAGTTACAAAGCGAGATAGTGAATTCTATGCCTTGCCCCAGATAACCAAAGCAACTTAATGAAAGTAGCGAAGTTTTTAGCAAGCACATTTACAAGAAATTTTCAAGAAAAAAATAGATATGCCTAAGAGAAGTTATTATATGCCTAAGTAAAAGGAAAAATTTCTACCATCACTCTGAGGAATCCTACCTCAAATGCCAAGTCTCTTATCTGCATCCTGAAAGCAACTTCATCAGAAGAATTAATATCATCTGGCAATGCGATGCAGTCCCACCACCTAAAAGAAATTGGAATGACTCCTCTAGTACAGTTCAAATGAATCACAGATTTTCCGCAAAGTCACAACGTTAACAAGAAAAAATAGTGAACGAGAGTGACAATGTACTAGTGCCTCAGGACAAAAGAATGACTTTCCACACTCTTGGTCCTTTGTGAGTTTTCTGACATAGTTGATCAATGAACGTTGACATATCAAAACATGAGTTTTCCAGCAGAGTCTGATGAAATTAAAGTTAAACTTTGATAGTTTCTAGGGGTGAGGACAGACTACAAATAGGCAAAAGAGGAAAAGATGGAAAGAGTGGCGGGAGGAAGAGGCAATCATTAGAAACTATGTCAGTCAGAATCTAATCCCTGCACTTCCTAAAGCCAAGGAGAATACCCACATCCAAATAGTACTTCCATTCATATCCTTCACGTAGTACAGCTTCAAAATATATAATACATACCAGAATAATAACTAACCTATGCCACACGGACAATGACTCATCCTATCTGCAAACGCTAATAAGCTGACAAATACTAACTGCTTCATAAAACTAGCACAAGTAACAGATAATGACACAAAAGACAAACAATTAATTTCCCTAGCAACCACCCTTTTCCCTCCTATAACCAAAAAGTTTCTCACTAAATGAAGGTTATCTCCTTGATTGTCCTGGATAGAATTGCATATTTATCCAAATTCAAATAATCAAGATAAATATTAGTGGGCGCATTATTGAGTCGCAAAATAGAAAGATTCATCATGCAGTAGGAAAGCATAACCACTTGCGAACTGAGTCAGTTATTACCTTCTCTTGTGTCCCACTGCTATAGGTCTCCAAGCCTCCAAAAGAATAGTGAGATCACAACGGTTTGAAAGATGTGACTTATCATATTTACCTTTCTCTAAAAGATATCTCTCTTTTAGCTTGTGGTACCTTGATATGGTGGAAGAAATAGCCTAGTCATAAAAGCCAATAGGGTTTTCTGTCAGATATATGACTTTACGCAGTAGAGACGATTCATGAAAACTAAATTAAAAATTAAGATCCTATAACATACTACAGAAGGATATCTCGAGAATTTCTCAATGGCACTGTGATATATCTTGGATTTATAGTTCTTGAAAACAAATTGGTTAACTCAAAAGATAAGAATGGGCATGCCTAAATTATAATACCATATCAAAGTGTAGATTGAAGCACCTTAGAGCTGGACATGTAAAATAATTACAGATTCAAGGTCCACATGATGTTGAAAAATCCATGATGCACCCATTTATTATAAGATAAAAGGAAGAATTTTGCATTTCATGTTTCAGCATTTGCAACACAAGAATTTATACTGAAACCTTTGATAATACTGAAAAAATGAATGAGAACGAAAGTAAGCCATGGTTCTAGCTGATATATGCTTTTCCGCTAAATGGCCAACTTCATGACAAATGTTAAAATGCCATTATAATATAGACAAATATAAACAGTGTTCTCCATGCTCAACAAAAACAAATATATAAGAGACATATTGTGGAAATCAAAAGGCAAAATGAGGCTTTACCTTTGCGGCAAGGAGGAATATATCATTTGTTTCTGGGAGGGGGGAAAAAAGAGTGAATGAATTCATTTAGAACAAGCAAGGCAAAAACAAATACATTTGAAAAAATATAGATTGGAAAAAAAATGTTCACAATGCAATATTTTTACCATTAGCATGTTTGATGAATTTTAGAAGTGCCTCCCTCCGTGCTGCATCAGACCTCTCACCAGTACAAATCAAAGAATGACAGGATTCCCAATAAGCCTCTGCACATGATGTACTACAAGTATTGGCAACATTAGAAATAGTAAATTTATCATTTGTGTTGAAAAGACTGATGCGAAACAATTAATGGTCCTAGTGACTAGGAAAGCAGCAGTGCAGAGCAGCTTCATCCGTTCATTCTTTGTGCAAATATTAATAGTAGGTCATGTTGAAATTTTATCTCATGCATGAGATACAGACAGAAGAAGCAATACTTTGCATAGTTTTACTCTCATACTCTTTGTAGAAAGAAATGACTCAAATCCATACCATATTTCTTTTAAGAAGAGGGTATATATACACAAAGGGTGAGCCTAGGTAATTATGGCTTATTGTGAGCCCATCAATATAGCCTACCCTATACAACCTATTATTGAAGAAGTTTATTTCCTTTGGTATGCTCAATATATAACCTATACTATAGATAATAACAATCCTATTCTAATACTATTAATAGAATACTAGAAATGGAATGGATAATGAAAAGGAAAACTATAAGTAGGATGGAGAACTTAAATACCACCAACAACTTGATTCTGATACCAAATGACAGGCACCTAAGTGAGATGAGGAACCCAGCCCCAAAAGTTAGCTGTTGAGATGGGAAAAACAACCAACTTAAATATCCCACTAAGCATCCCTTAACACTCAATATGGGACATAATATTCCATATGACCAAGTCTCCATCAAGCCACAAGTGAAGTTACAACATGCCTCTATCTCTGTAGTTAATTTTACTCCATTAAGTAATCAAATGAGCAGCAATTAATGTCAGAAATTTCAACCCACAAGCAACATCTTTTTCTCATTGAATAAATAGAAAATTCCAGGTCTTTTTTTTTCTTGTCAGAAAATTAGCAAAACAAAAACATATATGCCCCAATTTTATTCTTCCACCGCAACCATACCTGCAGTAGAATGACTCTCCACATCCACCTGGACATGGAACAGCTGGCGGCAAGGAGAACTCCTTAGAGTAAGGCAGCACCATATGGCCGTTCATTAATGATTGAACAACACCTTCAGGGAGATGAATTTTAGCTTCAGAACTGCCAAAACTACATTCTCCAGCGCCATCCTCCTTTTTTTTATATGAATTGTCCTCTCCATCAGATGAATCTTTGTCATTTTTGTGTTTTGATGTGTTTGAGGAGTCACCCATATCGCAACCATGACTCTCAGCCCCTAATTCTTGTAAGTAAAGCCTCCTTCCAATTTGAAGTTCTATAGAACCAATAAAACGAAAGCAGGAGCTACAGACAAAACAGTCAATCTGCAGTGTACATGAGAAAGTTTGAGAAAACCATCTTGAGAGAAGTATCACTTCAGCATAGCTACAAAGAACAGATTGTGAGAAACCTTGTTGGAAGAGTGTTGAACCCCAACTAGCATTTGATCTTTCAGAACAAGCTCCCCTTCATCGAAGTCCACGGCAGCATACACACCTGCAATTCACCAATTACAACAGAAACATTGCAACATAAGAAAATCAGAGAACCTACTCAAGAAACATTTGGTGCATAGCCTTCTTAGTAATAGTGGAAAAGATGAACTCCATGGTTTCTGAAATTACATGCATGAAACCACGGCGAACTCAACAGTCATTAAGACAAGATGAAATCAGTTTATAGTGGTTCTGTAGTCTTATGATTTTTTCAGTTCGACTTCTTACTAATGCTATCTAGCATGACTAAACTTGTGCAATTCACAACCGAAACAGTCTCCTCTTTATGTTACATTGGGAATTATGCTATCATGTCCACGAACTCAACACTAATCAAGAAAGCAGCGGATTATGCCTGGCAGCCACCACACCCTATTTAACAACAAGACCTCACTAACCCAAAAGAAATATATGTACGCGCGCGCACTAATGCAATGTGCACACTGAAAAGACGAATGAAACAGAGCAATACCCTTTCCAAAGTTTCCATCCTGTTTGACTATGATACTACTGCATTTCCTTGTAGATAAAAGCTTATGATAATATTCCTGGAGAAGATACAAACAGAAGTATAAACATTTAGCATCCAAAGAACAAATATAGCGGAGCAAAATATAACTTTTTAACGATTAATTTAACCAGATGACCAGCTATTTTAACCAAATTAATCTGCTTCGTTACAAATGATAAAGGCGATTCTCAATTTTTTCTCAGCAGGAAACTGAGCAAAATGAAAAACAGAGAGCTTGGTAAGACAAGAAGAGTCTAAAGATTGCCTGAACTTCAAGAGGTGACGGAGGACTGAGAAGTGCTGCAATTTCATTGGCACACCGCGCGTCTATTGGGCAAATGGACTCCATTGTCAGAGAGGAATGGGAGAAGCACAAGGCGCTGTGTATGGAACAATAATGAGACGGCGCCCCAAAACCTGGTAGCAGCTCCCTCGTATCAATGTTTTCGGTTGATCCCTCCCCGGTCTCTATTTTTTTCCCGACCGCCTGGTCGAGTGACTTACACGTGTGTATATACACACATTTGTGGGTGCCACCTTACTAACTGTCAGGGCAAGAGTTTAACCCTTGCCATAGCATGTGTGAGGGTGTGCCGTCCTTCTCCATTGAAGGCTGAGTTTGACTTCTTTTTTATTTTGAGTTTTGACATTGACACATGTTTGACTTTTTTTTTTTTGGCCTTCATTCATGTCTGACATTTGAAACGTACATCTCTTTTCTTTTTTTGCCAGCATTTGAAACGTATATCTAACATATACGTACATGATAATATGCAACACATAATACGGATGGTAGGTCTAACCCAAGTCAATATAAATATTAACATTGATATCGACTTATAAAATTATTATAAATTATAAAATTTAGACAATGTTCACCCTGTGAAAATTTTTTATTTTGCAACGAAGAAAAATATAAACATTCATGCTTGAAAAACGTTAGGGGAAAAAAAACATATCGCATGTGTGTTAGCATTGTTTTAAGATGTTCTCTAAATAAAACTTCGTCAATATCCTATACACAAACATGTATATAATCAAGCATATACAAATTTTTTTTTTGGTCAAAAATTCATAAATCGTAAAGAATACAATTTTCTTCAATCCTTGTGCTGTACACAAACTGCTCATAGTCTAGTTTCAGCTTTTTAATAATATATAAAGACATTCTTAATTGGCAATTTCATAATAAAGAATAAGCATGAAATAATGAAGATGTAATTTTGTGGTGAAACACAGGTTTCGAAGTTCACATAGCTACGTCCATAGAGAACATATCACTCTCGCCACAATCTCGTGACTATTTAACTAAGATGTCTCACAGAACGGATGACAGTTTTTCTATCATTTGTCATCATAGGCATAAAGTGGTAGTTAATACTCCTCCGGTCCTTATTATAAGACCCAATTTGACTTTTTATTTGGTCCTAATTATAAGACCCAATCCATTTTCTCTCTTATATTTATGCATTTTTTTCCAAGATAATCCTTCTAATAATGATAGTTTTAGCCAATATACTTAATTAGCAAGAATATTTTAGGAATAACAACACTTATTTATTATAAATAACCAACTTAACTTACTTCCTTAATCTCCTCAAATAAGTCAATTGGGTCTTATAATTAGGACCGGAGGAGTAATAAGTTAAAGGATGTGTTTTGTTGCAGTTGTCTCGTTTCAAGTTTTACTAAAATTCAGTGTTTGTTAAAAAAAAAATCATTGATAGAAATACATGGCGTTGTGAGATTTACTGTAGACTTAAGTATTGAAAGAATTTGGTAAAATTATGATTAATTTCTACCCTCTCTCTCTCTCTCAATAGAGTAGCTAAAGCCTCGTGCCTCATTCACTACTCTCTCTAGATTACAGAGCCAACATGTGCGCAAGGAAGGACATTTGAATATGGAATTTGGAAAACAAATTCACAGGAACCATTTCGAAGTGGCAAGAGTGCTGATAAGGTTATCTCACATCGTTGAGTTGAAATATTGGAATTCTAATGCCAGAAAGATGACCAATTACAATCGAAGGAGTAAAAATACACAGATGCTTCGTGACTGTACAAATAAGGATCAACAGACACTACTATAGCCTGCAAAGTAAGGATGACAACCATTTATACAGTGGCGTGGCTTGGCGTCGCGTTTCATGTGATCCAATCTATTGCACAAAGCTCAGAGTACAAAGGAAAACGAGAAGGAAGAATGGAATTTCTTTCAGACAGATGCAGTGCTCAGTCATCTGAAGACTCAGGGTCAACACCCTCACAATTTTGAAGAAAATCTACCTAGTATGGTGGCTAGAAGCCAAGATTCAGGAGGAGACAAGCTAAAATCAACTCCACGAACAATAATTTATCTTCTAGTAGATTGAGTTTCATATAGATCCAAAGAACTGCTCCAGGGATGTAGCACTGAACACATTAGCAGCAGCTCGTTCAGTCCTTAAAGGACAGACATGAAGTTCGTACTTGATAAACCTCTGCAACATGATATGTTAACTAATGAGATTACATATGCATGACAGAATTTCAGCCTAAAAAGAAATAACAATATGTCTATCATATCAAAGTATGCACAAAGTAACAGATGAATGTAGCTTCAGATTTCTAACAACATACAGCTAACTGAGAGATGATTTCCGGATTTCTGTCAATGTGCCAATCTGGCTCCAACTGCCGAACAAATGATGACCGTCCATGCTCTGTGCTACAGAAGAGAACCTGCATGCAGATACCAGTATAAAGGTACGTGACCAAAAGTTACTTCAACCATGAGAAAAAGCAAGCAGCAACAATTATCAATGAGATATTTATGGGTTGCACATAAGACGTTGAACACATTATAATTCCATGAATTACCACACATTTACATAGTCCACAATTTCATTCCCATGCGAAGCATAATAGGTTTCAATGAAATTTTCCCTTCCCCTTCATTATCCTCCATCCAAACATACGGTTGGTGTGGAAAAATACTTGAATAGAAGTTTCATATACTCAAGGATGACAAAATATCCATCAATGTCATACAAAGAAAATGGTTAGGCTCTAGTGAAATAAAAAGGGTTAATGGGTTTGAATTCTCAGACCTTGTCCTTGACCAGACCACCTGAAGTGAAAACCCCAGCCTCTTCCAATGCTACAAGAACTCTTCTCTGCACAAATAATTCATAATAGATTGTCTTTTGAACAGTGTGAATATAGCAAAACAAAATCATTATAAAGTGGCCTGTGATCAATCTTACCATGGACGAAATATTAACAGCAGCGAGAAAAATACAACCTTGAAACATTTAATGCATATCACCGTTACTAGTATTGCGATCTACTTTGAAGGACAGATAAGCTGATCGAAAGTTAGAGAGAAATGATATAACTGGATATATCATATATCTAACGTGATATTAACGATGGTTACAGAACAAGTTCCAGACATTAAAGATACCCCAAGGTAAGAATTTTTACCTCAAGAAGATATAGAATATCTTAGTTCATACCAGTATCACCAGTCATGAAATAATAATGCTGATTCTTCAATATTTTAATACATACCAGTACCACCAGTTATCAAATAATAATGCTGATTCAATAGTTAGGAAGATGGTAAGGGATTTAGACTGCCAAATAACACACCTCACTTTCATCATCCAGAACTCGTTCCATGAGATAAAGATCACAGAATTTAGTTATCTCCAACAACACTGCCAGCACAGAGGACCTCACGGTAGCTTGACTCTGGCAAAAAGCAGCATGAATCACATCAACGTGTTTCTCCATGTTGAGGTCTTAAAACTGAAGAAGAAGAAGAAGAAGAAGAAGAAGAAGAAGAAGAAGAACAAGAGAGGATAATTGTACTACCTGAAGCTCCTCTGGACTACTTTCCTCAAGGATCACTCCTAGAAGGCTACAAGTTACCTACATATGACACAGATTAATTCATAAGATTTTACCCCGCAAGACAGAAAAATTTGATCCAAAACAGAACGTAAAACTTAAAATCATGTTGAAAATAGTTGTCATTAAATATCTGAATGCTGATTTTCACCGAAGAGATGTTTATCGCAAGATACAGGAAAATGGTACCTAATCACAGTTCATCATTATGAAATCAGGTTCTTTTTAAAGAAAGAGCATATTTGTAAACAGACTGTGATGGTCAATAGCTTTTGCTTCTAATCTTTTCTTCTTCTATTTTTAAAATGCCTGTTCAAGAAATTATACAAGCGAGGATATATTTAATTACCTTTCTTCCTTCACTCAACTTCTGCCGAACTATCTGCCCCAAGGTTGGCTGGAAAGATTCAGGAATAAGCAGAGCTAAGAGTGTCCGTCATTTGAAAAGCAATTCAACTTGGCTAAGCATTAATCGTAAAAGATTTATGTTCTGTCTAAAGCACAGTGCAGTGACGAGGAAGTTTACCTTGACCGGCTGAAAAAATTCATCAACAACATTTTGTGCCCTTGAAACATCTAATGGTGAACAGACCCCGGATGCAGTCAGTGAGGCATTAGATTGAGTATTTGCACCAGAAGTACCGGGTACAGTAGCTTGTCGCTTCCTTGGCCTACGTTGAGACCCACTAGGGCATCCCAAGAGCCTCCAAGCGAAGAAAACTGCAACAGCCAGACCCGCAACTGCGCCAATAGAGCGTGAATCCTAATACCAAGTTGAGCATTTTGAGGAACTCAAAAGCTACCCCATTTAAAGATGGTTGTTACTTGATGTTACACTTCCAACATGAATATGAGACACCCGTTAAACAAAATTAGAGCATAAATAAACTACCCAAAAAATGAGGCATTATTGGAGATGATATGATTGGAAAAAACCCCAAGGAAGGGGAATAAAGAGAGAAACATAAATTCCGGAAGTACATAAGTAACATGCACAAAAGCAAACAACTTAGAAGAAATCTTTCATGACATGTGTCGCTTAGTACCATTTAAACAACAAGATGAACATGAAAACTTCTCCCTCCCTAAGCCGAAAGATATAAGCTTTCAAGCAGTTAAATCTCACCGAAGATTAATCATTGCTGGCTCAAGCTACGGTTATGTCAGGTAAAGCCAAGGTCTTGCCCTCGTTTATCAAGCCATAGATAATATAAACATTCAATTAAGAATTATACTACCGCAAACAACTATACTCCAAACCAGCTGCGAATAAAAAGAACTCTGAAGAGAAGCACCGGAGAGAGAGAGCGAGTTCACGGGATAAAACACAGAAAAATTAGCATTCTTGCGTACGACAGAATGTATATTCGATCCATGAAATGGTAGAGAAATTGGCGAAAGTGACGCTAAGTAAGGAAGCCAAGGTGAACGAAGGTACCATGGTATGGAGCGAGATTGCCAAGAGATTGGACACCTTCGTCGTGAGAAAAGATACCATACGTCTGATCAGGGGGAGCGGCTCTTCTTTCGATGTGTCGGCCATCGTATACCGACCTCCTCCAACAGTCCGACCAAGCTAAGGTTCTTTTTTTTTGCCCCTCCCTTTTTGCACCCCGGAAAAGATTCGTCTTGTTCCGGACAGATGGGGTTTCAGAGGACGGCTCAAATTCGTAGCACCTTCCTCAATAAGCACTTGGTAGTGCCCGAAAGAGAAACTACGTTTAGTGTCAACGACAACAATAGCACGTTCAACATCCAGAAGCTTTCGAAGAAGGCTCAGGGTGTGTTTAGATGAAACTAAACCGTAATTTAGAAAAGTGATTTTAGAAAATAGATTTTGAAAAGAATAAATATTATGAAAAAGTGATTTTGAGAAGTGAGAGTGTTTGGATAGTTGTTATCAGAAACACTTTTTTATATACAAATTACTAAAAAAAGACATAAATTAATATGATAATTATAGAAAAAATAGATTTTATGATATATTTTAATTTGAAGGAATAAAATTATTAATAATATTTTTTTATTAACATAATTAATATACATAAGATAATATAATTAATAAATAATTAATATGTATATATATATATTTATAAAATATAAGATTAAATATGTTTATAAAAAACAAAATACATATCCTATAGACTCTCACACTTTCCCATTTTTCTCCAAAAGCAAAAAATTTTGCTTTTTTCAAAATTATGGTTTTGACCCAAAACCACAGTTTGTACAAATTGGGTTTGGGTGACTTATCACCCAAACCATGGTTTGGGTCTCCAAATCATGGTTTGGGGTGTCACCCAAACGGTGCCTTAATTGCACACGAGAACAGCGAGGGGAAAAAAAAATCTTTTTATTTATTTTTGAGCCCTGCGACTCTATCCCCTCCAGTTTATAATCCTCTTTTGCACGTTCAAAAGGATCCGCTTCTAATTTTGTCAAAACTAATATTAAGTTCTATGAGTGGCTGCTCTATCTCTTTCTGATCTAACTTCTGAAAAAGAGATTACAATCACTAACATCTATGTAATAAGTAGTCCAGAAAGATTTCTTAGAAATTTTATCATTCCCTTGTCTTTGGACCGGCAAAACTTGAATGATGGGATTTATATGTTGGAACTATCTATATAGGCCTAACTATTTTACTTTTCCTTGAATTCCCCGAGTTGAGAATATTGAATATGCATATCATAAGCCTTATGATGTCTACCCAAAAAGAAGTGTCAATTAAAAGTTTTATCCCTAAAATAGGGGACTCACTTACAGATCATATCCATGAATTATTACATGTCACGATGCAATCCTAAATTAAATATGAGTGACACGTAAAAAGTGAAAAACAAGACCCCTTGAGAATATTTGAGATATTATGAATTGGTTTTTAAGGTAAGACTTGGGGGAAAAAATCGGTGAATTGATGGGATCAGATTTTGTTTATTCTCTCTATTTAGGATGAGATTTTTTTAGGAAGAATTACAATCAAGTCTCATAAAAGAAAAATAATCACTAAAAAATTTTAATAAAAACCTGCACAGCGTGTAATGATAAGTCTTACAATAAAAAATAACAAACTTTGAAACTTGTAATTTTTTCCTTTACATGAGATTTTGATTGTAATTCTCCCATTTTTTATGTGCGGTACATGTAGAATCTAGTCAGTCCACCCTAATTACGGAATAAGGGAAAGTTCGTTAGGCTTGGGAATGCGGATTCCGCCAATTCGGTATGTAGGCATCTATGCCTATTCAAAGGGTAAAACATAAGACAAAAACTCCCCCCTGGTATTTCCTATTTTTCTTTCACACTTTTAGTAATTAGTCCCTGGACAGAATTTGCTTGAATCCGTTAAAGTTTTCATCTTCACGCGGTTTTAAAAAAGTTTGAATGTTATCCCTTTTAATTTAATATACATTTTTCAAAACATTAAACATAAGATTTTGGCAGCCTAAAACTAACACAGACTATCTACCAATTGACCACCTGTTTTGTTATGCAGAGGTTTTTTTTTTACCAGCATATTCTGCAGAGGATTAGTTAGTGAAATTGAACGCGAAATATCTCATATTGTACATGGTACATACAATGTTGACGATATTTCTGCATCCAGCTTCGCCTATCTCACCTGGAAAGCCCCCCTAGCTGCTGACAAAACTAGGTTGGCAAGTACTATTAAAGGGTTTAACATTTTGTGTACAGACATATAGATTCTCAACCTTGCCTTCCCCAATGTCCAAACAAATGCTCAAAAGATCAGCATTTGAACAGTGATATTCTGCATATGGGGATTCTAACTTGCTCGAGTAAGAAACCCCACATATCAGTGACGAAAAATGGCGCAAGAAGAACCATCGGATCAAATAGGGCTCTGTCCACTCGCAGAAAACGATCGTTCCTTCAATTGAATCTGCATCTTCATTTTAGAGATCGCAGAGAGGAGCTCAAGCTACTACCCTCCCTGTTCATACAGATTCTCCCTTGCGGGAAGCGACCAGGACAGAGTCAGTGGGTTCCCAGTAAATAAACTTGCAGGAAGCTAGACATCGAGGCTACACAACATCGCTCCGATTTTGTTAATAACCAACAAAAAACTGTGATAAAAACCACATTGACAGCACTGCTATGAATTCCATGAACTAAAAGTTTCATCCTTTTTCTGCGGGAATAAAAAGTCATGACACGATTTTAGAAGATTATGAAAAAGAAGAACGAAACTGCTGATAATCTGCAGCCAAAATTCAGCAAAACGAAAGACTCAAGATCAGTCCACGATTTGAGACGGGGAAGAGTTTAAACGATCTTCAACTGATATTTCGGTCGTCTCATCAGGCTCATCCACAGCGTTGGCTACCAATGCCCTCTCAATTTCCAGACCTGTTCCATTCACAAGCATGTCTTTTTCTAAGTGCAAACAGTAGCTCTCGAAAGCCCGAGAGCTTACCATCACTCCAAAATCCAATAGAAACAGCAACTCTATTTCGAGCTTGTTTAATTCAGCGTTGCTCACTCCTCCCACTCGAGCGAAAAAGGCATTATTATAATGTCTGCAGCACAGAGGGACCAAAGGATAAAGCAAAACATCAGCTAATCAGAGTAAGACAGCGTGAAATTTACTCTTGAATTGAAGAAGGAAATTTAAAGAAAGTGACTCACACATCATCCAGCATCTTGGAAGCAATCATGACGCTGGTAACTATCAACCTGTGTACGTTCAAGGATACCACAAGCGAGTCAGGATGCCTATGTATGAGCCTGTCTATATACACATAACCAACCACGAAGCAAGACGGGCTACAACTAGTGTACTTGTAAATCCTCTCCAAATACTTGGGTATGCTTATGCTCGGTGCTCTTACGCCATGAAAGGCTTTCAAGCTCTTTCCGGGTCTCACAGAGCCACAGCACAGCCCGTCGCCGTCCACGAGCTTGTCATTTCGTGCCACTAGCTTCTCTATCATCGAAGACAGAACACAGAGCACTCTAGGCAAGCTCAGCTCGCTCTGGCTCGTCTCCGGCTGCAGCTGCCGGCCGGTATGGTTGCTGTACTCGCCGGCTGCTAACATTTAGGCCAGGGAGCTACAGTTGAGGATGTTCATTGTCGGAGTTTGAACAGAGTTTCATTTTCATGTCTGCTCGTTATCTGGTTTTGGGGAAACCCCTCAGTGGATGGTTGACACGTTCACATATGCTCTGTCACTGGAGAAATTTAGTATCTTTGATATTGGGAGAATCTGATGATGGGATGATAGGGTGTGGAAGAGAACCAGCGATGGATAGATCTAGCTATGCCACGAAAATTCACCAACAACAAGGGTCCCACATTCATGTCGTATTACTGTGTTAGCATTAGGAGGAAGACGAGAAGTACCCAAGAATGTACAGTCTGGCAACGTCGTATTGGAAGAGTGTCCAGGCCCCTACTGCTTAACCGCAAAAGTTGCTGACACGGCCAACTCAAATCAAATGTTTTATCAGTTCAATTTGTTAAGGTCAAAGGTTTTTAGAAAACGCGGCGGACTTTCTGTTAGGTTTTGGGCTTTTTGCTATTAACAAATGCCATAATCTGTTTTTGTTGAAGGCTCGGCCCTAAACTAGTAAACTTGGGGAAGAGAGAATTGATCAAGGAACGTGTGCGTCGTATTTTCCTTGGCAAAAACAAAATACACCTCCGGTTCTTAATATAGGACCCAATTTTTAAGTTGGTTTTGATCCTAAATATAAGAACCATTTCTCATATTTATCAATTTTCTCTAAATTACCCCTATGGATACTCCCTCAACCATAATCAAGTAGAAGAGGGTGAGAGGTATTAAGAAATATGATTATGGTGTTTTAGGAAAAATGTGTCACTTTTCTTATAATTAACTAACTTACTTAACTTCCTTAATCTAATCAAATTAGTTAAATGGGTCTTATATTAAAGACCGGAGGAGTATAAAGGAACCATAATTATCCTTTTAACGTGTGTATATATCAGCTGGAATTCAATATAACTTCCGAATTTTGAATGATTTGATTAAAAATATAAATGTTACTACTATTAATTTAATTTTTTATAATAAATAACACTTAAATAATAAATGATATGGCATCACTAGTTTGTTAAAACCTATTATCTATGATTAAAAAAAGAAACCGTGATCTAATAAACCCCACATGTCCTCCTTCCCAAAGAAGCTTTAAAATTATTACACATATCTCGCCCATGTTAACGCGACTACCATTCTTTTTAAGAGCCTAAAATATTTTATAGTACATTTAATATCTCAAAATATTTTTAGATTTATCCAGCATTTTAAAGTATTTTTTTCTTTAGTATTAGATACATTAAAAAATATTTTTGGATGTTAAGTATATTGAAAAAATTACTTTAAGATGTTGAATGCATTAAAAATATTTAAAATGTTCGGCATACTTAAAAAAAATGTTTTAAAATACTAAATATACTATTAAATATTTTAGAGTGTCCCTTAACGGAACAAAATGATATTATACCGCGTCCGAGAAAGCAGGCGCTGACCGTACCGATTTCCCCCAGGAGCTCCACCAAGTCAGCTCAGATCCTCTCTTCAAACCCCAGATTTCGCGGCATGACAAAAATTACGGAAGCATAAAAAACACTTCCATAAATAGCTTCCATTGCGATATCATATTATTCTTACTTTCCTCACTAAACTCATCATCCTTCGCTGGCCTCCTCATCGTTCGCAGCCCAGAAAAACAACTCCAAAACTTTCTAGATGTCGATCGGCTCACATTCTTTAAGCCATTTCTGGGCGGGATTCTCAGCAACATGCTTTTAAAGCTCGTTCTGTTTATTATGATGCTCACTTCAAGTGCAATTATATGCTTATAAGACAGCTGATCTTATAACTTTACTTGCAAAAGAAAGTGTGTTATTTAGTGTTGGGTGACATCTCTTAGCTCTTTGTTGCGTGAATATTAAAATGTTCGAGGGTGAATAAACAGCATAAGCATAACCTCAAACTGTGTTGAAAAAAAGTAACTGAGTAAGATGAATGAGAATTATTAAGGAGTGAGGGCATAGAGGATTATGAATCCTATATGCGAGTTATGTGTAGTAGTAAGAGCTGTGGTGTATTGCAAGTGTGATTCTGCGCGTCTCTGCTTGAATTGTGATGCTTATGTACACTCCGCCAACGCTTTGGCACGCAGGCATCCTCGTTCTCTGGTATGTGACAAATGCCATTCCCAACCAGCGATTGTCCACTGCATGGATGATAAAATCTCTCTGTGTCAGGGTTGTGATTGTAATCGAAATGTCTGCCTGGGATTGGGACACAGGCGTCTGATGTTGCTTAGTTACTCAGGTTGTCCCTCTTTTGCTGAGATGTCTAGGATCTGGCCTTTTGCTTTTGACTCTGCCTCAGGTGGTTCAGCCCATAGCTGGGGATCGTTTAATTCTTTGCCTAAGAACGGAAGCCAGTGTTTGGCGCAGCTAGATGACAATGATGCATCTTTCGGTGGCAGGTTGAGTGAACTTGAATCATGTGCAAAGTTTGAACCTAAGATGGCTCAATCTTCCATTCAACCAAATCCAAATCTCATGCCCTACTGCAGAGATCAACCAGTTTTATTTCCTCAAGGATCTAACCTCCTGCCAAAGGTGTTCATTTGTTTTACTTCTGTACTGTTGTTCTGGTTACTAAGAATAGGCGTATTATAGTTTCAAGGATACCACCTAGTCTAAAGTTGAATGATGCGTAGTGTGTTCCATTATTTCACAGGATGACAAGTACTAAAATAATCAAAAGATTATTTATAATTTTCACACCTAAAAGTATGATTAATGCTTGGCTGTTAAGTTTGATCAATCCTATTATTCCTGCGTTATCCTTCTGAATTAACCAAAGCTGATCTAAGACTTTCACAGATGCAGGGATGTCACGATACCAAGGATATTGGAATTTCTGAGGCTGATGACATCTGTGAAAGTCTTAACATGGATAGTGTTCAATTAAACTTTGACAGTGCTAATGAAATATTTGATTGCTCTCAAGATGCTGCTGGTTACCAGCTTGAGGATGGAGGATTGGACTCTCTATTAATGGAGAAAAACGTATCAGTCACAGAATCTAATGGCCTTATTCAGAATTCCATGGAGGTTGTATAGCTTCTTTTATCATTCTCTAACAGGGGAATTGAGGAAAACGGCTAGTTTTCTTCTCCTTTCCTTTTATTCTCCCCTCCAAAAACTACGTAATTTACCAGTAGTGACGCACGAAACTAATCGTCGCCAATCTGATTGTTTTAGGCATCATCATCAGTCCAGCAATGTTGTGTGGGTTTTCAATCATCATCCAGGGAAGGTGGATCAGGTTCTACGATCCAGAGGATGAACAACAATGCTAACTGTGCACTCATGGATACTAGCTGCAACAGAAAAATGAATCTGGGATTTCCTCAGGGTCAAGTTCATTCAAGCATACCACTTTCATTACCCACCATCAATTGTGATAGTGACACTACCACTACGGATTTTCAGGATTGTGCCACTTCTGAATTCCAAGATTGCGGCTTATCACCAGCACTCTTGACCGTTGATACACCATGGGAATCAAAATTGGGGTCTGCATGCCCACAAGCAAGGGAGAGAGCTAAATTGAGATACAATGAGAAAAAGAAGACTCGAACGTAAGTGCCTTTAGTTCTCCATCAAGTGCGTGTCTGTGTTGTACGGTATATATAAATGTTTCTTAGACCTTAAAAATAATTGGCTCTTTCACATTGTATGCTCCACATCTTGGTTGTGTACACGAGGACAAGTAAATTTCTCAAACGCCTAAAAAATGTATCGTGTTTCACTCTGGTCCATCACTTGGAAGTTCATCTTCTCAGGCTTCAGCCGCTCATCATCTTGCATTGTTCTTTGGCTGGTTTGCTTGTTTCTGATATGCAGGTTTAGTAAACAAATAAGGTACGCGTCTCGCAAAGCAAGAGCTGATACTAGAAAACGTGTAAAAGGTAGATTTGTGAGAGCAGAAGAAGAATATGATGATGATCCTCTTGAGACAGGGAACTATTAAGAATAATACTTCCTCTCCCTGGCAAGATACGGTTCTGGCTGATAAGGTGGCCACTGGGCATGTTCCTTTGGCCAACACCAGTGGACATTTTTTGCACTTTGTTTCGTTCGCAGTTTTTGTATCGCGGGAAGATTTGTTTATGTTAATGAGTTATGAAATTTTGTAATATTTTGATTCAGCTAGATTAGGAATTCTTGGCTCCTGGGAGATCGATGCGTAACCCATGGAGCTTTTTAACATGTGACAGGTCAATCAGAGCATTAGCTTAGAAGAAAACAAACATGCAAAGAACTGAAGGTGTTACATTTGAACCATTGAAGAAGTAACTGCTCTTTCTTTTTCCCCGTTTGACGCAAAGACATAATTGCATTATTTGTGGGAACATATATAGACTGCGCGAGTTTCGACACATTCTAATTGCATCGCAATCAGTTTCAATTCAGAAAACAGATGGTGAGAGAAATGCCTTCACGCGTCTGTGTGTGTGTTGAAGCAGGATGGAGAACAAAGTAAATGGGGTAAAAATTTGTGAGTATTAAGAATAATCAAAATTATAATTTTAAATATTTATTAAATTAACATATATTGAGAATTAAAAATAAAAACCTAACAACAAAAGATAAAAAATTATAGTAATATTGAAAAATGTATTAATCAATAAAGAAATACTAATATGTTATAATTGCTACCACACGTTAATTATTGGGTTTCAGTTTTTAATTAATTAACTTCTATTTTGAATTTGTTTTATGATTAAATTATTTGCAATTTACCTCCCAATATAAATTGGTACACATGTTAGACCTAAAAAAAAGACTATTAGAGTATGAAGTTAGGGATGGTAATATATGACAACTCACGAGTTGCGAGTTGGGTGTTGGCCAATAATGGGTTAGACCCATATAGGTTGAGTTAGGAAGTGTTGTTTGAAGGCCGAAGTCAACCCTAACCCGTTAAGGTGGGTTGGTGGATTGACTCGCCAACAATTATTTTACTTTTTTTTAAAAAAATAGCTTTTAATATTTTTCTTATTTAATATCTAAAAAAATATAATGAGATTTTTATTTTTCTTTTTAAAATATTTAATTGAAAGCACCAAATAAATTTTATAGGTATTTTTTAAATTTTTTTAGATAGGATATAATATATAATAATATAAGTATAATAATTTTAAAAAAATAAAAAATAAATGCGGGTCAACTCGTAGGTTAGTGGGCTAACCTGTGGCGGGCTGCAGACCTGACGATGTGGGTTAAAAAAATTTGTTTACTAACAGATTTGGCTTTTAGCCAACTCTAACTCACTATTTTTGGCGGATTGGCGGGTTAAACCCATAAATTCAACTTATATTATCAGTTTTATATAAAGCATTGAGTTTAAATTTGTGTCGCGAATGACAATGCTACTACACCATGAAATCTTGAATGCCACTTGATTTGTGTTAATGTCAATGGTCCACTTCCTTTAATCTTAATTATAGGACAAAATTAACTACTTCATGATTATTAAGAAATGGTAGATGGCAATGACATTCTCAAAACATATAGAAATATACCATTCTAGTCCTATTTATAGGTAGAAAGAAGTTTTTTTTGTTTTATTTATAGAGTATCGAGAGAAATTTTTTTATATAGATGTACAATTTTATCCCTTATTTATTATTATGTTGACTTTATTTACATAGAAATAAAGTTAGAAAGTTGTTGAATTTTAAATGAAAGTTAATAAAGTTTAAGATTTTTCTTAATTTGTATGAAACATATAAGAAATGACTTATAAATAGGACAATAGGATAAATAATTTTACAATGTTGTCCATTACTAAGATCAAGGTTGATAATGGAATATCCTATTAGAATTTAAAGCATATCCATGAAAAATGACAAGAACACAGTTAACGAATGAGGGGAATGATCCAATATATATATATGTGTGTGTGTGTGTGTGTATAAATTCTGCATTTTTGTCTTATACTTTAGAGCAAGCTACTTTGCCCTATAACTAAGATCAGTTGGAATATTGATTTGATTTTTTTAACATTGCAACTTTCCATATGTGATCTGCGCAATTAATACTATTCCAGAAGAGAACTTTCCTTGTATGGATCCATTTTCTCCTTCTTTCTTTCTTGTGCATGGTTTTTGTGCTATTATAAACTGAATTCCGTGTATTAATGTATTTGAATTGAAGACAAGGAAATATAATTATGTGCATGGATCCATTTCTCTTTCCTTCTTTCTTCTGCTGTCCTTTATTGAAGGGGGTACCTTCCCTTTTTGGCTTTTACACACACATAATTACTTTCCAAATACATCCTGATCAATTTAGTTTTTATGATTTACAGGAAAATCCATACAGTAGATTTTCATTCTCCCTTTTCCTCCAAATAAACGCATGGTAGTAATTGACCCTTGACTTTTCAAGTAGCTGAATTTCTTGCCCTTTCTCCGTAGTGCGCACTGACTTTGACCAGATATGAGATATCACTCACTGTCAACGTGAAAGTTTGCATTTCCCGGAAGCGTTTTTGCTTAATTATACAGTTCTAATTCTATGGCTCTCTTACAAATAGCACCGTCTTGTTGATACTATAAACTATAAGGACTAAACCTCCGCGCAGGCCCATCTCCTTCAATTGCCTTGTTAATATGGGGGTCTTTCCCGGTTCTACCAAACCCAAATCTCTGATCAGCTTCATAACAGTCTCCTTTTCATTCTGTGCTGTTTTTCTCCTCCTATCGGTACTACATCTGCGCACTAATGATCTAGTCGATGAGCATCGTTCATTAGAATATGTGTCTGCACCGACCACTCTCGATCATGTCGTTTTTGGTCTTGCTGCAACGGCTCGTTCTTGGCCTGAACGGAAGGACAATGTCAAGCTATGGTGGAAACCTCGTTATACGAGAGGATGTGTGTTCGTTGACGGCCTTCCTCCTCTTGAACCCCGTCCCAACAAGGATACTTCTCTCCCTCCTCTCTGCGTCTCCCAAGACACTTCGCGTTTTCGCTACACTTACCGGGGTGGTCTCCGGTCGGCAATTCGAGTGGCACGCGCTGTTGCAGAGACCGTGGCTCTGAATCATTCTAATGTGAGGTGGTATGTGTTTGGGGACGATGACACCATTTTCCTTCCGGAGAATCTCGTTAAAACACTGTCAAAGTATGATCATCGGCTTTGGTACTATCTCGGCACCCAGTCTGAGATTTATGAACAGAATCGTTTGTATAGTTTTGGAATGGGTTTTGGTGGAGGAGGCTTCGCTATCAGTTCATCTCTGGCGAAAGTTTTAGCCAAGGTTTTTGATTCTTGTATCGAAAGATATCCTCATCTGTATGGAAGTGATGGGAGGGTCTTCTCTTGCATAACAGAGCTCGGTATAGGCTTAACGAAGGAGCCCGGATTTCATCAGGTACGAATGCAATTATCTATTTCACTTGTGATTTTATTACAAAACCCAACTGAGCAACTTTTAGCCTTCCCCACAAACTCATCTTTTGAATGAAACCGAGTCAGGTTGATTTGCGGGGAAATCTCTTTGGTCTATTGGCTGCACATCCTGTGACTCCCTTGTTATCCCTACATCACTTGGATCACACAGATCCAATCTTTCCCGACATGACGAGAAAACAAGCTCTGCAACATTTATTTAAAGCTGTGGATGTTGATTCCCAGAGAATTTTACAGCACACAGTTTGTTATGACAGATGGTTTTCGTGGACAATCTCAGTATCATGGGGCTATGCTGTTCAGGTTTTCCCGAACCACGTGTTTCTTCCAGATGCTCTGAACGTTCAAACAACGTTCAAACAGTGGAATAGAAGAAACTTTTGGTCAGGAGTATATACTTTCAACACCAGGGAACTTCACCCAGATCCATGTAGAAGACCCACCATTTTCTACTTTGACAGTGTGGCTTCTGGTAAGAATGGCAGAATCATTACCCATTATACGAAAAGCTTTCAAAACTGCTCATACGACGCAGCGTCGCCCAGGAAACTGGAAAAGATCACGGTTTTGACGAATAAACTCGACCTTGACATCAAACAGGTATTCTTTCTATCACACAGTACCCCTGTTTCAGGGACGGTGTTATAATTTAGTTATTTGTCTTTGGTATTCATCAGTTGCAGGCTCCGAGAAGGCACTGTTGTGATGTATTGCGCTCTAGCGCTCGTGATTCAATGGAGATCGCAATCAGAGAATGCAAAGACGAAGAACTGATCTACATGCACTGAAAGAATTATATCATAAAACCACCTTTTGGGGTGCTCGGAGTTAAAGGACATCATTGCGGAACAGAACTAGGGAGGATGAGAAGCGTCAAGGCTCAAGGGATGGTTGAAAGAGCCTCGTCAATCTAAAAAGTTCCAATTTTTACAGATACAAGTAGAGTTGAAGTTAAAACTTGTTAATAAAGAAACTAAAGATGACGAACAAGAAACCATGTGAAAAAATGCTTTATTTCTACTTAAACGTTTGTTTATTTTTGGAGCATTCGTATAGATTCAGCAATGTAGCTGTTAATTAAGCCAGCGGGATCTCGGTATTCCCATTCTCATTATACGTGGACAGGTACTACAAGGATCTTTGTGATTTTTCCGTGTAAGAAATTGACCAGCGCAATTTTATAAATTAAATTGGCACTTCAGTAGAAATTGTCCCTTTGAGGTTCGTTTAAATAACATTTCTCATTCCTCTTTTAGATAAAATTCAAGGTTGCAACCATAATCTAGCTCCCTTTGCGTTTGGGTGCATGAGTGATGAAAACAAATTAAAATATAGGCCACAAGCAGGGCCAATCCGATGTTCATGGGCTCTTAATTGAATATACAATAAAAAACCAATAAAACTTTTTTTTCATACAAAAAAAATCAACAATAGTTTATATGACTTGCGTTGCCACTCATTAAGGTCAACAAGGCTGACCGATTAAAACCGGAATTCAAACTACACCGATATTATTCTAGGATATAAGTTGCGTTCCCAGTGCATGATTTGATTGAGATTCAGGGAGTAGGTACAATTGCCCATTGCCAATCCTTAGGTTCATCACAAGATTCCAAAATTTTAGTTTTTCTGATATCAGATTATTGACTTTGTTGACTTCATTTTAGGAGTTGGCACATGACGTGACAACTTTCATTCTTATTGATTGATAACAAAATTATTCACTTAATTTATTTTATTGACTTTAAAGCATTGTATTCTCATTATATGGGTAATATAGCAATTCATTGTTTTTTTTTAATTTGAGTATCAGACATCCCTTATTGGAAACAAATCATATTGGAATTACTATCATAGACTCCTTTTGGTCTTTATTATAAATTTCAAATAACTAATTCATAGATAATAAGTAATTAGTTAAAAATAATAAATAAGTTAGAAATAGGCTTTTGTTTTCAAATATGTCCTTATAATAAATGGAAGAACAGGATGAAAGAAAATATATGAAAAAATGTAATGAGAGAGAAACAATTAAGGGCAATATTGAGAAGAAAAAATTAAGTGTTAAGACAAATCAAAATTGAAATTTATAAAATGGATCACACCCTTTCCCAAATTTGAAACTCATAAATAAGACCAGAGGGAGTACCAAACATAAGCACATCTTTTAAAAGGAGTTTAAATGTTAGTTTATGAAGTTATAAGGGTTTAAGTTATTTTTACTAGACCCAATCGCTTATACAACTTTATTATGTTGATGAGTTCAACTGTCCCATACATGAAAAGATCTTCGTAATGTTTGCACTTTGCACACATAAAAAATGAGCAAAATCAGAGATCATGATCAAAGAATCATAACCAATGACAGTTTTACGAGGATGTGGAATCAATTAACCAAATCGGGCAACCAAAGGGAAGTGGTGTCTACCATTCCAGCAGATCCAGCTGAAAAGGAATTTAAACTTGAAAATCTTTTGCAAAAAGAACTGACAAGAGATAGAGTATTAGAAGTGTTTGGAAGGGATGGGACTAAACCAAGCCCATTAATAAATCATAATCACTAATAATAGAAATCAAATTTTACGTGAAAATACCCTACCATAATAGTGATTGCAATTGGGCTAATTAGAAAGTGCGATTGGGCCTAATTTCCTTCACCAACCGACGCGTTTGGTGAATAACTTGAGGATAATACTACCTGCGGTGCTTAATATAAAAATTAGCTGACTAATTTAAATAGATTAAAATTTTTTATTAAATTAGTTATTTATAATAAATAGGTATTATTTTTTTTAAAATACTTTTACTAATCATATATATTAGCTAAAAGTCTAGAACTACTATTTGATGGAACTTTTAACATGTGTAACTATTATAATAACTAATTAAAAAATAAATATGAGAGACAAAATAGATTGAGGTTTCATATTTAAGACCAAAATGAAAATCAAATTAGTTTTGTATTAAATACCGGAGGTAGTAATTTATAATTAAGAGTCGCATTTTGTGACTAATCATAAGCATTCTAGAACTAACATTTAGTGCAAGTAATCAACTCAGAATATTTTATGGGCAGAGTATTATGCATGCTCACCTAAAAATTACGGCGCACATATATAATATTCAAAAGAAATTTTTTTTGGGGAAAAAATTATCTTTTCTTGCAGCTTCTTCTAATCTCATGCATAAAACATCTTTTCTTACGGCTTCTTCTAATCTCATGCATTATTGTAAGATCACTATCCTCCAAATCCTAGAGAAAGAGTAACGTCATTCACAATTTATGCCTGATTCTAGTATTTGTTATAAATTTGTAGTTATTATTGATATTAATATTATGAATGATAACGTTTTTATACACATGCTGATGATATTAACAACATTACGGTATTGTTGGCAAAAATAAATAATATTGCGGTATTACCTGTCTCCATTTTAACAGGATAGAGTATAAACCGACAAATTCCTCCGCACGAGGGTGTGCTCTGCACCATGTAAAAATCATCACCAGTAGTAGTTTTATTCAACTAATACTTTTTTTTCCTGTTATTAACTATAATATTTTTGAACAAGTAACCATCATACCAGGTCTAAACGGTAAGCACCTAAAAGAATAAATAAAATAATAATAAATAATAATTTATTTATTCTGCAGCGCATGATTGACCTTGCTAGGATTGACGAAGCGCTATTGTAACCGACGAAGCAATAGATATACGAAGCACGCAGCTCCATTTTGACATTGTCTGGTGAAAAATGGATCTTAATTAGACTGGTCAGAGACAGGATTATTTTCAATCCGCTGGAAAATCGAAGATCGTGCCTATAAATACTCAGAGGCTCTACGAACCATAATCATCACGGAAACCCACAACCAAACGGATTCACCAATTCCTTCCAAAATGTCTTCCTCAAAGCTCTCCTCCATTGTTATCCTTCTTACAGCCTTTGCTCTCCTCCAAACTTGTTTTGGAGATGATGGCCCTCTCTTTCATTTCTGCTCAAACTCTGGAAACTTCACTGCCCATAGCCCTTATGAATTTAACTTGAAACGCCTCATAAGCCTTCTCAACTACAAAACCCCTCCGACTGGCTTTGGTCTGGGTTCTGTTGGCACAGTCCAGAGCCAAACAGCTTATGGCCTCGCTCTTTGTCGTGGTGATGTCTCTGCCTCAGACTGCAAAACTTGTGTTTCTGAGGCAAGCAGTGAAATCCGAAAACTCTGTCCTCACAACAAAGGAGCCATTATATGGTACGACAACTGCATGTACAAGTATTTGGACACAGACTTCTTTCACCAAATTGACGAAACAAACAAGTTCTACATGTGGAACTTGAAAAACGTCAGCGATCCTACCACTTTCAATTACAAGACAAAGGAATTGCTGAGCCAGCTTGCCAAGGAGGCTTCTGTAAACCCTAAGATGTTTGCAACCGGAGAGAAAAAGCTTGGAGAATCGGAGACACTTTACGGGTTGACACAGTGCACCAGAGACCTTTCTAGCATTGACTGCAAGAAGTGTCTTGATGAAGCGATCAGTGAACTTCCAAATTGTTGTGATGGAAAAGAAGGAGGCCGAGTTGTTGGGGGAAGTTGTAACTTGCGATACGAGATTTACCCCTTTGTCAAACAGTAGACCAGCTTGCGAATAGCTAGCCTACTGCTGGGAAATAAAGATCACCTTCCCATACTAAAATAAGGGAATGAAACAACAATAATAAACAATTGTGCTGATGATGTACAAGTTGCGAACTACAACTATTTTTAGCACCTGCTTATGTAATGGGACGTGTTCGTTTGTTCATCGATAATGTTGTTTTGTTCGTGAAATTTCCAATTTACGATTGATTTGGATCACTGGTATACATGTAAACTTCGTAAACAAGATCATATTAGAGAGAGTTAGAGCTATATCCAACGCACGTAATTCTCAAGTGCTTCAACGTTAATTATATTACATCCTAACTAGCCCGTTCACGCACATTGTATTAGATGTTGTATGTGTTTTCTGTAACACACACGTGCAGTCGCGCAGTTGAAATCGTTTTACAGTTTTGATTCGCAAACCTCGGGCTAGCATTTGGTTACTGACTTCCTGCAATTATTGATTAGTATGCGTCTCTTGGCGTGGCTCATGCCATGTAGCCAGCACATACGGTCAGCTAAGCATTGAAGTATTTTTAGACCGAACAACAAAACTATAAATATATATATATCATCACATCATCGATCAAATATTCAAATATATCAATAAAAAGAAACAAATGAAAAACTCTATTCTTCTTCTTAATTTCATCACAACATCTAGCTAGCCGTATAATCCAACGGGCAAGTTAAACTCGTCCGCGACCATTAATTCGGAATTGGATGCTTTTAAGGTAGCTAGAACTGAACATGGTTGGCAAAAATAAAGAAAAAGGAAGAAAATGGAGCTGAACATGAATTTTTGTCCTGAGATTTCTCTTCTATTTCTAGAAGCTCTTTGCAGCCAGCCATAGTTTTGTAATTCCCATCCAATATGTATATCCCATCACAGAAGGCGTACGCACGAGCGATGAGAATAAAGAATTTGGATTATTTTAAGGTCGTAGATATGTCATTGTCAATTAGTCAACAAATCTGCAGCTGGCAATGACCAGCAATAATGTCCATAGGGAATAACCATGGCGTGATCAACTTCTTGCATTAGTCGGCCGAGTGCATATATGAATAACTTGAGGAAGATATTTACTAAACTGGTTCCTATTGGGTGACGCTATGTATCGCGAGTTAGCATATCCAAATATTAATTCCACTGAGCAATGTAGATTGTGTTGCTGTCTAAGTTATGATTTTCTTTATATACTTATTCATTATTATTTTCAAATCCTTCAAAGATTATGACATAATATTAGAAAGTATCTCAAAAACTACGCGAGGATATTGAAATTGATGAATACTTACAAGTTCCAATTACATAAGTTAAATCATTAAATTACTAATATTATTCTATATATTTAATGATTATGGTCTTGTGTATTTTAACTCGGCCAGCCATGCAGTTCTAATTCAAACAGCAGAAAAAATGGAATGGGTTTGCATGCGTAGATAAGTATGGGAGCAAATGTTAGGCTGCGCCGTAGATTGTCGGGAATAATCCACTATAGCTAGTTTTTATATTTTGTTGATCATTATTTCTTGTTTAATCGTTTCATTATATTGGATCATATATATATATATATATATATAGTTTCGTTGTTGATTATTATTTCTCTTAAACAAACCATTACTTAATCGAAGAACTCTTACATATATAACTGGTACACATTCTAACGGCGAGAAGCAGCGCCCGCTTTTGACAACTCAGTACTGGTCGCCGGTCCGTCACTGGTGATTGAAATGGTCAAAACAAAATGCCGACCTTTTGGACTTCCCCTCTAAAACAGGGCGAGATTTTTACCATGAAGAAGATGCTTCTGTGTCTCTTTTTTTTTCCCCCCTCCTTCCAAGTGTCTCTGGTCTCTATTTCTACCCACTTGTTAATAAGTAATAGAACTTTATCCAAAGAAAAAGTTCAACGCCAATGATCTTGGCGATATATATTTAGCAAACGATAAATATATACAGTAAAGAAGGAAGGCTGACTGCTCAGTATGTTGACTTCTTTGTAATTTATGACATGTTCAGTCGCTGATGAATTCATTTTGAAACTCCCAAGTTATATGCCACAGGGAGATTAAAACAGGACGAATCATGCATAAACCTTACCCGTCAATTTGGGCCAGCGTACAATGGAGGAGGGGAAAGGGGAGGGGGGAGAATAGAGGACAAGAAGGAACCAAGAGAGGTGAGAGAGAACTCAGATAAACATTCTTTATTCAATCCATTAAAAGGCCTATAGCGAAAATAATTTTACCCATGTAAAATACGGAATTCCGTTAAATCTATTTCAAGCATATATAGCAAAGACCGAGACCTTCTATACATCCAAATATGTCTGCTACTCTAGCAGTGATCTTATTTATGTACAACTATATATAGGAGAGACCATAAACACAGACCTCATATATATATATATGTAAATATAATTCTATAACTATAGTAGCTAGGGACCTTATATACAGACCGTATATGCAATGATCTAATCTAAAAGCATATCACTGATTGACAAGAAAATCATCGCCCTCATCAGAATATATCAGGACCCTGCATCTTCCAAGTACCATCAGGTTGTTGTACCAATCCTTTGTTTTCGTCTATTCTCCATGACTTGGGAATGTGATACTCATGCTTCAAAGCATCCAAGCTCTTGTTAACGAGTGCAATATCCCTTTTAACTTCTAATTTGAATCCTCCCTTCCTCCCTTGTGTTCCTGCTATTCCATGTAAGTAAAGCTCCAAATTATGCCACATCTTGAAGTTGACTCCCCCAACATGCTTTATGAAGTTGGATTTCATAATATCGATTTCTAACTCTTCTCCCACTTCTGCATAATGCAAGAAAGGTAGCCTGGGGACAATGTCTTCTTTATTCCGAACACGTAGTGTTCGCAGATCCTTTTGAGCAGTGAAAAACTTAGAGAATTTTGAATCTCCAACTCGAGGACTGGCGAACACAAATGCTGTGACAAGACAAGCCTTTTGAGATCCATCTCCTTGAATATTAAAGCCGTTAGCAACTATGTCCAATGCATTTAGTGTTGCAAGTGCTGCCCCTAAACTATGACCAGTTATTGTTATGCTAATCTGTTCATCCTTAAATTTATTCACAAGTCTTCTGACCTCAGTTAAGACCTGCACATTGATTAAAAACCCATCATTCTAAATAAATTTAGGCTCTAATAAAACTGTAGCATCTGAAGTTATAAAAGGAATAGTCATTTGTTAATAGGTTACCTCGGTTCTGACGCTATTTCTGTTTAAGGCCGATGAATTCTTTGCTGTATAAATGGAATAAAATCCTCGATGTACTTTACAATTTACTTCATGTCCAAAAATATATGGAGCGTCACTTAGAAAAAACTGAAAATCCTTAATCCATTCCTTGATCTGATCAGTTCCTCTCCAAGCAATTACAATGTCCCTCCTCCCTGACACGGCTTTGCCTTCGTCCGTGGCCACAGCAACATATCCTATCCAACTTGATTCTTCAACATGATCACCAAATATAGGAAAACCAGTTTCTAAGGTTGCGTATAGGAACTTTGTTACCTCATACTTGAAAGGATTCCCGTTTTCCAAACCCACCCTGGAAAAGAAGTCTGTTTTCCCATAACGGCTCCTTCCTGCATATTTAGATGTTTTATCAGGGATAAAAGCATCATAAGTAGCCTGAGCCATTTCTCCATAGTGTATTATGTACTTGCGAAGATCAATATCAAGTGGGTCAAGCAAATCCTTCCAGTGATGTTGGCCACTAAGTTCTCTCCAGTTAGTGGCAATGCTACTTCCAGGCCTGACCATCTTTTCTTCTTCTTCAAGTTGATCAACCACCTTCTGAGGATGCAAGGTTTTGCTGGCAATAGTGCAGCCCATCTTCCTCCTCCTCCTCCTACTCTTCACGTCTTCAAGTGAACGGGTTTATGATACTGAAATGAGTTCGGCTTCTGATGAAAAAGCTTGGTTTCTGCGTGCTTATATTATGTGGTGATGACCACGTCATTCCGCGTACTGTCTTTCCACTCATTGAAACGTTAGTTTGGAAAGTATTTTTGTTAAGTGTTATTTATTGTGAATGAAATTTTCTGATTTGCGTATTCTTTCCTATTTTGCTTCGTCTGACAAACGGCTTTATCCAAATCTTTTGACCCTCCGGTGATTCGGTTAAACTGTTTCCTATTTTGTATATTTGCTTATTTTCTTTTAATTAAGTTATAGCCTTGGTTCTTCGACCCGGAAAAAATTGCATCCTTAGTTTTTAGATTTTCATCTCTCTTGGTCCTTGCAAAATTAACCAGTAATTATTACTATTTTTGTTAGGATCAGGGATAATAGATTGAAGAAGCAGGATCAAATAATTAAAAATTAAAAAGAAGAAGAAAATAATAAAATCCGTCACACAGGATTTAAGGTAGAAAAATCTAAAATCATAGGCTAAAAATATTTAAAGCTTTTTCAAAAAGTTGAAAATTTCTAATTTGATTAATAAGCATTATCTTCTAAAATCTCATTTATAGATGTGATAGAATTTTTGCCAAATTTTGACAGCAAGTTTTGCCTTACTTTGATAGCAGGCATGATCAATAGATAAAATGATCATAATAAATGGATAAGTTCTAGCAAATCTTGTCCCTCGTAGTGTATCCTACTGTTTTTAAATTTAGGGTACTTTATTCACCGAGGGGAAAAAAAACCTAGATAAGAAAACGTATTCATTTTTTTTTAGCATATCAAGAAGTTAATTTTTTATACATCATATTCATGGAAACACGTGACAGTCTAATCTAATCCTTTTACTAAATTGATGCTTCAAATGAAACGAAAATATAATGGAAAACTCAATCACACCCATATATGTTTGTAACGACAAACCAAAAACTTTTTGGGAGCTGAGGCGCACTAAATTGATGCTTTCTCAAGAATCAAGTGACTCAACCAGCGAGGGTTAGATCTAATTGAAGAGGCTAGTCTCTCATAACGTGGCGAACCAAGGTTTGAATCTCTGTTGAGAGAGGTGTCCACATTTAGTACCTAATACTAGTTTCTCGAATATGATTGCCTCTAATAGGAAGATATCTATGTTTTAGCAAAAACACAGTGACTCACAAAGGAATGGGCCTTCCAAGGCATTTATCAATTCGGCACACTAGAAGTTTGGGCTACCTCACTGTATCTCGTAAGGCCCAATATTCTCCAGATCATCACATTGTTCCTCCATCAGCTTTGGTCCAACCAAAACACTATTCACCATCCACGACCCCCGTAAAAACCAATAGGGAATTATGAAATGGTATGATATCTGGCTATTACTTTTCGTATCGTTTTTATTATTTTCATTCTTTCTCCTTGAATTCCGGTCGTGCCTCCATCTTAAAAGCAGTAATATACTACCTCCTGCCATTTTATTTTGACTTTTATCTTAATTCTAAATTTAAATATAAGATTATGATTTATTTTATCCATCATATTTATTTATTTTTTTAAAGATAATTCTGCTAATAATAATAGCTTCAGTTAATAAATTTAATTAGTAAAAATATTTTTAAAAAAATAATATCTATTTATTATAAATAATTAATTCAATTTTTTTTAATTTAATCAAATTAATCAACTAAGTCATATTTAAAATTGTACCAGAAAGTATATTGTAGCGTGATGGGATGGAGGCTACTCCTACTAGTAGGATTAGGTGCGACGCTTGGCAGGGCCTCCGAATAGGTCTCCCACCTTGGGAATCAGTCACATGGATTCCTTCCTGTCAAGAAGAATTTTTCATAGCCTGTGCTGGCAAATTTTGATTGGTCAAACATTCGTTGAAAATCCAATGGCCTTTTTTAACCACAAAAAGCCAGGTGTCAAGGCCGCATATGTATTTCTCTTAGTGGGACTGATGATCTAAATAATTCTCAAAATACAAATGCATGAGGAGAAGGTGAAACCTGAGCTGTCATCGACACAACTACTTAACTGTCACATAAAAAAAAAAAAAAAGTCTTTATCTGGGAATCTACCAACAGCTCCGCCACCTTCTCCTTCTCGGCAAAATGGAAAAAGATGGGGAATGAGATAGGAGTTTCAAGGCGGACAGGAAAGACAGTACCTACATTCCTATTAAAAAAAAAAAAATCCCGTTTGCATGACCTCACCAACTCCAATGTCTCAAATTTCAATGACTGAAGACGAGGCCTGCACAATCTGTCTTGGCCTCTCTCTATATATACTCTTCCACGGTAAGGACGAGGTCACAGTTCTATCATATCTATCCAACATTAAACTTCGAACATTTCTCATATCCAAGCATTTTGGCAGATATGGCTGCCCTTCAAACCTTCATCAGGGTATCATTTGTAGCTATGCTAATCGAAATCGCAATGGCAGAAAATCACATTGTAGGAGGATCTAATGGCGGGTGGGATACAAACACGAATCTTCAAGCATGGGCATCATCCCAAAAGTTTTCTGTGGGAGACAAACTCAGTAAGTCATTTGCATGCTTCCACTGCGAGGCCTGGTTTTATAAATGTCTCCAGACAATTCCCTTTTGATTAAACAGGTTTTAATTTGTGTTGTATTGACACTGTTCCCCATATGTGCAGTATTTCATTATCCTCCTAATCATGATGTGGTTGAAGTTCCAAAGGCAGGTTATGACTCCTGCCAGCCAACCAATCCAGTCAAGTCCTACAGTGATGGCGCCACAACCATCCCTCTTACTTCTCCGGGGAAGAGATACTTCATCTGTGGAACAATAGGACATTGTGGCCAGGGTATGAAGATTGAAATAGACACTCTTGCAAGTGCAGCTTCTTCCATATCTCCAACAGAATCTCCTTCACCTGCGGTTTCCCCAGTGACCCCTATTGCTCCCTCCGCTGAGTCCCCGGATATTGTCAATTCAGCAGCAGAATCTCCAGAATATACTTTGGCAGCTCCCAGTCCGCTGTTTGACACACATCTGGATAGCCCTACTTTCTCCCCAGTCATTCCTTCTACTGAGCAGTCACTAGATCCATCAACTGCATCAGCAGTGAAAGGAAACCTCCAGGCCTTCATTGGATTTGTGTTTAGCTTTCTATTGATGCCTTTAGTTTTCTAAAGATAGGATAAATCTAAGTCTACCACTGTCACTCATACTTGTGTGCGAGTTTTTCTGTTTCTTTCTTTGTTGTCTTGAATTTCAGAGAGGTGTGCATGCCTTGTTAATAGACAGAAAACGATATCTTGTGTGCGATTCAATCTGATGTTATTTATAGTGCCTTATAATGAACCATTCGGATTATCCTAGCAGGCAAATGTAGGAAGCATTCAAGCATGACGACCAAGACATAAAACATTTCCTTATTATAGTTTAGATGGCACAGACATAGATGTAATTAGTTTTAACGGCAGACTATCCACCGATATGATCGTCTCACTTCAGGAACACACTTGGACATGATGGACAAGACATAAACACGACATAAGTGAAGCACCCACACAGACGAATGTGACGGATTCTAACTAACCACTTTAAGCGACAGGAGGGCGAAGCAGGTGATCCTGAGATGTATCAACGGCAGCAGGCGGCAAAAACTGCCACATGCCGATTCCTGGATAGCCAACAAAAGGTATCAGCTTGTGGCTGGCAGTTTGGCCTTGAGCAGTGAATGCAGCAGACGGGTGAGAAAGATAGGTTGGCTGTGCATTTATTCCCTTGACCTGCCGCTCCAGCTTTTCTTTATCCATCTTCAGCCTATTCTTCTCATCTCGAAGCTCATTCTTCTCTGCCTGAAAGCATCCCCATTTTTCCAACTATTTAGGCCAAGAATGAACATATGACATTAAAATACCACTTAGAAACAAATGTTCACCTTCAGTTCCTTAATCTTTTCCAGCAATTCATCATTTGTTTCCTTCAGCTTCTGGGCTTCACTTCGTAGTTCTGTTAACATTCGAACTGCATCACTTAAGATAGCAGCCTTATCCGTCTTGGGCAGCTTACCAGGCTCCAGGATAGAACTCAATTCGAGGAACCTTCAAATCATGCCAAATTCAAGACATGAGACTTAGAAGACAAAAAATAATCAGACAAGACGCAGAACAATAACGTGCCTCTCATTAAGTCTATCCCTCCGCAGTTTCTCACGGCATGCCTTGGAGCCAGGCGCACATGATTCAGTCTTCAACCTAAAATAACAGTTGCAAATGGATTAGAAGATATATTTTTTTTCCCTTCTTCTTTTTTGTGCTCCAACGCGCATGAGAGATGGGGAGTGAGACGAAGAATTACAGGAGGACACGTTAATAACAAGTCACAAGTTAATGTGCCCACTCATTCCACAAATTATGTATATCAATTAAAAGGGAAAAAAACCATACTGCATTTATTCAAGAAATTTACGGACTAATGTAATAACATTTTTATGAAAGCTTCTTACAAGTAGGAAGTGCTAATTCCAGATTTACATTAACCGTTACCATAACAGTGGGTTGGAAAACATAATCTTATTGGGATTCTTATCATCCTTAACAGTTTCCCCGGTCCTCTGCTCTGCATCTGCGAAAAGCAGCTCCTCTGTGGTCTCCATTTCCTAAGTCTAATCCCGGCTGGAGCGGCAGTGGCAATTAAAGGCGTGCATTTTCAATTGACTTTATGAAAAGGATTTTCTCTTAAAAACACGTCAATATAATCCGTGCGTTCCTCAACATTCAGGGATGCAGAAAATCTACATCAAATAAAGATCTGGTTGCAGCTTGCATGTGATAAGATATTCATTTTACATCATAAAAAATTGAAGCAGTGCAGTTAACAAATTGTGGAGGTACGACACTATAGTAAACCTTGATTACAAAGCCACAGAAGACAGACATTACCGCTTTGAAGGGCCATTTTCCAGGAAAGTTGAATTGTCCAGCGCGTATTCCAGGTCCAAGCTGTAATTATGAAGCAGTGAAGAGGACAACATAATAGAAATAACAAATGCTGCTATACGGTAGTCAAAGTCAACTGCTAGTACAACCCGTCCTAAGTCACATAATAATACAGCCTTTTTTTTGGGGCAAATCTTTTATGTCCTTCATTCAACAACCTACCCTACTCCTGAATACGATGCCTTTTTTGTCAACGCATTGCGATTCACAAATATAATGAATGTACAGCAATTTACAGAATCTAGATCCATTTTTAGTGGAATAGAACATTTTCTTATTCAATAAATAAAGGAAATCCATAAAGATTAGGATAGTTACTCCCCCTCTAACAAAAAGCATCTAAAAATTAAAATGGTGCACTATTTTCTGAATATTCTCATTAAAAATTTCTTTGGAGAAAGCCTCAGTCCAAAGGTGATATCTTCTAAATTCACATCATTTCCCTTAGAACAAATAGGACACATGTTTGTACCAAAAAAAGAAATAGGACACATGTTTGTACCAAAAAAAGAAATAGGACACATGTTGCTTTGGCTGGATAGTTGAGCCCGAAATCACCATAAAAATTGCAAAATGATATCTGGAACCAATATAACCATGAGAAGTTGTCGCAGCAGCAGGTTAACCATGTTTCCATCACAATATCAAATAACTAGTTCAAACACGACAGTCGTGATCCGTAAATCCTAACAAATCAAAATAATTAAAACTTCTCTCGATTTTGAATTTTTTCCTTGGACGGAGCCAAATTTGAACATTGAAATGCTTCAATCACAAGATAAATTATTACCGTTTTCTGAGCAGAAAATTACCCCGCAACTTATGTTCATAGTTTTGGATTTTCTTTCAAATGTCAACCATCGACCAACCACCAGGTGAACAGAGCATAGCATTTCATTTACCTATATATGGCAATTAATAGCACGATACTTCACAGTACGGCAGTGAAGACTGTCTTATAGGAAGTAAGGAAGCAGCAGAAAAGTACCACGCTTTGTAATAACAAATGCATGAACTGATCATGCTACAGAGATTTTTGGATTTTGAGAAAGACTAGACCAGCTAGCCAACTGGGAATAGCCCTGGGTTCACAAGATTCATGGAAACCAAACAGGAAGTCTAAACAGAATGCTATTGCACACCCACCTCGTATCGGAAGAAGCGTGGAAAGCAGGAGACACCCAGTTGAAACCGCCGGAAGGGACGACCGGGAATTCAGCTCCGGCAACAGAGACATCGAAGCCATAATCATAAAGCCAATTGGAGGTGTGTGAGGAGTCGATGTCCATCTTGCGAGTGAAAGCAGAAGAAACAGTGTGCTTGAGGATTAAAGGGCACTGAATAAATAGCGTAAGAATATAATACTTGGACTAGTAACATCACTGACATGCTCATTTCTTTTAGTTTATTGGCCCTGGCCCCTAATTTACCGTCCGGAAAGAGGGAAAAGTAGGGGTGGCTGACGGAAGCAGCAAAGAGTGTGTGTCGTGCTCCTACAGTGCGCCATGGCCAATCGGCGATCCATACACTAGACGCAGACCGACGTAGGAAATGCTATCTCGTCCGTACATTACGTGACCGATGATGACTTTGGGGCTTTGGGCTTTCCAGACAAAAAACGAGCCGTTAATTTTCGGTCCATACTAACCAATTTTTCATGTTTCTCTTGTACGCTAATAAAAACAAGCAGTTAAACTGAAGATTAATATTAAATCACCGATCTAATTACTACTTCCAGTCCTAATTATAAAAACTAGTTAATCAATTTAAAGAGATTAAGGATCTAATTACTACTTCCAGTCCTAATTATAAAAACTAGTTAACCAATTTAAAGAGATTAAGAAAAGAAGTTAAGTTAGTTATTTGTCATAAATAGATATTGTCTTTCCTAAAATATCCTTACTAATCTAGTGTATTGGCTAGAACTACTATTGTTAGAAGGATTATTTTGAAAAAAATATATAAATATAAAAGACAAAGTGGATTGGGATCTTATATTTTGAACTAAAATAAAAGTCAAACGAGATTTTATATTAATAATCAGAGGTAGTATAAGAAAACGGTATTACTATTATTATTATTATAGTAATGGCCGTGTTGACAGAGGCCTCCTAATACTAATACTAATGGGTTGATATTATCCACGAAAGTAATGAGTATGATTATGACATGAAATTTCAAGTTAGGGAGTATGGTGTGCTGCATGCCTTGTTAAGGTTAGAATATGGTTTTGATGAAACGCTTAAATTAAAATAAGAATGGATGGTGATGCTATTGCTGACTAAAATTTTGTCAAATACATTACTCTTTCTCAAATATTCCGCGGATAACAGCCCTTATACATAATAATTAAAAAACAACAAATGATGATAAATGATTTTAAATATTCAGTCATATCAACGTTCCTTTATGTATAGAAGAAGGACCTGCGCTGCTTCTAATTGAACAGAGTATTTATTTCCAAAACGAAGACGCCTTGACAATTTTTTTTTTTCAAAAACAGGGGAATATATATATTTTTTTGTCTTTATATTTTTATTTAGAAACCGAAACAATGAGCATCTCACAAAACATAAATCAGAAGAGTCAAAAGTCAAAACCCATGAATTAGAAATCCTGACACCCCCAAATCAGTAATCAATAATCAAGGCAGAGGAAAAAGGATTGTGAAATCCAATCTTTTCGAGCACTTATGCATTAAGAATACTTTTACACTAATATCTTTATTGTTAGTTGAAACCTACTATGACTCCCAAAACCTATTTACGGTTACAGTAAAGCATAATTGTTCTGACGTACATTCACAGTTGTGTGTGTGTGTGTGTGAGAGATCGAAGTTGCCTCCAGCAGGCAGGCAACAACATCATTTTGGTAGTTTATCTAAAGAAAAATCACGTTTAGATTGTAAAAGTTCAATTTAATTTTCATTAATTTTTTTAAAATGTTTTAAAAAACAAGTTACAAATATCAATATAAACAATTATAAATATGTGATTCTTAGTTGCAAGTTAGGTATTTAATTCTTATGGTTCAACTTCAAGTATTTACAATTAGAATTCTGATATTTGCTACTTTCTATTTAAATATTGACGATTTATTTTTCAAATCAAATGGCACATACTTCCCAGAGAAAGGGAAGTTCTTCTTAACACGGTGTCCCAAAAAAATGATTAAATCATGGTGACAACAACCTAGAGATGAAGCCAGGCCAACAAAGCATTTCTCAGATTGAAACTCAAGTAGCAGTCAAAGTAAATTTCACGACGCCTCAGATAAACATTTTCTTCCTTCTGCTGCCAATCAATTATTTGCCAACGCTGTCGTGTTCACTGCAAGAATTCTACCTCGTCACTATGCCATTTTCAGCATGATGTCTTACGACGAGGAGATCAGAACAAAGTTCTGATGCCGGAAGCAGATCGTAGAACTTGTTCAGCAGGTCACGCATTGCTTGTCTTAGCTTAATTCCACTCTATACTGAGCATAATGTCAGGTGTAAAGGTAGCATGGCACTATGACAGTGCTAAAATTATAGGGTTCAACCAACTATTTCGTTAAGCTCTCATCAATTCACCAATAATCACTGCATGAACATGCTCCATCTCTAAAGCGGTGAAACCTACGAATATTTCGCATGATGATTTCTCCACTCATGAGCTTAGAAACCATTTTTAACAATGTATGAGTGAATAGATGAGCCCAACAGTAATGCCAAGATTTCATTACAAGCACCAAGCATAGAAATAATAGTTGCTTCATCAGGAACTACATCTTCCACGATCATTTGACAGAAAAGTTTCAAGGTTTCAAAGCATCTCCATGTCGTTCATAACCTGAAATGAAAGAATTCCATGATATAGTATCCTTCATTTTTAATTCTTATCAGATATTGAATCACAATTGCAGTGCATGTCAATTAGGGAATTCGTTAGAACCTTGCTGCATAACTTACCACTATTTCGAACAACATGACCATTAGTAGTCTTTCCCACTTCTAAATTCATGAGATCACCACAACCACAGGAGAGCAAGTAAAGTCGTTTCATCTCCACGAAATCCAGCAGTTTTTTCATGTGATCAAATAGTATAAAAGCATCTCTTATTGCTTTTCCATTCTTCACGTAACCCGCTATCATAGTGTTCCAAGATGTTAAATCCGTCACAGGCATATTATCAAACAACACTCTTGCCGTTTCCATATACCCAACTTTGGTATACATTGAAAGCAAACATCAGATGCCAAGCCAGTAATCAATACCAATATAATGCATGAAATTTTCTGCCAACTTCACTCAGTAGTAGATCACCACACGCCTTGAGAACACATGGGTAGGTAAAATTATCTGGCTTTCGTCCAACACTGAACATTCGACGATACAGAACAAGAGACCTTAATGCGTTCCCGTCACAGGAATAACCTTTAATCATGAAATCCCATAAAAAAGAAGTCTTAAAGACAATTTGATCGAATATTACCTGAGCTTCAGCCATGCGACCGCAACTAGCTTAGCAGGCAGTGAGCTTGGTATTCAGATAGTTGTTGTGTACCAGAGTACCGCAAGTGATTGTGTGGGCATAAAGTTGCAGGCACTTCCGTAGGATTTGGTATTGGCGAGTGACAGCAAAACGGTTCCGCATTGTAAAGAGGTGACCGGGCGGATAAAACCTTGTTCCGGCCAATGAGTGACGGGGGTGCATGAAGATTTGAGTAGGAGAAGGTGCCATTCATGAAGGAGAAGCACAGCAAGAGCGTAAAGGCAAAGTATATTACTAGAGCTTAAAGTAAGACGGTGGTGACCGCCTGACCGGGGAATTAAGTTTGTAAGTAGCGAGAAACGGAGGAAGAAAATGGAGGATTTGAAAAAATAATAATAATAAAGAAAAATAAAAATCGAAAACTTCTTTCTGGAGATGCGGGGTATCGATCCCCGTACCTCTCGCATGCTAAGCGAGCGCTCTACCATCTGAGCTACATCCCCACGGCGCTCGTGAGCTTATTGTTTTCGTATAATGTAATTTGAGCTGACATGTCAACTTTTTACTCCCCACCGAAAGGAAAGTGAATGCTGCATACGTCGACTTCAAAGAATGTTTTAAATTACAAAGCAACAACTTTCAATCACCGTCAAGGACTCATTCTCAGCGAGGGGGAATATTATGAAGACACGAAAATACCTGTTAGGTACCCAAGCTTGTGGTCATCACACAGCATTCACGCATTTATGTATATATAGCTGGAATGAACGTTACATGCCTCATTAAACATTATTGAATCTGGCACAGGCAAATACGTCAACATTTTTTTCCAACCTTCAAATACAATAAACTCTTGATGTTAAATCCTAAAATTCTTTATGGTTGGAGGCATAGTTCTTTATAGCATTCAATGTAATTAACAACCTTCTAATTAATCAGGGTGTATGGATACTAAAAGCTCCTTCATGGTTGATTTTATTTGGTCTAGGCCGCAGAATCATGCTGCTGTGGTTCTAACTAAAATTATAAACCGCCCCATGCATACAGTATGATTCTGATCTAGGCACGAAATGGCATATCAGGTTGAAGACTTCAAGTTAAAATGAAGTTTAGTCTGAAAATAAAACTCAGTCCTCTTTATATTTAAGGACTGAGAATTTGGTGCCTGGACACGATCGAGGAGAATAATTGATATTGTTTTGCAGACGTTGTGACAGAGTTTATAGAGAGAGATTAATTAATGGTCATTGTCTTTCCGGTCAGTTGAAAAACATGCTTAAAATATGGATTATCTTCCTACTTCTCCATCAATTCTTTAAACTTTCAGTTACAGAAACTGCCAGTTAAAATATGGTCCCTATATTTGCAGATAATTCTTTTGCCGCCTCTAAATACAAACTGCACAAGATGTATGGGATCAATTTTAAATTATCTTGGTCAAAGAATATATGTGGAAAGACAGCTGATGAATTTTGCAAATAAAATAATAGCAGTAGATGAATTTTATAATCATAAATATTTGTGTCTGTGGGTTATTTTCTTTTCAAACTAAATAAAAATCTAGTTTTATAAAAGGAAAATATTCAAGAGAAAGCTTTTATTTATCCACTCAAAAGAAAAATCTCACTGTTATAACTTATTTTCCCGCACAAGATAATAATAGGCATTGGAATTATAACAGCAAGGGCAAGATTTTTTTTAAAAAAAAATACTGGGGAGGAATCGTAAAATTAAAAACCCTCAAAGAAACAATCAAATTAAAAGAAGTAATAAATTAATAACAATAACAGATTGTTTTTTAAAAATCATTCAAGACATCATGGGCGTCCCACATTGTTCTCCTCACGTCTCAACGCGTCGCTGTCTTTCTCTCTCCTCTAGGTGCACCGAAGGACAAGAAACTCTGGCACGAACAAATTCCCTCCTTTGCAGGAGAATATCTTGCACTCGAACCTGCAGGAAAAAAATTTGCTGAATCCATTCCTAAAGTTTCAGCAAAAGTTTTAGGCTGTGGTTCGAGTACTTGCTCCTTAATTCATTTCTGCATTTTCATTTGATTGCTTCTTGGCCGGACGCTTTGCATTATCAACATACACCAAGCGCACGGAATCCTTTGTTCTGTCAAATTCTTGATACATTCTCTTCCTCTGCGATCATTATTATCGCGTTTCAACCTGGTTCTGCGTTCTCAAGACCCAGAGGCTTTCCCCAAGGCGTATAAGGACCTTGGAAACAGAGGAAAGCGGCTCTTTTTGCTTCACTTTTCTTTAAAAGCTTATGAATCGCAGGCTCTAGAGAGGTGCTAGAATCTTCAGGTTCAATGGGATGAAAAGGGAATGGAGATGTCAAGATCCAGTTATGCTGTTATTTACGTGATTCTTCTTTGCGCGTTGGCTAAAGGAGGCTGCGAAGGTAAGAGGTGGAATCTGCGGGAGTTTCTCAATGAAGAATGTCATTTGTCGTCGTCACTTCTTGAAGATGGGAAAAAGGTATATGCTTGCCTGTTTCAAACATTCGTTTTTCTCATTTCATTTTGACGTCTTTTAATTCCTTGGAATTTCGATCTGATAGAGCTTTATTCTGTTTTCCATCTTTTTGGTTTTCCCCCCTTTTCATGATTGTAATGAGGAATTTTTATTTCGATCTAAATGAATGGACGAAATGTGTCTTCGAGACGAAAACTCGTTCATCTGCTAATAATATCAAGCCTAGTATTGTGCATGTCTGTTACATAGGCAAGCCTACGTACATATTACGTGTGGAGTTAGTAGGATTGGTGGACCATGATCTGTTTGAACTTCGAAATACAATGTATCTCCGTATGTATAAGGTGGACTTCGTTTGCCCAACCATGACCAATACATGCCCTGCTGCTATTACTTTGCGAAGCATGTGCAAGGTTGAAATTTTGAGAAATCTATTTTACATCCTAGACTAGATATTATTATCTCCTATCGTAATATAATACTACTTCCAATCCTTAATATAAAAGTCTATTTAATTTTTATTTTAGTCTTAAATATAAAATCTTAATTTATTTTGTCTCTTATGTTTATTGATTTTTTTAAAAGATAGTTATTGTAATAATAATAGTTCTAACTAATAAATTTGATTAGCAAGAATATTTTAAAAAAAATAACATATATTTATTACAAATAATTAACTTAACTTATTTTGTTAATTTACTCAAATTAATCAATTAGTTCTTATATTTAAAACCGTACTTAGTAATTCATTTTAATTTTATACCCTAGACGGCGCACGAGAGATTATATTAGTTTATAAACAAAAAATGTAGTACTATACTAACGAGTTAAAGTGTGCTGTGCATGCAACAACTTTTTAATGAATTACTAATTTTACCTTTCACTTCTTATGATTGCTAACTTCATGCGAAAAATATGTTTATAAAAATTTGCAAAAGAATCAGACAAAAATACTAACACGAGAAATATTGCATGAGTTGGTTGATACAGTTAGAGCAAGCTTGGAAACACTGTAGGAAAGAGTTGGCAGCGAGGAGCCATGGGAACCAAGATTCTGAGTTGCATCCAACAGAAGCAGGGGGCAGTGACCTGGGGCCTTCACTTGGAGTTGAGGACATCCTACGCCAAGCGACTGAGTTTCTGGGACTCCAGTCCGAACAAAACTTCCTGGATTGCATCAAAACCAAAACTTCCCATGCTCCTGTTTCTCTAGACAATAATGCTGCCTCTCCACCTGTGGTTACCACGTACTTGACCAGTGGCTGTGAAAGGCACCTGCTTGCTGATTCACCGGCTGACAAAGTTCCCCCAAGCACTACTCCTTCTCATTCTCCTTCTCCTTCTTCATCTCCGTCATCTTCGTCTCCATCTCCGTCATCTCCGTCTCCTGGTCTTGCAAGTGAATCACCAAGCCATGACACAAAGTCTTCTGATTCTCCATCTGACGATTCCCCTTCTGGTTCTCTTTCACCAGATGAGTTTATGCCACATCAATCGCCACTACCACCTAGGTCTCCTAAACGTACTCCCCCATCTGTGCCTTTAGACTCCTCTCCTCCTCCTCCTCCTGAAGGTGATAACGGCAATCATATGCTAAAATTAATTTTTATTGCTGCTGTAACGGTATGTGCAATCGCAGCATTATTATTAATCTGCCTCTGCTGGGGTGCCGGAACCAACAAGTCGACGACCCAACGACCCAACAGAGGCACACAAAGGCGACCGGGCTACAGTCACACTAGCCTCCGCAGATGTTTTTTCTGGTAAGCTTATGTTTGGTCCTTAACATTAGCCCATTGAATCCGTTTACATGGGTCCTCTGATCTTTTTATTGTTATATTTTCATTTCTTGTTTCAGGTTCGCAGAAGGCTGTTGTTTTGGAAAAGCATGACAAGAAAGTATATACTACGACCGGCGGTCTGATGGCAAACTCTGAAGGTGGCGGCGGCTCACTAACTGAGACAACAACATCGTCTACTGAACAAATGGCTAACCCTCCTCTGAAACCACCTCCGGGAAAATCAGCTCCTCCGCCTCCTCAGCCGCCGCCCCCACCGCCGCCAGCTGCTCCTCGTGCCCCACCACCTCCACCTCCAAAAGCTAAGGTTCCGCCAATTCCCGGAAATCAATTCAAGGTAAAAATAAAGCACAGGGCAACTCTAGAGAGGGCGGTGAATGTGATGCTCCAAAACCCAAATTGAAGCCATTTTTCTGGGATAAAGTTAACAAAGCTGATCAAGGCATGGTTTGGCAACAAATCAATCAGGGATCATTCCAGTAAGACCAATAGTCCTGCCAAAATCTAACTTATCATTATGCATGAATAACTGAAGTAAATTATGCTAACATAATTACTGATCCTCATGACCATTTTCAGGTTCAATGAGGAAATGATCGAGTCTTTATTTGGTTGTGGCAACCAGAACAAAAATCAACGCAAGAAAGAAGCATCACTTGAACCTGCAATTCAATACATTCAGATTATTGACCCTAGAAAAGCACAGAATCTATCAATTCTCTTGCGAGCGCTGAATGTGACAACGGAAGAAGTTGTTGATGCCCTTGAAGAAGGTGACATTCTTCAGTCTTGAAGGGCAGTGTTCAGTTTGCATGTAGGAAAAAAATTAGTTTAGCTCCAATGAAGTGACTAATTCTTTATAAGCATGCCTTCATTTGCTTCTGTTAAACTTTTTTGCCAATTTCAAAATTGAACCAGCCTGAAATTTCTTAAAAATAAATGAGAATTTAAAAGCTAAATGAACAAACAGTCAAAGAAAAATAAAATATCACTAATCCCTCTTTATTTTGCATATTATATATGTTGCCGCGGAGAAGTTATTCTGTGCGAACTGCTTCTGATCTGACTGATTTATTCACTTATCACCAACATTAAATAGCAAAAACACGTCCCTGAGTATGCTACTGGATCTAACAACTTAGGCCATTAATTTGAAACTCTGCAATGACCCAATGGCCACTCTGCAGATTTATGTCTTTGT